AAACTGGCCCAGGAATCTATCATGGATCTTGAGAACGACAAGCAGCAGTCTGAGGAGAAACTGAAGAAGTAAGAATGAGTGCACATATTCCATTACTCTGGTTAAATTAAAAACAAACTTACAATGATTTTATTTTATTTTACATTCTTCCCCTTCAGGAAAGACTTTGAGATCAGCCAGCTTCTCAGCAAGATTGAGGATGAGCAGTCGCTGGGAGCTCAGCTTCAGAAGAAGATTAAGGAGCTTCAGGTAACGTTACCTTTCAAATGATATCATCAGTATATAGGGAACGGGTTAAAGTCCCTCCCAAATAGCACTAAACTCACAAGTTAGCATTAATCAACTGTCCAGTTGAAAATCAAAAACCTAAATGGCACCATGAACTCTCAGAAAATATGCTGTATAAATCCATTTGTATTTTTTCTTAAGATTTTGACCATCTACACACATACGTGGCTAATGCGTGCATTGTGTCATAACACAAGAACAATTGTGAACTTGTTGATCCTTTATATCCAGGCCCGTATTGAGGAGCTGGAGGAAGAGATTGAGGCTGAGCGCGCTGCCCGTGCCAAGGTTGAGAAGCAGAGAGCCGATCTGTCCAGGGAGCTTGAGGAGATCAGTGAGAGGCTGGAGGAGGCTGGCGGTGCCACTGCTGCTCAGATTGAGCTGAACAAGAAGCGTGAGGCTGAGTTCCAGAAGCTCCGTCGTGACCTTGAGGAGTCCACTCTGCAGCATGAAGCCACTGCCGCTGCTCTGCGCAAGAAGCAGGCTGACAGTGTTGCTGAGCTGGGAGAGCAGATCGATAACCTCCAGCGTGTCAAGCAGAAGCTTGAGAAGGAAAAGAGTGAATTCAAGATGGAGATTGATGACCTCTCCAGCAACATGGAGGCTGTGGCTAAAGCTAAGGTGATGATTGTTACTATGTGAACAGACATCATATAATGGAAAATACTCATACTAACTTACAATGAAATGTTTAGGGAAATCTGGAAAAGATGTGCCGTACTCTTGAGGACCAACTTAGTGAACTGAAGACCAAGAATGATGAAAACGTTCGCCAAATCAATGACCTGGGTGCCCAGAAAGCTCGCCTCCTCACAGAGAATGGTAAGATAAATCTCAGGTACATAATTTGACTAGAGGAGTATTAGTCTTCTAATAAATCCTTTACATCTAAGGTGAGTTTGGCCGCCAAATTGAGGAGAAGGAAGCCCTGGTGTCTCAGCTGACCAGAGGCAAACAGGCCTTCACACAGCAGATTGAGGAGCTCAAGAGGCAGATTGAAGAGGAGGTTAAGGTATGAAACACACAAGTTGGTTGAAATGAACAAATCGTATTATGAAGCATCATAACATTAACTGTTCCCACAGGCCAAGAATGCCCTTGCCCATGGACTCCAGTCTGCCCGTCATGACTGCGATCTGCTCAGGGAACAGTTTGAAGAGGAGCAGGAGGCCAAGGCTGAACTTCAGCGTGGTATGTCTAAGGCCAACAGCGAGGTCGCTCAGTGGAGAACCAAATATGAAACTGATGCTATCCAGAGAACTGAGGAGCTTGAGGAAGCCAAGTGAGTTTAAAATCTGTGGCACAACACCATTTTGATTTTGTCATGTTTACTCATCTATGGTTCTTTTTAAAGGAAAAAGCTTGCCCAGCGCCTCCAGGAGGCTGAGGAGCAGATTGAGGCTGTCAACTCCAAGTGTGCTTCTCTGGAGAAGACCAAACAGAGGCTGCAGAGTGAGGTGGAGGATCTCATGATTGATGTGGAGAGAGCTAATGGTCTGGCTGCCAACCTTGACAAGAAGCAGAGGAACTTTGACAAGGTACAGATTCTACTTTTGTATGATCAAATTGTCCATTGTTGTGATACTTTAACTCACTGTCTGCATTTATAAATGATGAAATCTAGGTCTTGGCTGAATGGAAGCAGAAATTCGAGGAGGGTCAGGCAGAGCTTGAGGGAGCTCAGAAGGAGGCTCGCTCACTGGGAACTGAGCTTTTCAAGATGAAGAACTCCTATGAAGAATCTCTTGACCAGCTGGAGACCATGAAGCGTGAAAACAAGAACTTGCAGCGTGAGTGTTTTTCCTCATATCTTACCATTTTTGTGTACATCTGCAGGTACGACTTTTAAAAGTGAATATTTGATTCCCCAACAGAGGAGATCTCTGACTTGACTGAACAGATTGGTGAGACTGGCAAGAGCATCCATGAATTGGAGAAGTCCAAGAAGCAGGTTGAGACAGAGAAGGCCGAAATCCAGACTGCCCTTGAGGAAGCTGAGGTAAGAAATATATGAATCACAAAAATGTAGTTCTGAACATGTAAACGTATACCGGAAGAGAAGTTATAAACTACTTTTTGACATTTTCAGGGAACTCTTGAACATGAAGAGTCTAAGATCCTCCGTGTCCAGTTGGAGCTTAACCAAGTGAAGGGTGAGATTGACAGGAAGCTGGCAGAGAAAGATGAGGAAATTGAGCAGATTAAGAGGAACAGCCAGAGGGTCATTGACTCCATGCAAGGCACTCTGGACTCTGAGGTCAGAAGCAGAAATGATGCCCTCAGGATCAAGAAGAAGATGGAGGGAGACTTGAATGAGATGGAGATTCAGCTGAGCCATGCCAATCGCCAGGCATCTGAGTCCCAGAAACAGCTGAGAAATGTGCAGGCACAGCTCAAGGTATTGTCAGTCATTTGTTTCAGGTTGGCCATGTTGTTATAATTCACCTACATCGACGTACATATACACTCTACTCCATTCAGGATGCCCAACTGCACCTTGATGATGCAGTCAGAGCTCAGGAAGACCTCAAAGAACAGGCTGCTATGGTTGAGCGCAGAAATGGCCTGATGGTTGCTGAAATTGAAGAACTCAGGGCTGCCCTGGAGCAGACAGAGAGAGGTCGCAAAATCGCTGAGCAGGAGCTGGTTGACGCCAGCGAGCGTGTTGGACTTCTGCACTCTCAGGTACAATGATTCCACATTTTTACACAAATGAATGATATTTTTACATTGATATGTATGACCATATTGTCATCTTGAGGCTCATTAAATATGTTTTTCTTCTCACTGTATAGAACACTAGCCTGATGAACACCAAGAAGAAGCTTGAAGCTGACCTGGTCCAGATCCAGAGTGAAGTTGATGACACTGTTCAGGAAGCAAGAAATGCTGAGGAGAAGGCCAAGAAGGCTATCACTGATGTAGGTTTTTCTTTTTTGGCATTCTTTTTGGTCTTGTTCTAATCTATACTCCAATGATTACAACTTAATGTGTTTGCCAGGCTGCCATGATGGCTGAGGAGCTGAAGAAGGAGCAGGATACCAGTGCTCATTTGGAGAGGATGAAGAAGAATCTGGAAGTTGCTGTCAAGGACCTGCAGCACCGTCTGGATGAGGCTGAGAACCTGGCCATGAAGGGTGGCAAGAAGCAGCTCCAGAAACTGGAGTCCAGGGTAAGACTAATATTGTTAAAACCAAATCAAAATGTTACTGCAATCAATATTTCAACAAACATATAATTACTTTGAATCATGCTTTCCAAAGGTGCGTGAGCTTGAGACAGAGGTTGAAAATGAACAGAGACGTGGAGCAGATGCTGTTAAGGGTGTGCGCAAATATGAGAGGAGAGTCAAGGAGCTCACCTACCAGGTTTGTAAGCAAAATGCATGAACAACTTTTTATTCTTAGCTCATTTTATCCTTAAATCCTAACTACTGAATCTGTGTTTAAGACTGAGGAAGATAAGAAGAACATCACCAGGCTCCAGGATCTGGTTGATAAGCTGCAGCTCAAGGTGAAGGCCTACAAGAGGCAGGCTGAGGAAGCTGTAAGTACACAATATTTACATTTATCACATTTTTATCACAATTTTTCAAAATTTGTATTCTTGCAGCATTGCTAAATTATGTTATGTGCTACAGGAGGAACAGGCCAATGTGCATCTGTCCAAGTGCAGAAAGATTCAGCATGAGCTGGAAGAGGCTGAGGAGCGTGCCGACATTGCAGAGTCCCAGGTTAACAAGCTGAGAGCCAAGAGCCGTGACTCTGGCAAGGTAGGGTATTCCTTTGATTAGAAATGGTTTCTTTTATCTAATTTTATAAAAAATAAAAATAATATCTTGTTTCTGTTTCACAGGGCAAAGAAGCTGCTGAGTAACTTTTAATGAATGATGCTGTTTCTGTTCATAAAATATGAGTTTGAAACAATAAATTATTTTTAATATTTATGTTTTTGTCTGAGTAGTTATTACTCAAAGTCCACTGTAACAAACAAACAGACACAACACACATAAAATTCATTTCTTTTAGTGTCTCATGGCATGAATGTTAAAGCCAAGTACTACAACACATACATTGACATTTAAATTGTTAAAAAATTCAAAGGTTTCACTTCCTATTTGTTTACATTTGAGTTGCAGTTGGTAGCCCATAATATCAGATCATGGTTGCAGAAATCACCGAGATTATCAAGATAATTATACCAATGAAAAATATTTCATGTATAATAATAACAGCGAAGCAGGCTTATCATAGTACTGTAAAAAAGTAATAGATACATTTGAAATCATGAACTTTAATGCATTAGGCCGTTACATCGTCCAACAAAATCAATTATAGGTCAAACAAAATGGACGAAAGATGGCAAGGCCAAGTCTTGTTTATAGGAGTAGAACAATTATTTTATTTCAGACACTAGGGGCAATCAAATTTCTCAAAAAATGTATGTTAGAAAACCATCAAAATCTTTTTTTTTTTGCAAGCAGTATATTATACAATTCTTATTACCACCACATCATAAAACATACAACAATGGAATGACCTCAGCTGCCTTTACCCCATTCACCCTGTTGCAGTTTTATTTTATTATTATAAATATCTGTTTTTGATGGGACAGACATAAGACTGAAAGAAGAGTGAACAGTATAGAGAGACATTCAGCAAAATCTTTCAAACCCTGATCCTCTTCTGGATTTACCTTGATGTACATAAAAGTTATATTACTATCGCATGCCATAAAGTCACAGGATGGCGGACTGAACGCATCATATGAGTCCAGTGCTTGTCCTCAAATGTTTTGTCCTTCCCCAAAATCACTTGTCCAATAAGACGTTTAGGTGACTTTCTTTTCATTATTTCCTTTTGAAAGATCGACACAGAAATTTTACATTGCACCACAGGGACTTCTGACAGTGGGAAGTAGAAGGCTTCATTGAAGACAGTTACAAAGCTATGAGCCACCACAGAGGATTTTTGTGACTTCTGCCGGTACTGGTTGCACATAACACTGATTCTTGCACAAAGAGCTATGGGATAGATGGGGCATATCACTTCATATAATACCACACTTCATGCAAACAATTACATAAACTTAATGTTATGCAGTTAAATACTTACCTGTGATTGAAGAGGTGTTAATAGTGGCCACCTTCACCTTTAAAAGTCCTATTTCAAGTCTCTGTAATGTTGGTAAAAAATTTAAAGACAGTAGAAGTTCCCCAACAAGGTCCTGTTATCACAACAAGAATGAATGAGTATTGCTGTTACTATTCTAAAATGTAAGCAATAACAAATTAAGGATTTACAAATTATTTAACCTTTTGTGGAACTTGTAGTTCTCTTTGTAGTTCAACAGGAGTCGATATGTTCAGTTCATTAAAAGGTACTCTTACCTCCCCTAGAGCTTTATGTTTGGAAAATGTATCAATGTGTCTCACCTAGGCATACAGAGAGGCAAAGGGAATCATTAAATCAAAGAATCTAAATCTACTATATTTGTTTACTGAAGCACCTCCATCTTGAGTGTGATGAGATGAGGCCTTATATGTTCTTGGAGTACACTGCTGAATTGGTCACCAAAAACTGGGCAGGAGCTGCCTCTGACAATGCAAGACCGCCACTCTTGGATAACTGTCCACATGAAACATTCTTTCTGTTGATCCTTGTATAGAAAATAACAATCATAAGACACCTGTTTATTTCAACCTGTAAGCAAGAAACAGTACACTTGCAGATTGTTCTCTCCAGGTACCTTAATGTCTTGATAAACCTCCATCTCAGCACCTTGAGATTTGTCCCACAGTAGTAGAAGCCTGACAAAAACTTGGAAGTCGCTGCTATGGCAGTGTTGCTGAAGACGCTCAAGTTGCAAAATGGTTACTACTACATGTGACTGTATGTGGTCATAATGCACAGAGAACCTTAGCAATCCCCCAACCTAAAAAATAGTTTATTTAATGCTATTTTTGCTATCATAAATTTTCATCACATGTAAGCATATTCATCACTAGAAGCATGATGCATTTAAACAGACTTGTATTATTACCTTGACTAGCTCTTCCTTCATGTCCCCATTTAGTTGACAGTACTCTGAAGCGGAAAGTGTTGTAGAAGACAGACTGAACCTGTTAGTGTCAACCTATAATATAACACACGTAAACATTCATGCCTTTAACACAAACCATTATTGTTCATCATCTGATAGTTTTCCTTAGGCAACAAATTACAGCAAAAATCCAACATACTCATAGCACTATTGTTTACTCTTGACACTTTTATGTCATTTTTGATCGTGCCAAATTTAGCTAGTTTGCATCCTGAATACTGTTTGCACAACTGAACAACAAAGTAATCACAACATTTACCTAACCTAAATCGAGTTTACTACTGTAGCTCAATGATTCTGATGGTATGTTGCCTTTTATTTCACCATGAAAGGTATTCACTGTATGGTCAGAAACTTAAAGCCAAGCACTTTATATCCATATGTCTGAAATGTTGAAATACACAGATGCTGAAAATATTGTTTATGCTTTTGGTAGCCTATTTGTGTATTTCATTATTTCAAACTTTGAGAATAGACTCAAAAACATTTTGTTTTCTTCTACTCTTTCTTTGAATAAATAATTAAGACTAAATCAAATTACCTCACGGCACTGTTGTTCTGGATTCTTGTCTTCAGATGCTGAATAATCACCTATTCCCTGGGCTGATGTTTTACACAGTTAGTATTCACACTAATAATAATAGTTTTTCCAGTGATGCCAGTACCAACCATTCTCACGTGTATGTGTATGAACACAGTATCTGCAGGCCTGCCATGCCAAGATGCTAAGGGTCCCAAGAAGAAAGACAACAGCAATGATCAATAGAGCATACTTCACTGGTAATATCATCCCCCCATATGAAATCTTAAAATTCCAGTAAGGAGGGTAGTCCATCTTCATAGCGCATTAGCCTCCAGAAGCAGTCACTTGTATGCAGTGCTGCACAAGTGCACAATTTCGTTAATATGCATCGACAAACAAAGCACAGCAAAGGTTAAAAGGCATTTACCTTTGATGAAAGCCAAATATCAGACATTCTTTTGACAAGTATCTAAAGAATTTCCAACTTTTCCAACTTGCATTGCTCTTCTGTATTTGTTTCTTCTGTGTGTGACTACACCTTTGTATGCATAGGCTCTCTGACACTAATCACATGGATCCCATGACCTGCTTGGATAGCCAAACTGGTTAGATTACATTTGAATAAGGTTCTAGACAGCTCACCATGTATCTTAAGATACTAACATGTTAGTTTTTGATATAACAGTTAAATATGAATATCTAACAGTAACAGTGGTATTATCACTGTGATACATGTCGCACTCTATCTATAGTAAAAATAGTAACATTGAACAAAAAAATCTGCAATCATGTTTTAAAAAAGGCTAAATTATAACTAGTTATCTCAACTAGTCATTAGTTAAGTGCAATTGTTTGCTATGAGAATTCTCTGAACACTTTTGAAAGTTTGAAAGAGGGTGAACATCTTCAAATCAGCTTTTCACATTATTATTTTACATTTGCATACACTTGCAACATAATTGCAACATTCGTCCCACTGAACTTGGCTGAATTTCCTTCACAACTGCTAATTACCTTTGGAAAACAATGTCCACTGAAGCTTTTTCTGCCCTACAACAAAGTACATGTGTGCACTCAGTCACCAAGGTAACTGCTTCCCTGTGAAGTTCACAAATGACCTGTGGTTTTTGTCTGTCAGCCCTCCTATCACAGAGAAGACTACAGAAATTCTCTCCACTGGACTCAGTGGGGCCTTTAAAAAAAAATGATACATGACATGCATGATACATCAAAACTGTAGCATGTAGTTAAAGTGTCTTAATAAAAATATTTCAATAGCAAATGCTTCTAATTTTAATCAGTCTGAATATGACAAATGGTATAACAATATAAACTAGTAATTTATTATATTTTGTTCCTTTGAGCCACCCATGTCAGTTTGAATCCATCCAAGATGTAAAGCCACACGGAGGATCCCATTTGACTCCAGGTCAATGGTCATACAGCGATTTAACATATTCAGAGCACTTTAACACTTTAAACAAACAGATGCCAGAAAAAAAGACCTCATCTTTTTTCTACCAACCAGATTTGATCTCTTAGGACAAAAACTGATACGAATCATTTAGATCATAATATATCGTTTCTGATAAAGTACCTTGGAGGTTCTGGGTACCATTTAAAGTTATTTGCCCTTTCCCCCCAGCTGAGCTCCACTGAGCTCAGCAGAGAGCTCACATTGATAACGGCTGCTCTTTGAATGCCCATGGCTACTTCTTTAGATGCTGCTTTCTTTAGCAGAGGAAGGTTTGCCTATTGATATTCAAATATTTGAGACCAATATAACATTTTGTAATTGTGTAATTGTGTCTGAGTGACATTCTATATAAGATCAGAATCAAATACAGTCGTGGACAAAATTGTTGGTACCCCTCTGGCAATGAAAGAAAAATCAACAATGGTCACTGAAATAACTTGAAACTGAGAAAAGCAATAATAAATAAAAAATTACTGAAAATTGTCAAACAAAAATGAAATATTGCTTTTCATCTGTGGTTCAACAGAATTATTAGAAAAAAAACTAATAATGAAACTGGCCTGGACAAAAATGATGGTACCCTTAACTTAATATTTTGTTGCACAACCTTTTGAGGCAAACTCTGCAAACAAATGATTTCAGTCATTGTCAATGAGACTTCTGCACTGGTCAACTGGTATTTTTACCCATTTCTTGTGAGCAAAATGCTCTAGTTGCCTTAGGTTCGAAGGATCCTTTCTCCAGACAGCATGTTTCAGCTCATTTCACAGATGTTCAGTAGGATTGAGATCTGGGCTCACAGAAGAACACTCCAGAACAGTCCAATGTTCTTGGGTGTTTTTAGCTGTGTGTTTTGGGTCATTGTCCTGTTGGAAGACCCATGACCTAAGACTGAGACTGAGCATTCTGACACTAGGCAACTTGATAGTTTTGAGATTTCATTGTGCCTTGCAAAGATTGAAGACACCCTGTGCCAGATGCAGCAAAACAGCCCCAGAACAAAACCAAGCCTCTTCCATGCTTCATGGTAGGGACAATGTTCTTTTCAGTTTTCTTCTTCTCTTTCTCTTGTCCATGTTCACTGTTATATCCATCATGTCTCCAAACAGCACAATGACATGTCTCCCTTTAAACAGGCACACTGACTGAGGACAAGTTTGAAGACACCCGTGATGCAGATTAGAGGACACACCTAAGTTTAACATGTCCCTATTGTCCAATTATTTACAATCAATCTTTTCTAGAGGTACGATCCTTTTGGTCCAGGCCAGTTTCATTAGTTTGTTTTTCTTAAATAATTCTGCTGAACAACAATTCAAAAACAGTGTCTGATTTTCATTGGTTATTTGTCAGGAAATTTTAATTTATTATTGCTTTCTCAGGTTCAAGTTATTTCAGTGACCATTGTTGATTTTTCTTTCATTATAAGAGTGGTACCAACAGTTTTCTCCATGACTGTATATGACATCCAGTAGCCTAGGCAGGTATCCTCACTGCAGTTATAAGCTGTATTTATATCGCTATCTCTATTTTTAATAAATAATATATTGTTAATAAGATTTAAGTTATGTCAAAGAGAAATTACTTACGATTAGTGTAAAATTCTCCACAGTGAGATAGTAAAGTTCTTATCTTTTTAGTGTCATTAGAAGAAATTTCCTCTTTGATTACCTTTGTGATCATCAGCGGAGCCACAGCATTAGTCTGAAAATTCTCCATCATTTTTTCAGCTGTAACACTCCCAAAATCTGCCACTACGTTAGTGATCAGCTCTATGGTGCCACTTTTATTGGGCTGTAGAGTGATGGTTAAGGTTAGGACCTGGTTTTGATATTACAGTTAAAGATCCTATTACACAAAATGGATTCTTGTGAGCGTTAAGCCATGTTAGAATGTCATTACCTCAGAAACATACCAGGAGTTGTGTTTTGTTTCATTTGCATGTTTTAGTAACCCTTATTTATTATCTCCAAAGCTCAAAATACGCTGTTCCACTATGTCACAGGTGTCAAACATACGGCCCGGGGGCCAGATCCGGCCCTCCAAGACCTTTAATCTGGCCCTCGGCTGATTTTCTACTAAAATATTTTAATTATATTTTCTATTAAAATCTTGTTAATTTTCTGCGGTGTTTATCACAGCAGTGTCTCCAGCGTCTCTGTACGTGGCCCCTCCCACCAGAGCAGCACAAATGAAGACTTGTCTCTTTCCAAACGCTCTTAAAGGACGATCGTTTTGACTGTTGACTGTGACACCCTCATCAGAAAAATGTCCAACATGAGAAAAGTGGAGCCGAGTGCAGGATTTTACAACAAAAATTGACTTATTCCTGTTTACATACAAGTTCATGTTAAAACATTGTGTTGAAATTGTATTTTTCTTAAAGTTTCAGGTTGTTCATAATATTATAATATTTTGTAAAAGAAAGAGTTCATCAATTCAAAAACATTTCTGTAATAGATTTGTGTTTCTCTGCACAAATATTTGAACTTATTGTTACTTTTGGGGTTTATATGACATGAGTTTTCTGATCCGGCCCCTTTGGGATCAAAGTCGGTTGGATACAGCCCCCGGAACAAAATGAGTTTGACACCCCTGCACTATGTGATATCACGTAGTAGTAGTTTTCAAGTTAGCAGCTACCTTTTAGCTTTTGTTCAGAGATGGGCAGGATAGAAATTATCCAAATGACTCTAGTGAAGGTGTATGGGGGTTTAAAAACACAGTAGAGCACTTCCTGTATTACCTCATGACATCACGAAGTGGAACACAGTTTTTTGTGTGAATTAAACTAAACACAACTTCAGGTATGTGATGGAGAAACAACATTATAAATAACATAGATCAGAAAATAGGGTAATATGGACCCTTTAAGGTTAGGGCCAGGGTGAGGGTAGGGTTATGACTTTACTTTCAAACAACAGTATATTTTGAGTGTGAGAAAACTATGAGAAGTTTGACCGTGGGAACATAGAACAGTGGGATTTAGACTTTGCATTGTAAGGTTTCTAAGTGCATTAACAGAGCACATGTTAACAGCTCTTTACCTGTGAACCTGTTAAAGTAAGTCACACTATAAAATTGTGTTTTTGTCAAATAAAAATCATCCAAACGATGCAATGTATTCATAAATGATTGATTTTTACCCACGGTGACAATGTGAATTTTGGGATTTTTCTCGGACACTTCTCAAAGTTTCTACAAATCAGATAAATATACAGCCAAATGATAAAACTTATTTGATTAGGGTGACCAGAATTTCTGAATAAAAAAAACTGGACATCCCCGGTTTCTTGGTGGCTGGCAATAATAAAATTGTGAAACAAGTGCGTAATTAAGGGTAATTAAGGTTATGCAGAGACCATTCACGACTAACATATGAGCCAGTATAGTCAAATTGTTTTGTGTTTTGCTTGTGTTTAAGCAGATTTTATATATATATATATATATTGCCTAAACAAATGACAATTTATGCCTCTCTTTACAGTTGGCAGGTATCAAACTGGTCAAAAAAATGACACCTGGGATATTTCTTGTATAAACTTGGGTCAAATCAATGGTTTTGGATAAATCCACTGGGACAGAGAACACAGGGCTCAGAACTGGGACTGTCCCGAGTAAATAGAGACTTCTGGTCACCTTAAATTTGATCACGTGGCGACCTCTAGCGACCTTATGCTAACATAGCGTAGCGTGGATTTCTACTACTATGGTGTGCACAATATGTCCTTTTTATTTCGCCTGAACACCAACCAATATATATAAACATATTTTTAAAGAGTTACTTTTACCTGTGACCTGGCTGGGTCGAGTTGTCTCCGTTTACTAGACTTTCCACTATCTGCAGTCCAAAGCCCTGTACTTGCACCAGTTATCATCACTGAGCAACAATATTCACCGCACCACTGTTCATTTTTGTCGCCAACTTAATTTTATAGGTTTACACGAAAATAAATCGAGAGAATAAATCAGAGAAATGCTGCTAACAGTTTATGGCTCCTGGCTGTAGTTGTGACGCAGATTCTCCGGCAGATGGCGCTGGACACCGCCGTCTAGCTAGGTGATTCAGAGTGTAGTCCACTTTACTGTTGATATTTTCATAATCTTAGAATAAACCTTAAATAAAATAAGATCACTGAAGGTCTACAATGAACAAAACAATGACCTACTTCTCACGTGAGGCTGGGACTGGGAGGAGGCTATGTAGGTCACACGTGGAGGCTAATCCTAATCGCAAACGCAAAGGTACACGACATGGCTTTTCAGGCGAAGGACCAATAAATACATGAAGGTATTTATGAACAATAAAACAAATAAATGCATAATGCCCACTTGATAAATTTAATGCAGTTCTGTCGAGAATTGCAGATTAAACAGTTGGCCAACATTAGTACATTATACATTAGTTTCGCAGTACACCTTTAAGTTTTTAAGGTTGGTAGTGTGACTTGATTAAGAAGTTACCCTTGTTTATTTGTGGTGATAAACATTTGTAAGACGCACATAGTTTAGTTTAGTTTGAGTTTAAGGTTAGGCAGGGAAGTAGTAACTATATGGTTAAGATTAGGATCAGTCTCCTAAAATTAATTTAAACCAATGAAATGTCCCCAGAAATACTGTAAAATCCCTCGGTCGTCCAGAGAGGCAAAGGGGAAATTCAATTTGTCAAATGAACAAAGTTTATTTTGTTGAAAACTTTCTCTGAAGAGAACTGAAGAAACATCTTGGATGAGCTGCAAAACATTTTCAACCAAAATAAACTTTGTCCAGTTAATAAATTGATTTCTCCTTTGCCAACCCATTGAAAAGGGTACAAACACATATAATACTGTTGTAGTATTAAAGGGGGTAATTGATTGGAATTGAGAGTACTAAGCAGGACTCACGTGGCCTTTGTGAGTGTTTGGCTTTGACTAGAAGTAGAGTTTTGGGGCACCACCTAACAAATGTTGAGAAATATTACCAATCCAGTATAATCAATTATCTAAGTTAAACAGTTGTGAGAAGAGGAAAGGTACGTCTTTAATCTCACATGTGCATTATGAACCATTAACAGATTTACACAAATAAAAGATATTTACATGACATTTACAGATCAATATTCAAACAACACTGACAATATTCACAGCATGAACAGTTTATACCATTCCTCTTCTTTCTGTAGAGAAAGTCTTTTATTTGTGTCTCAGTTATGGCTAGTTTATCTGAATTTATTTCAGTCACCTGGTTTCTTTATAGGGAAAACATTGTAGATGTTGTAGCTCTTTTGGAGAGTCTTTGTGTAAAAAAGTTAAAACTTGCTTGCTGCTGCTTGCAGAACACAAGTCTCTATCAATCTTGTCTTATCGATCAGCTCCAGGGTCCAGAGAGCCAAAGGGAAGTGGAGGATGGTCATGCATCCACAGTCATATAAGAAATTACCTAGCCCAAACTACTTGGTTTGGTGAAAAATTTCCTTCTACCATGACAACAGTGAAGCGGCTGCTTCTCACAGTTTCATTTGTCAATCTATAACACTACAATACAAAATTAAATGATTGTAATAAATATACGTTCTATTTAATGATAATGAGTTTCACAGGAAGTGTGCTTTTGCTTTCAGTGTATTACCACATATTAAAGCTTAGAAGAAGGTGCAGAGAGAGGAGGCTGCACAGCTGACGGAGCTAATGCGGCCCCAGCACACAGATGGTTCTTCTGGCAATCTCCACAGTCCAGAAATCTTTTAAAGCTTTTGGAGCTGGAGAGAAGCAGATACTCACCTTCAGCTCCAGGTCAGTTCATTTCTGGTTTCTGTGATGTACTGGGAGACTTACGTTGGCACACACCATGCTGGGTAAATTATGGGTTAGGAACAATATAATACAGACTGGCAAGCCTCGGCATAAGATCCATTGTGCACAAAAAAAGAAAAAAAAAAAGGTGTCTTGGATCACAAATTGTGTCTGAGCAGAGGGAGAGAGAACTCCAATTTTACCACTACAGCACTACAGATGTCTATACAAGTAATTTTTGCAACAGAAGAGTGAGGGCAAGAATGTGGCGCACTTTGTAACAAATTGTGATTACAGCTAACTGCTAATTGCATTAATGCAGCTACTGAAATCCAACACAATTATTTACTCAAATCGAAGCTTTATCTGCAACTTGAAATGGAAATATTGATCATCATATGAACTTCTTCCTTTCCCATGTTCCCCAAAGGATCCCCTTTCAAATGTCCTTCCTGGGCTATTTCTACTTTGTGGTATGGAATAAACATTAGTGGGCCATAGGGACTTACTGAGAAATTATAGAATCACTAACCGTCTTTCTTGTGTGCATGCTATCATGAATTTGCAGCTATTTGCCGAAAAGTAATGTTAGATTGTTGACATTGAGTGTTTGTAAAAAAGACACTGGACTGAATTTAAGCTTAAAAATACAAAAACCTCATCATCTAAAAATGTAACACTATCTTGCACCAACCCCACTTGAGTCTTGCTAATTTGTGCATCTAGATTAATATAATTAGCCAATATGTCATGGTTTATTAACCTGTGATGAAGATGTCAGTTGGTTGTCATATCAATTTGCACCTCTAGATGGTGTTGAGAGCTGCTTTGATACAGGATGAAATTCTATGTCACTTTCCTAAGGGTATTCATGAGTGATTGGACAGAACAGACACATGAATAAAATGACTGTAAGAAAAACATCTAAAATGAGGTCAAGTGAATTCAAGTCATAATTTTGATAACTACTTGATTATGATGTGGAAAAATTGTATAATTCCATACAGGTGATGATGTTCATTACTTGCTGATGATATTTGGCACGCAGGGACGGCAGTGGCTCTGTAGATAGAGCAGTGGTCCCCAGCCCATAGAACAGGGGAATAGTGTTCCTGCTTGGGCAACGTTCTGTCATTGTGTCCTTCAGCAAAACACTGCTCTCTTAGGGGGCAGGTCTTCTCAGTGTAGTATAAATCCTTGGGTCTCAAACCAATACTATCAATTGAAAATGGGTTCTGGATTGGAGCTGAAATGTCTTCATTGCAAAAACAGCGTCTGGATGACTACACTCAAACCTTCTGTACTTTGGACCACTCCTGGATGAATGAGGGATTACACTGTCTATTCTTGTTTAGGGTTCATTGTTAGCAAGGCATGCACCAGAATGTGGGCTGAGGCATCCATTTCTCATCTTCATCATCACTTATTTAATTTATGTCAGCTATATTTATAAAATGCATCAATAAATGAGCAGGGTTCTTTTCGTCAATGAATAAATTATGGCTGTTTGTATGCTCTGTGGAGTATGCTACATCAGCAGATATTATGAGCTCATCACATTAGCATCCTCATGTTATTCTAGATGCTTTTCTTTCTCATACAACACATGACATAAAAAGTCATGACCACTCAAACTATTACACATAGACAGCCTTTTTATATGGACAGACACAATAAAGAAACAATTCAAAGTTGTTACATCTATACTATTACAGATGCACTATGTAACTTTTATAGTGGTGTATGTGTGCCAATTGCTTGTTATTGGTTTGTCTTGAATGTCCTGCTCTTGGTCCCACTCTGACCTCTCTGTAGCTTCTGTAGATTACACATTTGTAACTGTAGCAAATAAAATATTAATAACTGCTGCATAATTGTTTACCATGTTTACGTCCCATATACCATTTTTAGATAAGAGTTTATTAAGTGTAAGACTGCACATTTCACTGGTCTGACCATCTGAGTCTAATAGGCAAAGATATGAGAAATGCATACAGATACAGTTTTCAATCTGTACAAAAATTATACAGTGTATTGAAATAGTATTATTAAAGCAGCCTTAAATTCATCTGGATTATACTGGACTTAAATAATTGCTTTGATTTACATTATTTAGTATATTCATGTTTAGGACAGGACGTTGCATATGACATAACTAGCAATAAAAATGACCAAATACTATATTCATAAAAATGGTCTTAAACCATATTCCCATAATTCTGAGTGACATACTGATCAGCATGACCACTATTCCCACCAGCGTTTGTCCAGACATATAACCCATGCGCTCAGCAAATCTTTAATTAGATGTTTTTCATCCAGAAATCGATCTACATCCCACTTTAAATGAAGTTGTGCCTTTAGAAATTGTTCCCCACATCAACGCGTTTACTTCTCTCAACGCTCTGTTTGAGGGCCTGACTATGATGGCTGCTGAGTCATCTCTCTACTCGACTAAACAGTAATTAAAGATCCAACATTGTCAGGGCTAGATGGGGGAATGCAGGTTGCTATGTTGTATTGCACTTAACAAAGGATATAAGCACCCTGGTATTTGTAATGCAGCAAGGACACTCTTAAAATAGGATATGCGTGTGCCAACTTGTACTGACAATGAAAAATATCTTCAATTTTTTTGTCGGCAGGTCTCACAAATTGACAATACACAGCAAATGACATAGCTATATTAGTACGACGCATAAAGATCTAGCTATAAAAGTTTGCTTTTTATAGAGATGCTCTTCAAGCATCAGTGTGAACTCACCACAAGTCACAGAACTTCTTCTTTCTCCCATTCAGGGATCCCCTTGTTTTCCCAGTGCACCTGCATGCCATTGGAAGATTGTGTTGCTTTTGATTAATTGATGCGAGTTTGCACCAGCTCCACAGTGAGTGAGTCTGTGTGTGTGCGCGCGCGTGTGTGTTTGTGTGTGTGCGCGTGTGTGTGTTTGTGTGTGTGTGTGCGCGTGTGTTGTATTATTCAGATCCCTTTAAAAGCATGTCAACTCAATTACAAGGGCTCTACTAGATGTATCATGTCCTGTCCAACTGTCTCAGCAGAAACAAAATGTCCGGATCCAACTCATAACAATATTTTGGGAGTTTCTTCTTATCTTTATTGAAAACACTGACCTGTTGTAGCAGGACAAGACTGAAAAATTTGAAAACAAACTAATTGTGTAGTGTAATCAAACAATGTTGGGAAGATCCATTTTGTCTTGAGTACCCTCCAAGTTATTTTATCTCACACTCCAAGTACTTCTTAACTTGGGTAGTATTCAAATAAATCTGTTTACTATAGTCATATATTTTTAAATTATTACAATGATATTTCCCTGTTTTAATGATACAGATGTCCAAAATTGTCTTAAATGTTCAAGAGGACATGAACTGTAGCAGTTTTACTCATTACATTTTTATTCATGTACTTATTCATTCCGAGTACCTCCTGGTTAATATCTCACTGGGAAACACTACTGTAATCTTTCAAAGAAGGGTATATTTGTACTTGACAGCACATTTTGGATCAATGCAATACTGTCTCAACATGGTCTTGGGGATAATAAAGAAAAATAATATATCAACGTTAATTTCTTGGAGTAATGCCCACCCCACTTTAGGGTAATGTTCACACTGTATACTTTTACAGTATAGAGTTAAGGGGAACAAATATCCAGTCTGAAACTAGCCCCTTTAAGATATTTACTGCTTTTGTTTCTCCCACTGAACCATGGTTTATTTAGTATAATACACAGACGTTATATCATACTGATCCCCTCTAGCTTTGTGACATGGTATTTCCCTAGTGTAAGTGGCATGACTGAATTATCATAAGATGGGAAACATGATTCAGTTCAAATGTATTATATTTAGAGTAGCCTTTGTGATATGCAGCTGTATCCACACACTGTGAATAAGAGAGCAGTGGCTCATTTCACACACAGGCTATGCCTCACAGTGCTGCATCAGCAATATCATTCCACTTGTTTCTGCTGTCATTTCCATTATGCAACTGGGAAAAAGACATCAAGCTGCAAATGAAGCTGTCGAAGCCTGTGCCAAGGCAAAGCAGCCACTATTACTCTGATCTGCCACAGAGCAGCGCACAATATGCAATCAGCATGTCAGGAATAAACAAGGTCTATGAGCCAAGAGCTCCCCTTATCTGGCCCCTTTTCTTCATCTTTCCCTGGTTGTTATACAATCACCCATACTCTTGTAAATTCAGCCATCTCAAGTTTAAAAGGGAAATATGAGGAAGAAAACCTGTTAACATTCTTTACTAAAGCCTTCAGAAGATAAATATGTTGTTTTCATGTGGATGGTAATATGGCGCTAGCTGCCAATTGTTAATAATGCCAAAATAAATTAAATTAATTAAAAATCCAGTCTTCAGGAAGAACTAGAACCTTCAAACAGTGTAAAATGTATTTTAAATAAATCTGGCAATGCTATCATAGTTATCTTAAAATTAAGACTACTCAGTAAACAGATTTTATCATAAGACTTTATTATGATTTCAACTGACAGAATCAGCCAAAAACAAACATGTAAATGATATAGGTGTAAAACTCAGTTATAATAAATAAGATAAATTCAAACACAGTTTTGCAGTTTCTCTTGACTATATTTTATGGTAGCTAATGCAAGAGCAAGGGGACTGAATGAAGCCAGGTTAAGAGGTCAGGGTTCAAAGGTCAATTCTGTGGAATGAGGGGCTTATGGTAGAAATTGCGAGCCAGGCAAACCACTGACGGCCCAGGGGTCAACAGGAAGTAGGAGTATTTAACCGCTCATGGTTTGATAATTGAAAGTGAAGTGGGGATGAGCTGCAGTGTGCTCATAGTGCATTTTTCATTCCTTCATATTATGTCAGGGACACTAGGTCAGAGGAGCAGAGTGTGCTTGGCACATGCACCTGGTTTATGTTTCCAGGCTGCTGGAGGTGGTTTTAGGAGGGCAGGGCAGGGCTGGGCAGGCAGAGAAAAAAATGAGGATTTGCAAGAAGACAGAGAAGAGTCACACCATGGGCTCCCTGCACAGGACGATCTCGAGCTCACTGCGGTACAGCTTCCCCCCGTCAGACAGGGCCATGATGCTCTGCTTGTAGCCTGTCAGGTTCTTGGCATCCACCTCCTGTATATATCAGGACAGGTCAGAGGTAGTGATTTTGCGTACACCTTTAGCCATAATGAGGAAATAAAAGAGGAAGGAATTCTACAGTCTAGCAACAGGGATATTTACCAATAAACCAATGGAATAGGCTTCCAGAAAACACTATTATTAAGTGCTAAGTATTCCAAAGTCAAAGTAAGACTTCTTTTTTTACAATCAATACTTAACAACACGCGCTGCATTTAAACAGCACTTCACCTTAACTCACCTTGTTGTTTGTCTGATATAGGTCTCGTAGCAAAGCCTCCAGCTCCTGCTCATCGATGTAGCCATTCCCATCCTGTAACAAAAAAGTCAAATGACTTCTTTTTTATTTAAAGTAAATTGCCAAACTAAACTTTAGTCAGTAAGTGATGGCATTTCCCTAGTGGCCATAGTGGTAGTGGATGATAAACCCTCCTCATTCACAAAAGGAAAGATTCCATGTGGAGCTACTTTGCTAATTAATAGATCAATGGTCTCCAGATAGTGGTTAGGGTCTGGGCCATAAAACAAGTCCAGCTCATTGGAGATGCTCCATCAGCAGTTGGCACAAAAATATCTTCATCTAGGCCCAGTCTCCAGATAACCACTGTGTTGAGATGCTTGCCAGTTTTATTTTGAACAAAGCTCCTCTCGATTGTCCCAGATCTCTGAAATAAAGTGAGGCTCTATTTGTTTTCCTTTTTAGGATGAAACAAGTCTGTGCAGTTTTTTCAGTCCGGAGACGGGGACATTATGAGCCAATCTCCCCAAATCCCTGCACCATGTTGTATTCAAACATTTTCAAGGCTGTACACAGTTTGCCCTCTGGTCCTGTGAGCTTTGTACTTTTTTAGCCTTGAACAAAATGACAAAACTCATCATTATAGACGCATACACGCCCCGTTCTATGTTGTGCAAGCTGTGAATACAAAATGAATGCAGCACTTCACAAACCACAAATATCATTTTCACTATAGAGCATGGGTAGTATCAAATGTTGAAATATAAAACTTTGCTTCGAATACCATATCATGCATTTGGGTCAGACAACGAAAGCCTCAAATAAATTAGATATTTTTAAAAGCTTATAGCCCAGAAATGTAATGATCACTTGCAACTTTAATGTGCTTTACGTGGTTAAACGTGCACTGTATAACTTTTCTGGTGTAGGGTCTGGCACCTGCTTTTCTCCATGGAAATGTTATTGCTTTGTCTGAAATATTTCACAGTATGGCATTAAACATGTCTATCCTCATGGAGACCAAACCGGGACAAGGTACAGGTCAAATCTGTGGAGAAGCAACCTCGCTTCCAGGTAGAATGCTTGTTTTTTGGTTGTATGTAAGGTAGATCTGTTTAATATCAATCTGTGGAATGACTGAAACAAGAAGGTGACAGATGCAGCCTACATGTCTGTAAGCTACAAGTAATGGTCATTTGCCAAAAGTGTTTCACATATAGCCAAGTATAAAATAAAAAGTAAAAATATCTTGGCAGGTGTAAATTAGTGGAGAATTTCTGTCCATATGTTTTTCTTCAGTCAGTGCTAAACCCTGCTAATGTGGAATAATAACAATGCTATTTAATAATGAGCGGCTGCAAACTACTTAGGGCTGTTTACAAAGGGACAGGTGTGCGAGCTCCTGTCATTTCCCTAGAGCGCCTATACAAAACAGGAAATTTGTATATTCATTACACAGAGTCACGGAAACAACCATAGGCTACCTCCAGTGTACCACAATTCTCCCTCTATGCAATGCCATCACTTCTATTGTACGGATTAATAATTTTTTGACTCTTAGCCCTAAATAATCACTACTGAACTAAGCTTTTATAAATGAGAAGGTGTGTTGCTGACCTCGGATTATGTTATTGTTTTTATTATGTAGAGAGAGATTTGGGAGTAATCCTTTAAATCTTATAAATTGTACTGAACCTGGTATTTTTAGCTATTTCATTTTTGTGTGTAACACGGAAGACCTACCTTGTCATAATAATTGAAAATGGCATTGAATTGCTCAGCAGTCAACTTCACGCCCTGTAAAATTAAAGTAGAAATTAATGGCCACATGGGACACTTTTTAGAACTAGCTGTTAGATTCTGCAGCTGGGGCTTTACCTGGAATTTGAGCAGGAAATTCTCCTGAACTGGGAGCAGCCTGAGAGAGAGAGAGAGAGAGAAAGAGAGAGAGAGAGAGAGAGAGAGAGAGAGAAAAGCATAGCCATGTTGCATCAGTGGACATAAAATGGAGCTCAAAATTCACTGAAGCATTTCAAAAGAGAACAGTGTTACCTTGCCATCTCCGACAGGCCCAACTTCCCATCTCCATTCAGATCAAACATCTTCAGCTACGACAGGAACAGAAAGACAGGAACAAAATGTGGAAAACTTTGGTCAGTTTTACATTGTAAAATGAGGGGATTTATTTAGATAGTGAGAGAAAAAAAAAACTAAACTAAACACAAAAAAAAATATTGCAGCATAGTGATCGTCGTGTTTCTGTATTCAATTTGAAAGGTTCAATAACAAAAACAAATATTTCATTTTTTCTGTGTTTTTTTTTTTTTTTTTTTTTTGTTACCATCTTCCATAGATATTAGCGATGGCAATTATTTATAGTGGATTTTATCAAGAAGGAATGGAATTTATTTTTGTAGCAGTAAAATAGATTACTTTTTCAAATGGCACTGGCTTTTGCAAATGAACTCTTCTGTTACCAAATCGTAACGTACACTTGCCACACACATTCATAGCTTGTATCAGCTGTAACTCTCAAGTCAGCTTGTCTAAAAGAAAAGTAGGTTAAACATCTGCATTGTAGCACAGAAAACCCTTGCAGTGGAAATCAAGTGAATCTTAAAGAAGAACTCATTTTGGCTCAAGCCAGTTTTTTTTCTGGGGCTGTAGGAGTGAGCCGCAGCTGTGACCACATCTGAGCAGTGAACAGTGAAGAGCATGAGGGGTCACTGAGCTGACCCAGGCACCAACACTGTGGAAAACTCTTTATATTACACTCCTGTGACATGCTTGAGTGTGGTGCTTACAATAGTCTGTGTGTACTCCTGGAGCTTCTGGTCATCATAGTGTCTGTTGGCCTTCTGCAGCAGGTCCGAGAGGAAGCCCTGAGGAGAGAGAGTACTGTGTGAGGGACAAATCAGGACATGAGCCTTTTCAGTCTTTGTTCTTCCTTATTGCCAAAAGCACATTTTGTCATTTCACAAGCCATTCTGCTGGACTTAATCTCCTAATTTTCTGGCAGATTCCAGTTGAAGCATAACATTACGCAACATTTAGAGGTTTATCTATTCATGCTCTTTATAGGAAAACAAATGAACTGGATCTGCAAACAACAGACCATGGTCCTTTACCAGTCAGGACCTTAAGTTAATTATTATTATTATGAAACTTCAACATAACTACCAGTTAATAAACTTTAGTGAGCTACATCTAGTAACACAAATGCTAGTTATTAAATTCAGGTCTGGTTAAATAGTTGTGTCAAGACGGGCATCTGATTTAAAAGCCACATTTATTTGAAAACAACTAGCAGGTCGACAGATGGTTTGCTGTAATGACCCACTAAAGTAAAATGTGCCACATTTGATCTGCGCTAAATGTACCTATAACTTTTACTCAATTGTAATATATTACGTGACTATGTAACATGGATTTTACTTGTTTCATGATTACAGTCAAATAGAATGATGATGATGATGATGAACCGGTCCTATGGGGTCTATGTGTGGGTAGGTGGTTGCTTATCACCTGTAAATGCACACTCAAGTGAGCATCAAATGAAAGAGAGATTTGTAGGATTCTTTATGACTCTCAGAGGTGCATTTCTGTTGATTGGTATTAACTTGTCATCGGATTATGAAGTGTATCCTGTATTATGACATTGAAGCCTTCAAAATATGAATAGGCCCATTTGCCAACTCTGAAATCCAGCCTATCCCCTTGATTGTACATCTCTCTGGAGCCCCATATCCTAATGACATCTCTGAGTTGGTCACAGTGCAGCTCGTCTGCTGCCCGTCTCCTCAGGTGCAGCTTTCCAGAGCTCTGCCACAGACACACCTGAGTTATTCTCCTCTGCACCTCTCCGAGCGGAAACCGATGTGGTCCCATAACAACCTGAGCAGCTTAATAAGGGCATGAGGCGTAATGACTGCACCTTTAACATGGCTGTATGGTCACAATCCTCCTAAAATCAGAGGAAGTGGAGGGCATTCGTGCACTTTTCAATGCTTTGGGGACCTGAGACCACCACTGTAAAAAACACTCCATCACTGGGGAGTGTGACGCAGGGCACTAGTTCAAAGCCAGAACCATGTTTATTACGATGCAAGTTAAATGAAATGTTTATACCATGCGACATTTTATCTGCTTGCTATGTACTGCATAAGGGAAAAAGTGTCCAGATTGATATATATAGTAGAGTTATTAGATATTGTGAAAATAGTGAAGTACTTGTTGAGTTTCTCTGGACAGAGTTTTCTGCTGGGGGAATCTGCAGGATAAGCATTCAGTACCCGAGCATAATGCATTCTTTCTTCTTTTTATTGATACAGAGCAATTTAACAAGTAGAAGATGATTAACATAATGTAATATAATGAAATGTCAAATGAACATGTGAACAAAACAATCAATAGCGACACACCAGAGTATGCTGATTACAATGAGGAGAATTGCATCACACAAACTATTACAAAATGAAACAGCCTAAAGCAATGTGATTAAAATGATACATTCACGGGTTGTCATGCTGTTGTTTTGTAAAGTGATGGAAAAAAGAACAAATAAATGAGTGTAAGTTAACAGCAAACAAAACAGGCATTTTAATCATGCTTTATTAAACTTTGCACAAATCAAATTGCCAAGAACCAGCATATAATCTATCATATTTAAATCCAAGTATTATTTTTATTTTTAAGTGTTATATCCTTACCTTCAATTCATTTGCCTCAATGTAACCACTGCGATCTGTATCATACCGCCTCCATGCCTGTAAAAGGAAGAAAAGAAAGCGAAAGGTTAAACCCAGTGAATTCTCCCTTCTTCTATTGATACAGTACATTAATGGATTTTTCCCCTGAAACAATTGTCTTGCTTAACCACAATGACCAGGTTCACCACTGCACACTGGTTTGCACACACCAGTGGAAGTCATTTTAATGTTTTAATCTCACAGCTGTCTCTGTCCAAAGGAGGGCTCCTTATCAAAGATGGATGCCCCCACTACCCCAACCCCCTCCACCAATCCTTCTGTAGAGAGTAGCTAGGTTGTTATTCATTATATATGACTCTGGAAATAGAAGCTTCCTCATTCTAACCCTTTCAAAAACCTTTCCTCCCCAACAAGCCGCCAACCCAACCAGCCCTTGAAACAATGACCGATTAATCTATGTTATCAGACTCTCTGTGACTTTTAACAGCCCATCACAATTTAATCTACCACTGCTGTGTTTCTGCTTACTCCAAAGCACCCTTCTTTCGCTCCTCTTCCCCACTATCTCTCTCTCCTTCATCCTTACACCACAGTGACAGCGACAGCCACAGCCCAGGGGCGTAATTGGTTTCTAATTGTCAGCGTTAGACTGTTGGAGCACATCTAACATGAAATCTGCCATTTTCCTTATCTTTGTGAGGTATTTAGTGAAATAAATGACTCCCTCCCAGCTTGTAGCTTTCATCGCTTGTAACAGTCTCTCTGCTCTGGGCTTTTTCTTATGCCTATTCTACCATTCATTATTAAAGGACACTGTGCTAAAGTTAGTTACAACCTCATTCAACATTTTCATCTGGATAAGCTGTTGTGAGAGAATAGCGGGTGTACAATATTGCCGTCGCGTCACTGCTTGTTGTGCTTGTTTGTGTGTGTTGCCCAAAAGCCCCATGATAAATAGACTTATTTTGTCAGTGCATATTGGAATGTGCACTGACATTCTTTTCTATTTGAGCCAGATGTCTGTAGCCTGCACATAAACTGGTGTTGGATTAATCTCGTACTCTGTTATTGTTAAGGTTCTGAAGACTTGTCACACGCAATTTTTGACTTTTGCAGCAACTTGTCACGCTGTCAATCTTGAATCTACTACAATGTGATGCCTGTCACAGTGTATAGTTCTTGGTTAAAGGGATTACAGTGTAGATATACCATTATAATGCTGTCATGATGATGTTTTGAATCACAGAGTTTTGTATATAGAATGTTTCTGGATAAAATGTAAGTGTGACTGTAGTATTTTTTTGTCATTTTTTTAACCAATGAAGTCATTAAAACAAAATATAAACTCAGAAAGTGTTTACGTGGGATGGTTTACATGTCTTTGATATTAACTACTATTCAGCGGTAGTAGCAGGTCGTGTTTGGACTTTTTCGTGTTTGGAATGTGACAGGAAATTCAAAGTTCTGCCACAAACTGCGCTGATATTGCTTTGTATGGAATACTTCTATTTGGAGGGAAACTTTTTTGCTGTTTCCTTAAGTTAAAGTGCCTCTCTTAAGCAAAATTGACTCTTGTGAGCTTTAAGCCATGTTATAATGTCAAAAACATACCTGGAGTTGTGCTTTGTTTGAATAACCCTTTATTATTAGTCTGTCTACATCTCCAAAGCTCAAAATACTCTGTACCTTCTAATGCTATGAAGTGGTAAATTTCAAGTTAACAGCTACCTTTCACCTTTAGTTCAGTAGAGATAGGCAATTCCAGGGCTGAAATGATCCAAATGATTTTAGTGAGGGTGCATAGAGTTTAAAAACACAGTGGAGCGCTTCCTGTTTTGCTACATGACATCACAAGGTAGAACAAGGTGTTTTCTTTTGGAGAGAAGAACTCCGCCTAATATGCAGGATTTGTTATAATATGTGTGAATGAAACAAAACACAACTCCAGGAATGTTTGTGATGAGGAAACGACATTATAACAGAGATCAGAAGATAGCGTAATATGGGCCCTCAAATGAAGCATGCTTACTCTAATCTTACTATGCATACAAGAACATTACTTTGATCAAACAAAACATTTCTCAGGCAGCTCATGGCCTCTCAATATTACTTTGGCTCATCATTGCATTCTTACCGCCATGAACTCAGCACTGGAGCTGACAAACTGTCTGAAGCAGAGCAGGAAGTTCTCTTCAGTGGGCAGAATCTGGGCCAGCTGTGGAGACAAGTGACAGGCAAATGGAAGCGGTGAGAATACACAAGATGGCGGCAACGGAGAGATAAAAACTGGGAGAGCTTTTTGTCTTTAGTGCCTCGAACTTATTATGCATGAATAATATAGCGACATAACCTCAGAAAAGTTACAGTTTTAAGTCATTGTGGGCGATTTGAGTTTGTAGCAAATTAATGTCTTTGAAGATCTCAGGCAAAAGAACAATAAAAATGGTGGGAAATTGCGCCCAAAATTGACTCTGGAGAGTTTCATAAAGGCTGCATTTATGTAATCGACTGGAGTATTGACTTTGGTCTCACATTTTGTCAGTTCTTTGATTTTTCTCTCCTCGCAAAATATAGACCTCATGCTTCACATACTCCTCCTGCTGTGGGTTTTCTGTTAACTTGTAGTTAAAATCAACATGTACAAAGCCAAAAATACTCTAAGGAAATCACTGACCCTGTATAGTTACATAGACCCCATGAAATTCTTACTTTTCTGCAGTAATTACAATGGTTGCGGAACAATCGTTAGTTTTATCATAGGACTAAGATGTTTTTTCTTTCTAATTTATGTTGAACTTCAATATAGAATATAGAAATGAGCCTGAATGACTAAATATACTACTAATGATGAAAAATTAGGACAGCTGGCATAGCAATTAAAAATTTAAAACAAAATATTTTATCATTTGAAAGGTAAAAAGCCTCAAGATCTTCAAGATGTTGCCTTTATACATGAATCTGAAAGGCATGTACACTACAAAGTAGCACAGATGTGAACAGGGATACTGACCTCTGACATCTCAATGCGTCCATCTTTGTTCTTGTCGAACTTCTGCATGAACTCCTTCATCTTTTCTCTGAAGGTGGGGTTTGTAGGGTCCTGCAGAAGAAGTCCAGTTTGAGATCTTGTGTTGCCCACTCATATACAAGTTTGATAGTTTTTATGTGACATAATTGTTAATGTGCTGTTTATATCAGAGATACATCCAGAAACAAACTTGGGCTAATGTAAAAATGAGGCTAATGTGGCCAAACCAGCCTTTATCCAACATCCATTATGATTTGGCTTTTTTAGTCACACAATACTGTTATGCCCATTTCACTCTAATAATATTTTGGACAGAAATATGTTCATTTACTTGTTAATTTGATGTAGATACATTTTCTATTCCAGGACTTACCACTCCTGCCCCTCTCCGTGCAATCTCCAGCTCCCTGAAGAAGTTCTCCAGTTCCTTGCCTTCAATGTAGCCATTACCTGGAACACAGAGCACCGTGAGATGATAACACATATCATTGCCTTTCTTTAATACTGCTGACATGCATACAACTCATGTGCTCATGAAGTCACACCCGCATCGAAGCTTGACATTGTATTGATCCAAACATGAGCCTTTTACCAGTAACTGTCTTCCTCCCCCTGTACTAATAGATCCAACTATTGATTGGTGCAATGGAAACTGATCACTACTAAAGAACTGCAGGAGGTTAGATATAAAAAAACTGTTTCTTTTTTTTTTTTTAGCAGGGAAGGTGATGTCACATTCCCATATTCTGAAGGAAACTAAAATAAAAGGCAACAGTGGTGGTTTAGGAAAAAGAAGATATTTCAGTAAGTGGGGCAGAATAAGGTAAATATCCATTCATTTGACAAAGCGTTGTTTAAAATTTTAACTTCTCCTGAGCTTCTGTAAAAACATGGCGGTCTGGTGTGTCTGGGTAGCACCCTCTGACCTGCTTTTATCCTGACTTAAGGCATGATCCCATTATTGGAGTTTTTTTTTATGGTGTGGAATAATTGAAAATCTTCATTCAAATGATAACCCATGAACACAATTATATAGATGTATGATTTTATTTCTTCTGGTGTTGGGACTCTCTTTCCATGCCCATTAGCTTGTTCATTAACTTCAAATTAATGCCTTTGTCACATAATGGCCATCTAGATCGTTCCACTAAGACTGCACTGCACTTTAACAATTGAATAAGCTCACTCAATGCATTTCTTAAGCTCTTAAGAAAATACAGTACCATACAGGAGTCAATTTGTTTACTGTATTGCTACCCACTGTCTTTGCATATTGGGCACATACTAAATAAATCCCAATTCTCTTGACGCCTCTAATACTTATCTGCAGCTTGGTTTGCCCTTGCTCTAAAGTTCCTGTGGAGCCTTAATGTTCCTAGCAGTGATCCACTGCCCTGACACTGCTTATTCAGGGGACAAATGAGAGAAGCCGCTCTACACAGGTACTTTGTGAAGCAGTGCCAATTTCCCATCAGCCCGCACAACTCATCGGGCCGGACAGATGGCTCCAAACGATGTGACTACTGCTTCAATAGAACCCTGGAAGGCAGAACTGGCTCATTAAACACTAACTAAGATTATCATGGCATCCCACTTCCTCAACTCGCATGCTGTCTTCTCTTGTCATCTTTGTCCCTCTCCTCCTTCTCTCCCCCCGTCTCTCTATCAGCAGCTTTGGTCTATCTATGGATATATTTGTGTGTGGAAGTGGTACTGTGTGCGGGACAGTGCATCAAGCCCCGCTCTCTCCTGTGGGCCTTATTGACATTTAGCACTCTGCAGAGAAATGGCCTGCTTGATAATTAAACAGAGTGAGATGTGATTAACTACAAGGCAAATGGCATAAAATGACAATAAAAATAGATTTATGAATATATTATGCATGGGTGTTGTCAAATAGTTCAATGGATGTGCCAGTGGGTGTGGTGTTCCATTATGTTTGTGCAGTAAGGAGCATCTGCTGGGCTGTTCTGAGACAGATGTGAAAGCAAATATGTTTATCCCACACAGGGTTGGGCAAAATACTCATTGCATTATGCTGTTATATAGTATATTAATTGTAACTGCAATATTAAAGGTGCACTGCATAACATTTCTAGTAGAGTCCACCACCTGCTTTTCTTCATGGACATGTTATTGCTTTGTCTAGAGTGTTCTACAGTATAGATTAAACCTATCTATCAGGAGGGAGACAAGCAGGTTACTGCACTACACTACATTATTATTCAGATCTTTGGAAAGTCGCCCCATTCACAGTTGAATTATTGTAAATATTGAAATAATTTGAGCAATAGAAACACCTGTAGTGAATAAATGCTAGATGGATATATTGAATGTCACACCATGGAACATTCCAGGCAAAGCAAAAACATCTCCATGAACACAAGGAAGGTGGCAGACCCTCCATCAAAAAGTGACACAGTGCTCCTTTCAACTGAATATTGAGACTTTACGCTGTCTAACTAAAGTAGCTATGCCAGCCCCGAGCCTGACAAAAAAAAAACTGTAAGCAATATTCAAATGCATGTAAGATGTAGGTGAAAATACTCCTACATTATGAAATGAAAGTGATTTGTATAAAGTCATATTTTCAGAAGAATGTGGTCAGATTCTAATCTACTCTGGTATGTTTTACTACTCCCTCATAGAGTCCACTTCATTAAAGATTTACTTAGTCATTTGTTTTTAAGCCAAATACTCAAGCTGATGAAACCCTCTTCATCCAGGCTTGGGCCATATTATAGCTGCCTGGAGAGTTTTTGGCTTGTAATCACATATACAGTAAAAATGTGATAAAGTGATATATGGAAAATACTGCTGAGATCTGCTGGAAGGATCCTATATAGGCCTTAATTTGTTACTAGAAAAGCATAATCTTATCATCTCTGTTTTGTTAAAGCAAAAGTGAATGAACATTTAGGTACTATTTGTTTACACAATGTTACACAATATGTAGCGAAACTGGAAAACGTATAGTGTTTTCTTGAGGAAATGAATGAATTTGGTAATTTTTGTTTATTTGCTTAAAGGAACCAAAATGACAGGCTGATTGTTGTAATTTTGATATTTAAGTACTGTATAGTTTTTGATGTTTAAGCACTGTATAGTTTTAGTTTAAGTTATGAGTCATCAAATGCCACTTTCTTTTAGTCTCTTTTAGTCGTAGCAACACAGCACTTAAGGCATGCACAGCGGCACAAGTGGCTCAAAAAACAGATCATGCATTTTAGGACAGGAAAGTCACACAGTTTAAGAATCAACATCTGTACGTTGGCTAGTATGTTTAACAAAGTGTTTAAAACCTATTTACATTTGCCTTTCAAAACAGCCTATTCAAATATTCTGCATTGAGGGCACACAAGTCTAGGGCACTGATTTCCATCCAGAGCCAGGTAATAGTGGATAGAATGTGAATGAGCTATAATTAGCCATAAAATTATATATATAATTTTTTTATTATTTTTTGATTGAGAGGTACAAAGCGGTCTGTATGTGCCGACATAAAAGAAGAGAGATGAGAGGGACACAATGTGCAGGGAGCTGTGAAAGATGCAATCCAGATGAGATTTGGTTCTGAGCCAACCGGGGAATACAGGGTTTCATCAGACTGGGTGCAATACCTCATGAGTATTTTTACCCACAACTCAACATGTTTATTCATTTTCAGCATATAGCCCTGTTCTCCAGCTCTTCCCAAGCCTAGGACACTCCCAGTAATGAACACTATAGGAGTACAAATCAAATTCACCAGTCAAATTTGATGATTAAATTTGATTTGCAAAGTGGCCCTGCCCACAATATGTAAAAGCATGTATGTAAAACACAACAGAATTGCAAACTGTAAAAGGCGATAACAACTGTGGTGGTGCATATTATTCTTTCTCACAGCCTTCTCCGCTCATCATTCCTGCTTGATTTCTCTGTGGAATAGATTCAGCATCAGAAAACACACATAAGAGGAATTCCCAGAGGGCATTGTGTGCAAATAGGTGGAACGTACATGTACTCCACATCTTGGCTGGTGTGGCATTACAGACACCTTGGGAAGTTGACTGCAATACAACTTTGACATATTAATGATTACACTGCAGAATTTAAATGGAGAATTGAGCTCACCATTGATGAAGCAGTCTGACTGATTGTGTAGCATACTAAATGAGATTGCTAATTAGTTTTAGGTTAACCTTTTCAGATTGAAGTTTGCTGATTATATTCTTACATCCCTGAAGACAACACTTAAACTTTTAAGTTTGCTGAAATATTCTAATACAAGTTAAAAAAAAAAGACTGATTAACATTTGCGTTTTGGGAGTTTTGTGAAACTTAATTTATGGTGAAAGTAGACTATTCCAGATCACAGCAGTTTTCATTACAAATTCCCAGACACAGCAGTTTTCATAACAAATAAAAGCAAATGAACCAACATTAAAATAGTCAGTACTTGATAAATGATAATGAAAAAATTGCTTGGTGGTTGCCAAAACTGAGCTCTCCTGGGAATTTTGTAATCACCTAAAACTCATCTCATCACCATCACACTGCATAATTATTTAAAAGATAGCCCCAATGTTTGTGCAATATCATACAGGTATCCCAAAGCAATATTGAGTATTAAAGACAACTGAGAAAGTTGATCTCCACTTGTGTTCCTTTCAGTGAAATCCAGTCAGTTAGGTATAGTGGGTTTGCACTAATGGACTAATTCTGCACAGAAATCTATTCCTCTGGCCGGCCGTGTGCCCTGCTGTGAGAGAGGCACCACTTGACAGGCTGCAGATGTTGAAAGCTCCTTTGATTGCAAACGAATATCAATAGACGCTGCAGTCATTCACCGCCACTCACTGCGCGAGATCCACTGATTATGGGATCGCTCAGCCCAGAACACAGCACTAATGAAATCTCTTAATTGATTGATAAAATAACACCATTTTAATCAATACCCCTCCTCCTCCTCCCCTAATGATGATGATGTGAATGTGAATATGATTTGCCAGTACAGTGCGTAAATGTGGATTTTCAAATGAATTGCCAGGACTATCACGTGTAGGTCTAACTTAATTGCAAAGCTGCAGGGTTCGTAAAATCATCACATTGAGAAAGAGCTCCCAGTCACTCAACGCGGGAAATAAAAGTTCAAAACGCACTAATGCACGCGCGTTGTCGGGAGTGGTCCGCATCAAATATTCATTTTAGAAACGTCCTACTTAGGCGTTATACAAGAATTGACAGATTTTTTTTCTTGACCTCTTTGACGAAGCTTTCATACACTAAAATGCAAAACACAACAAAGATATAAAAATAGTGTTTGTAAAAAATGGCTCGTAGTTATGGAAAATAATAATAATAATGAAAAATGTCAAAAGTAGGTTTACATTATGACATTTCATTCATTGTATAGTCCAGATTTCTAAGCCTGTGGTTTAGCTTACCCTTTAATGTTTTTTTCCCAATCTATTTGCCATTTATGCCAATGTAAAATGAAAGTGTATAAGAGTTGCCTGTAATATCATTCAAATGGCAGCAGTCAAACTTTTCTTGCTGAATAGTTACTCTTACCGTCGGCGTCAAAGTGTTTCCAGATGTCGAGGAACTGGGACGCAGTGACCTCGGCCAGGTGCAGGTGAGGAGGCTGCTGTGCTTTGTTTGCCATGATGCTGCCGGAAGGATGCTGCGGGTCACTCAACGCGAAATCCCAACTTTTAGCGGAGTCTCACTGCGCTCAAAACACACCCCTCAACACACTGTGGCACCGGCGCGCTCCACGGCGCCTTTTAAACCCACGCGCACGAGCCGTAATGCGGCTACGCTGCCACTGGCGGCGCTCTGCCATCGAGGAGGTCCATCTGAGTCAGCGTCCCGTACAAGTATGTGTGTGTGATGTGCTGGTGTGATAGGACATCTTGGGCACTGCAGTGGACCCTGGGAGTGGATGCAGTTCTCTTATTGTTACATCATCAGTGCTGCATCTTGGTCAACATGTGTTGTGTGTGGAGATTCGGCGCATGCAGTGACTGAGAAAGCTACTTAATCACATAATGACATGACCATTAACATCCATTTGTAGAAAGGCAGAAGTCTGTGTAGTGGGTTTGTCGTAGATCAAACATTTGCAGAGGCACTCTCTGTGGATTCTGATCTTTCACGTGCATGTGGAAGAAAATAAAAGACGTGTGTTCAATCTTGCAGTAGATTCAAATCTGTAGGCTCTTTTCAATACACATTAATAGCTATGTGATTTTGTTAGTGCCAATCTTTAAATGCTGCATGCTGGGCCAGCAACTCAACTAGCATTTCCCACAAGCCCAAGCATGAGGAGCAAGTAGCCTATCCTTCAGTTGTAATGCCATCACACACTAAGGTATTTCTGGTTCTTTGAATTTTCCTTTTTTATTTTGCCTTGTTCAGAAGTATCTTCCAATCATAATACAGACAATATGTTTTGTTCTTGTCTGGTAATGATTTCATTATGAGTTATTATTGGTTTATAGGCCTCTGATGTGTACAACATTATGACGTATATTGGTCTTCTGCTATTTCAAGCAGTTAGAAAAACATCAGCAGTGTCTTCCAACGGTGGCTGAGCACATGGTTTTCAATTACTGAGAATTGGTGAAAAATGTATGTGCTTTAATCGAATATGTAACACTCATATGATGTATATCAGCTCAATCTATGTTTGGAGTGCACAAAGTCACAGCAGTTGTGTTACTGATGTAGTGTTTATTATCATTGTGTGCTTCCTCTTTAGCCATCCATCTTTAAAGGGACTTTATTCACATCCTTCTGGCATAAATTTGATGCCAGGAATGCATAGGTTTCCATTACTACAGTGTGAGGAGATTGCTGTGTCAGCAGCTGGTATACCAAACAGAGCTAGTGCAATAATAAACTGTAGTAACGCGTGGGCACTTTAGGGTGTGTTCTCCCTGGTGAAGTGCAGTGTGTCAGCCTCCTCTGAGACCAGGGCACAGAGGACAAATACAAGTCAGCCAACTGCATCTGAGTCATGCTCAGAGAACCACTTCTCAGGTAACACTGAAGCATGATGGGAGAGGGCACAGCTCTGCCCTATACAGTAGAGTATGTGTGTCCTCTTCAGCCATGACAGTTAGTGTACATTAACCGAGTGAACAACTGCACAAGACAGACATTCTGCAGGCCGTCATGGGAGGGGGTAAAGAATACTCATTTACCCAGGGTCCAGAGCAGGAAGGGGCACAAAGTCTGCAGTGTGCATCATACACAGAACATGTAAAGTGGGTGCTCCACGAGGTGAGCCCAAAATATTGTACTACACCTCTGATTATGACCACTAACGTAACTTTAGTGTTTAAAAGGATAATGTGGTGATTTGAAGTGCACTTTGTATTCTATAAACTTGGCTAAGAATGTTTGTGGAAACTCATGTCTATACCCCCTTTGCCACTAGCCCATTTGAGTGTTGTGCACATCAGCACACTGGGAAGCAGTCATTTTCAGTGGCAACCCCTGAAAGAGAAAACAGACCATTTGTGCAGTTTAAAAAGATTTTTAAAAACCACTGATATGGATAAGCCAGTATCCTGTTCATCTTAATACACTGTTGAACATATCTCTCCCATCTACACAGAGGTGGGGCAGTAATTTTCCAGATTTACCCTCCGTGGCGCTGCTGCTAGAGTGCTGACACACTGCTGGCAGCTCTCTCTCTGGGAACAGCGTGTGAATGTCAGCAGAGACGGTCTACCAAACCCTTCTCCTCCTGCTTGTACTACACACATTCGCTAACTACAGCCCCACCGAGCACTACATGACAGTACATGATATCAGGTCTGTTAGTCATTGTGCAGCTTCAAACATTGTCCAACTCTGATGTTGTTTAGGAATGTGCACTCAGCAGACCTGTTCCCCTCCATTTCCTCAGCTTCCCTTTTCACCCTGTAATAATCAATAGCAGGCGCTGGGCTCTGCTGGCACATTGACAATAGATAGCTCAACATTACATTAGAGATAAGGATTGTCACCAGCCTGTGGGGACTGCCGACTCAAACACACTTCACTCTCCTGCTCGCTTTAGTCACTCTTATCTTATTCTCCTGTCTCCCAGTCCAATGGCTGTCCAGTATCAGTGCTATTTGATGACTCTTTTGCTGTTTAATTGTCCATAGAATTCCCACTTATTTGATAGTAACAGGTAAAAAATGTGACTTCTATCAGACTGTTGATACTTTACAGTGACATGCTGGGGTTTTTCTATATCTCATTTCTATTGGTGGAATGTTCATTAGTAAGCAGTTACCATGGTGACATAATACACACATGAGCAAACTTGGACAAAAAAGTTTTAAAATCGTCTTTAAAACTCAAGAAAAAAATACAAATTAGATTTAAGCACATTTTCAGGAGGGTGTTCATGGTCCTGTAATGCTAGCTAGCTTGTGACTGTAATTTTATTTATTGCTAGTTCTAAGCAAGTCAGCTCTTTCTAGTCCGATTGTGTTAAAATAAAGCTCAGATTAACATTCAACTTGAGTAAGAGAGCTTCTAACAGAGTAGTGCTTCCTCTTAGTTTCACACCCCCAGGGAACACTGATGACATCAGCTGCAGAAGATCAATACAGCATATATAAATATTTTGTCTTTCTATACCAAAATTCACTAGGTCCCAGATTTGGGATTTGCACACTTGAGTCTTATTGATTCCATGGTATTTTCTTTTGGAATATCCAAAATTCCAGAAAAAAATATTTGTGATGCAGTCTGAAAAAAATACAAATAAAAAAAAATAATAAAAAAAATTAAAATGCACCAACACATTTTGGTCTGTCATGACTCTCTCTTCTTTAACCCTCATGCTGGTTTGTCTAATCCTATTTTCATTCCCAAAAGAAGCACATCTTAATTTCCAATGATTTGTCAGTTAATTAAAAGTATTAACATTTTATGTATCTCCAGTTTAAATAATTTACAACCAGCTACAACAATTCAATATTCACATTTCTGAACTCTAGATCGTGCAGCTATTCTTAGCAATATCTGAATAAAACAAAGCCTCTGCTCCCCTATGTGGAGGATGAACATAATAATGCAATTTGTGTTTATATGAAAGTGTATTTTCAACAATACATAAATCATTTTGTGGGTATATCTATCTATCTATCTATCTATCTATATATCTATCTCTATATCTATCTATATATCTATCTATATATATAATATATTATTACATTAGAGATATATAACATATTGTCAGCTTTGGTAAATACGCTCCTAATAGGTGTATGCTGTGCTGCTGTTGTGGCTTGAGTCTCTTCATTTGTATGAATATTTTAGCTCTACAGTGGGTCTTACGTAGATGAATTATGTAACGCAGAGAAGCCAAGAACAGAAGAACCATTTCCACTTCATCGCAGTCTCATGGAGAAATCTCTCTCTCTTTTTTTCATTATGTTGGAAATATAATAAACTACTCCTCACCTTGACACCTCACCACCTCCATATTGATTGAAGTTTAGGATAGGCCTCCAGGGTGTATAGATAAAGCTCATATATTTCACAGTTGCACTCATCCATGGAAAAAAACAGCACTGAAATTTCATCAGCATGATTTTTATTGGTAGCAGCGTTTGATGTCAATTCATATACAGTTGTATTGCATGGAGCATATCAGTCATTCACACTAGGAGTTGAATGCTACAGCTGCATGGAGTTATGAAGAAAGTAAGAGGTGTATACATTTTCCAAAGATTAGTTGTTCAGTTTGTAGTACTTTTGTCAGTAGGAAAATGAAAAAAAACGATGACTCCCTTGTTATTAATCTTACTAGCAAACAAATAAAATATTCTATGCTATGTGAAATGACCTGGGAAGACTTTACAAAGATGTATAGAGACTCTTTGACCAAGCAAAAGACATACTCCTATCATTGCAGTTTTAGATTTCCATGTAGGGTTCAGAAGGAGACACAAGCCTGTTTACATCAAGTCCCAAGCCTGAATATATCAACGTCTCTGTCAGAAAGAGAATACAGCCTTTAAGCATTTACCAAAATAATTATTCACAAAAAATTTATAGAGAAAAAATAAACTCTGGAGTCAAAAAATGTAAAATATTTTCAATCAATCAAAAATATACTATGCTTCTTTTAGTTTGGTACACCTTGACCTGCCTGACCAATGTGGGATGACATCACAAACTTTTTGTGAAATTAACACAAGAGAGTGCAGCCAACTGAACGATACAAGCACCATGTTTCAGATGTTTTAGGAAACAGACTGCTGATCTAGAGTTTGCTTTCCTTTGCAATGCTAATGAATAAGACACTCAAGGGGCCTTGGCAGGGGGCCCACAGCAGCACAGAAAAGCGGGAAGGCCCAAGTACAGTACATATAATAATAATTCCTGTCACATACAGTGCAGTGGTCTCTCAGTGTGTGTGCAGCTTTGTTCAAACATCTGTCACTCCTAGTCCCTGGTACAACCTCAATATGCAGAATCACAAAGGGCAGCTTTCCAGTGCTTTTTTTGAATACTAATCTGACTATATGGTGGTTATAGGACTCATAGGTGCCCATACACTTTGATCTGTTGAGGTATGATTTTTACCTTTTTTACACAATTATAGTTTCACACATTTAAAATAAATCTTTTAAGCTTTTAATAAAATGTATGCAAATAAAAGAATAGCAATGTTAGTAATAAAGATAATATAGCACAAAATAGTTATATTTTAAAAAATACAATATATTAACTTCAATTTTTTTTAAATGTAAGAATAATTTAAGCTTTTAATGTTTAATGTCTCCAGAAACTGTACCTTAAAAACGCCCACACCTTCATTATACCCTGTTCTCTGCAGCTGGGGTTTCCACACAACTGCACTCTTGTTTATGTGGAGTTTTTATGTTTATGACGTTACATCTGGAGGACTCCACAGACAAGGTCTTGAAGGAGCTTGGTCTGTCTTTGGGTGGTTTGGAGGACTTCCTCATGATTAGCTTTTTCTTTGCTGTCATAGTCTGTTACCACTTTGTTTGTGATAAGAGACACTCCCAGGACACGCAGGCCACAGTGACGGGCCACCAGTACCTCAGGGACTGTGCTCATCCCTACGACAAAATATATACATTATTAAATACATTGTTTTAAGTTCTGTTCTATTTTTGCTTTAGGTGGCATAGGCTTAATTAATTATATTCTACTACTAATGTCCATTACACTTTCATATTTCCTATCCAATTCTAATAACTAAAGTGAATATGGATGCATTTACAGTATATTTATACTGTACATGTGGAATATGCAATTGATTCAACACATGGTGTTTAAATTATATTTACCAACAGCATCAGCTCCCAGTGTCTGCATGAATTTGCACTCTGCAATGGTCTCGTATGAGGGACCAGCCACCATGCAGTAAACACCTTCTTGAAGGAAGTGGACTACCCCCATGGCTTCAGCTGTAGACCTCAATTTGAGCCTCAGATCACGATCATAAGCATCTGACATGCAGGGGAATCGCACTCCAAACCTATACGAGGAAAGAAACATGTCATTTCAATACAATTTAATGTCCAATGATTACTATACAATAAAATCTATCAGTGAAATAAAGAGAAACCTTTCATCATTTGGTCCACACAATGGATTTTGTCCTGCAAAGCCTGGCATGTTAATGTGATCCTTAATGATCATAATATCTCCAACCCTGTAGCTGTCGTTGAGTCCTCCTGCTGCATTTGTCACGATCAGGGTTTTCACTCCCAGCAGAGAGAAGACACGCACAGGGTATGACACCTGGAAAAAACAGCAAGTCAACATCACTGCGATGTAAGAAAGGGAAGCCATTTTACTGTTACACTTTCACTTATATTTGGTGTTAGTTTACCTGTGCCATGGCTTTTGTAGTTGAAATGTTTTATACATGTTGTCTTAAAAACAGAGAGCACATGCAGTTTTCCTGGCTCGACATTCTTATTTTTGTATGTCACTGATGGAAATAAAATTACTCATAACATTAAATAATGTTTTTGATTTTAAAATGTTCACAGATTTTATATTATATTTCACAATTACAGTTTACTTTGAGATGCCATTTAGTGTTACACTTTTGTGGTACATTCTTATATGTGTGTTGATGTGATACCTCACGAGTCTGTGTTTAAATTATTAACACATTTTTGTGTAATTTCATTGTCATGTGACTTGTGTATTTATGTGATGCAGGAAGGGTATAAACCACCCGCTGAAACAATAACTCGGTTTTATGATTAAATTAAGTTAGTTGTTCATCTGTAAATATGCATCATAAAAAGAGACAAAGGTCCAAGCTCATGCTCCTGCTCATGACAGCAACACTGTGACATAGCAGGTATAAACCTTGAGCCAATCCCAACAAATCAGGCTTTGTTCTGTATAAAGGAACTTTTGAATCCAAAAGGCAGATCAGTCTGAAGTGGCACTGAATCTGAGGCAAGCAGTGGCATAAAGATCACACAGTTCTCATATAGTCTGTCTGGTTTTACATTTTAGCAGTAAAAAAATAAATAAAACACTAAGCAATGCATATCATTATTTTACAATATCTTTTATAAAGAAGAATTTTATGGAGCTAAATTATTCATGTTTTATTTTTTCAATTTTTCTTGAGTGATGCAGAAAAGAGGGAGCCACTGTCTGTGTGAATGTTCATGTATGTTAGCTCATCCATATTTTTTAATAAAAATATATAGTATGACTCTTACCGTGTGTATGCTGTAGCCCTCATAGAAATGAAATCTTCCCTGCATGCACACACAATCATGTCCCACGAGTCTTCCAAAAACCAGCTTACCAGCATGACCTTGGACTACACAGGTGAGAAAAAGCCATAAGATTAAATAAATATATATAAAAATGTATAGTAATAGTATATAGGGTACTTTTTTCTAACTGGATACACATTTGAGTAAAGGGAGTACTATACCAGTGCTAGTAGGAAATCGAGGGATGTCTTCATATTTGAATGTTACACTGTCCTCCAGTCTGTCAGCCAGACCACCTAAACCAGAGCCACAGATGATGGCCACTACTGGACGTAACTTTGTTTGGCTCAACAACCACTCTGCTGTTTCTTTGTACTCTTCAAAACTAATGAAAGAAAACATTGTTATTATTTAAATTTATCCAAACATGTTTCAATTCTGAGTCTGAACATGGTAAAAAAAAAAAAAAGTTAGATATAGAGCTAGGAAAACTGTGTGTGCACTCTGTTTTTTATTCCAGTATTTATAAGTGACACTTTAATTAGTCTGGATTAGAACAAAAAGTAATCAGACTTGTTTTACCTGTTGTTACCACACATTGCTCTGTGGGGAAGTGGCATTTCTGGCATAGATGTCACTTCTGCTCTTTAGGTCCACAGGTGTCAGTGGTACCAGGACCACCATGTAACAGTAGAATTTAGATAGCAAAATACCGTGGCCAATGAATAACCACAGTCTCAGTTTTAATAGATGATCCTTCAATCCAGGAGGTTTATCAGAAACCCAAAGACACAGTCAACAAAACTGAATACATTTCAGGCAAAATTATCAATAGAAATAGGATAATTTAAAAAAATGATTAGTTGGTTTACAAAAATTTTAGCAATACTAAAGGTGTGTACTATAAGATGTATTTGTTGGTGCAGTAGTTGGCTGTGTACAATAATACGTTACTTTCACTATGTTCAAATGCTTTGTGCTACGCTCTGTTAACATTACATAAGCGAGCCACCTTATGTAAGAGAAGAGGATTTTCCTCCAGAAGGAGGTGAGCTGAAGTGAGTGGCTGTTGCTCGGAGCTGTCCGTGGTACTGCTGAGAACTCAAAGCCCCCTTGACCTGAACATAAAGAGAAGCCTGGCGAGATTGTAAAGTTTTTTTGACTAACAAAAAAACAATGCAGCGCAGGCAGTTTAACTTGCTGCTACAGCTCAAAGGCAAACGTGAATGCGGAAAGACTAGACTAGTCACTTTAAACATGACAAGGTTATTACATAGGGGTAATTAGTTTGTCAACAGATTGACAAGCTAATGTCGGGTAGGCTAGCCAAAGACGCATCACATCAGAATAGTTTGTTAACGTGTAAAGTATTCGTCTGCCATCGATACCCTACATTTTAGGCAACTTTTATGTTCTGCTTTGTTAACGCTAGTTTCATTGACATGATATGATATGATGAGGCTATGGAGCAGCCTTGGAAACCATGAGGCTCAGTTAGCGTTAAATGCCCCTGGCTTCCGAGACTAACGTTAGCATCATCACGTACCTGATGTGAGGGGAGGGCGCGTCCATCTCCAGAGACAAGCGGCACTTGCTGAATGGTCTTCAGTTGAGTTTACCACAGGAGTTACCCGTCCCCAGTTCACACAGGATTAGTGGTTTAGTGGTTTGGTGGTTTCGGGAGAGTCGAGGTTTTACTGCGTGGTGGCGTCACCGCGCGTTGAGCGTGTGGGCGTGGTTTGGGGGTGCCGGTCTCTTTGAAGTGGACAAATCCTATTTTCTAGCAGAACGCACTGCTCAGTCAGCCGTTCTCTGACTCTGATAGCAGGGGAAACATGCTGGAACAGATCGTAGTTAGAGAAACATTAGGTCAAGATGCTTGCTAAAGATACACTTATTTTTATTTATTTATTTTCAGTGTCTGTGTAGACCACAAATGCGACGAAGTTCTGTGTAGACTTTTTGTATCTGAATGATAATAAAGCCTGTCTAAGTCAATAATAAATCTATTTAAGTAAACTACTGATAGATAAATGTCTTTGAGCCTTTCATTTCAAGTATTTTATATTCCCTCTATCTCTATGAGTTTCAGAATGATGAAAACGTAGCTCTATTGTCATAGTGACAAAAATATGACATCTTTTTAAAGGGAAAAAGTCCTTAAAATGTTTATTACTACAGTCCGTTAGCCTAATAGAATAATTGCCTAGGTAATTTTTTTGGTCAGACGTGCTATGCCTAACTTTTCAATGTGTTTGCTAAAAAAAAATGTTTTTCTTGTTTTCCGAAAACGTTCAAATATGACTTAGGCAACTATGCGATAGGCTAACGATTAAGTTGTTGCATATGTTACTGTTTTGTTTGTTTGTTTGTTTGTTTTTGTTTGTTTGTTCGTTTTGAACAATGAGAAATGCGCACATGGCCTCGGTTTTTACCAGTATTATTGGCCCTCGCCCCTAAGTATTGTTCTTCGTCGGTTTCTTCCGCTCTTTTATTATTATTTTTCCTTGCAAACGATTTTCAACATCGACGAAAAGTCCCCAAACCGGGGTCCAGATCGACCGGTCCGGCGAAAAATTCGATAAAACGGGCATCGCGACAATGCCCAAAGCCCCCCCACTCTACAGCGCCCCCTAGAAATTTCAAAATTTTGAGATGAATGGGAGGCTGACACGCATAATTTGTCGTACGGTCACGAAATTCGGAGCAGTGATAGAGCTCAAGGAGACAAACAAAAAAGCCAATCATTGTGCACCCCTATGACGAACAGGAAGTCGGCCATATTGGATCAAAAATTCGGCGCCGTTTTGACTTGGGGGTCTACAAAAAGATTCCAGTCCCCGGGGTTTAGTCCAAATGAGCTCAGATTTGACATGTCACATCTACAGACATAAACTCACAGAAATTTTCAACTTTTTTTGAGATACTCCTTACGGTTCGCCCGTAGCACGCCGGCGAATAACGCCTTCATTTCCTGTTTTTTCGGTGACCTGTCACGGCCACAGGCATTGTCCTAGAGAATTCAAATTCAAATCACAATTGTGTGATCCCGGCCTGAATGTGATGAAATATGAAATTTAATAAAAGTGAACTCTATAGCGCCCCCTAGCATAGACGTGAAACGTCAACATTATCGGATTAGTACCAAATTCGGGACATAAATTCTATGTATGATGACAAGCAAAAAAGTCTATTACGGACATGATGCATTTTCCACTACTGGCCAGCAGGGGCGCAAAGACTCCCCCAAAAATAGTTAAAAAATAATTACACACACAGGCTTAGTCCGATCGTGCTGAAATTTGAATCACTAATGCCTGATCATGGCCTGAATATAATACACTATAAAACATATGAAAAATGAACTCTATAGCGCCCCCTAGCATTGACAAACATCAACATTATCGGATTAGTACCAAATTCGAGGATTAAATTCTAGACATGATTACAAGCAAAAAAGTCTATTATGGACATGATGCATTTTCCACCACTGGCCAGCAGGGGCGCAAAGACTCCCCCCAAAAATAGTTAAAAAATTATTGCAGCCACAGGCTTAGTCTGATCGTGCTGAAATTTGAATAAGAAATGCATGATCACGGCCTGAATATAATACACTATAAAACATATGAAAAGTGAACTCTATAGTGCCCCCTACCCTTGACATGAAACGTCAACATTGTCAGATTAGCCCCAAATTTGGGGATTAAATTCTACGCATGATGACAAGCAAAAAAGCCAATCATTGTGCACCCCTATGACGAACAGGATGTCGGCCATATTGGATCAAACATTCGGCGCCGTTTTGACTTGGGGGTCTACAAAAAGATTCAAGTCCCCGGGGTTTGGTCCAAATGAGCTCAGATTTGACATGTCACATCTACAGACATGAACTCACAGAAGTTGCCAATTTTTTTTTTTGATACTCCTTACGGTTCGCCCGTAGCACGCCGGCGAAAAACGCCTTCATTTCCTGTTTCTTCGGTGACCTGTCACGGCCACAGGCATTGTCCTAGAGAATTCAAATTCAAATCACAATTGTGTGATCCAGACCCGAATGTAATGAAATATGAAATCTAATAAAAGTGAACTCTATAGCGCCCCCTAGCATAGACATGAAACGTCAACATTATCGGATTTGTACCAAATTCGGGACACAAATTCTATGTATGATTACAAGCAAAAAAGTCTATTACAGACATGATGCATTTTCCACTATTGGCCAGCAGGGGCGCAAAGACTCCCCCAAAAAATAGTTAAAAAATTATTACACCCACAGGCTTAGTCCGATTGTGCTGAAATTTGAATCACTAATGCCTGATCATGGCCTGAATATAATACACTATAAAACATATGAAAAATGAACTCTATAGCGCCCCCTAGCATTGACAAACATCAACATTATCGGATTAGTACCAAATTCAAGGATTAAATTCTAGACATGATTACAAGCAAAAAAGTCTATTACGGACATGATGCATTTTCCACCACTGGCCAGCAGGGGCGCAAAAATACTCCCCCAAAAATAGTTAAAAAATGATTACATGCCCATGTTTAATCGGATCGTGCTGAAATTTGAATCACTAATGTGTGATCTCAGCCTGAATATAAAACAGTATAAAACATATTAAAAGTGAACACTATAGCGCCCCCTACCATTGACATGAAATGTCAACATTATCAGATTAGCACCAAATTTGGGGATTAAATTCTACGCATGATTACAAGCAAAAAAGTCAATCATTCTGCACCCCTATGACGAACAGGAAGTCGGCCATATTGGATCAAACATTCGCCGCCGTTTTGACTTGGGGGTCTACAAAAAGATTCAAGTCCCCGGGGTTTGGTCCAAATGAGCTCAAATTTGACATGTCACATCTACAGACATAAACTCACAGAAGTTGCCAAATTTTTTTGGGATACTCCTTACAGTTCGCCCGTAGCACGCCGGCGAAAAACGCCTTCATTTCCTGTTTTTTCGGTGACCTGTCACGGCCACAGGCATTGTCCTAGAGAACTCAAATTCGAAATCACAACTGTGTGAATGTAATGAAATATGAAATTTAATAAAAGTGAACTCTATAGCGCCCCCTAGCATAGACATGAAACATCTACATTATTGGATTTGTACCAAATTCGGGAATAAAATTCTCATGATTACAAGCAAAAAAGTCTATTACGAACATGCTGCATTTTCCACGTTTGGCCAGTAGGGGCGCAATGACTCCTCTGAAACAGGTTCACGGCGCCGATGACATCATACATGTAAAGTTCCATAAAGCCTTGTTACCATGGCAACTCCGGAACTCAAAGCTAAACTTCAAAGCTTTGTGGGCTTTAACTCAAAGCTTTGTTTGGCCTCGGGGAGATTATAAGAGTAGGCAAATCGCAAATCACAAATCGAAAATAACATATCGCTTAACGGAAAAGGCACATTTAGCTGAGCTTGACAGAGCAAATCGTACAAAGATTTCAAACAGTAGACTTCACAGAGGAGACTTTACAGAGTAGATTTCACAGAGTAGGTCGCACTTTTGATCTGCGTAACAGTAAGTACAGCAACACTTACAAAACAACTCAATTATAAAACAAAAATGGCCAGAAATAACAGAGGAAATATACTCTTGACCTTAAACCATGACCTTAAACTATGGTCTGTGGTCTTCGTGTGTGATAAAGAGTAGAGGGGTGTGCAAAAATATTGAAATATCGATATATCGTATCGTTTAATGTGATGACACAGTATCGATATTGTGGGCTGCTCTATCGATATATCACCAAGAGTATTTTTGGTTTATTTTACTAAATGATTTTGTTACAGCTACAGTTTCGTTGTTTGTTTAGTGGAAGGAAACTCGTTTGACATTTTCGCTGTTTTGAGGATTAAAATGTTTGTGTTTCATATGAACTTTGCACAAGAAGTGGTTTAACAAAGATTTTCCATGATTTAGCCTTTATTTTTTACTGAACCGTATCGAATCGAAAGCGCACTGTATCGAGGTTTGTCTCATATCAGTGACTTCTTAACAACACTCGGCCTCAGTCAACAGGGAAACGTGGCTCTTGCCCCGTCTGGGAGTATGACATCATCACATTCTAGAACCTGAAAACCTCCCAGTTCCATCAGGTTCACGGCGCCGATGACATCATACATGTAAAGTTCCATAAAGCCTTGTTACCATGGCAACTCCGGAACTCAAAGCTAAACTTCAAAGCTTTGTGGGCTTTAACTCAAAGCTTTGTTTGGCCTCGGGGAGATTATAAGAGTAGGCAAATCGCAAATCACAAATCGAAAATCACATATCGCTTAACGGAAAAAGCACATTTAGCTGAGCTTGACACAGAGCAAATCGTACAAAGATTTCAAACAGTAGACTTCACAGAGGAGACTTTACAGAGTAGATTTCACAGAGTAGGTCGCACTTTTTATCTGCGTAACAGTAAGTACAGCAGCACTTACAAAACAACCCTACCCTTGACCTTAAACCATGACCTTAAACTAAAGAACTGTGGTCTTCGTGTGATAAAGAGTAGAGGGGTGTGCAAAAATATTGAAATATCGATATATCGTATCGTTTAATGTGATGACACAGTATCGATATTGTGGGCTGCTCTATCGATATATCACCAAGAGTATTTTTGGTTTATTTTACTAAATGATTTTGTTACAAGCTACAGTTTCGTTGTTTGTTTAGTGGAAGGAAACTCGTTTGACATTTTCGCTGTTTTGAGGATTAAAATGTTTGTGTTTCATATGAACTTTGCACAAGAAGTGGTTTAACAAAGATTTTCCATGATTGGCCCTCGCCACTAACAAAGTTAGGGGCGAGGGGTATTGTTTTTCGTCGGTTTCTTACGTTTGTTTGTTTATTATTATTGGCCCTCGCCGCGCCGGGGCGAGGGCCACCATCGCCGCGCGCGGCTTTAATTACCAGTTATATTTTTCTCTTTGTTATTTTAATGTATTGTGACGTGCGACCTACTGTGTTCAAGTAATTTTCCTTGTGGATAAATAAAGTTTGTCTAAGTCTAATTTCGCAAGAAAGAGGTCACAAATAATATTAAAAAGGTCTAAAAGCTTTGTGTAGATATCTTTATGGATTCCAAACATGGCAGAACACTTCTTCAGGCAATAATCACATGCCCGTGATTTTAGTGTTATTATCTCCCTTAACGCCTTATATTGTGTACAAATGATTCAATAAAACACATTTTTCCGATTTCAGACACTCAGAAGCAGCTTGTTTGAAGAAAAGGTGGCCCAGCCGATCAGAGCCGCACCAGTTGTCGCGGCCAATCAGAAAACAGGTTGGTAGACAGTGGTTTGGTTGCCAGGGCAACAAACCACAACTGAGTACAGTTTAGTCGAGTTTATGCGCTATTGAGATGCATGAGTCCCATTACAACCACAATAACCGCGAGAATACGGTAACACTTCTTTTTTTCCCCCCTTTTTCTAACAATGCAATGATTAACACCGTTAGCTAAATATTTACCTGAGTAGTCGTTTTAAAGCGTGAGAGAGTAGTAGGAGGAAGGATCATGATGCTAAATATATTAGCACTAAGTTGGTTAACTAGTTAGCTTACGCCTAAACAATTAGGTTATAATTAACTAATTTATGGAGAATGTAATGAAAATAACGAATCCAAAAGCTATGGGTTTTAACTGGACTCTCTACATTTGTGTTTTTGCAAGTAAAAGCAGCATATAAGGCAAGAAAGATGTCAGCAACAGAGATCCCATCAAAAAACAAGATGATAAAAACAAAAGTGTCTTTAAATCCCAAAATAGTCTTGAAGGATGAAGAGAAAGTTACAAAGGTATCAGCTTCTAACTCACAATGTACTAACTGCACAGCTATATTGCATTGATTAAGTTGTCACTACTTGAACATGTCACTAGTATAGGAGAAGATATTTTACTCTGAACCAACTGGATTTCATCCAGATCTTTGAAATGACCTGTGTCAAATGACAGACTGTTCTAATAATTACTTTGGCTTAGGGTGCACCAAAATCAATATCTGACTGCAGCTTTTTGTTGCGCTGCTGAGCTCACTTCTGCAAATTTTCAGACCCCTGTGTTCTTGATGATGATGATGTGATGATTCTTATGTTATGTGTATGTCTAGCCTGTTATTCCTTTTTTCGTACCACTAACTTGCCATTTATTTATCTTCTAGATGACCCCAACAACTTACTCACAAGAAATGTTACAATCAACTGAGGAGCGCTTGGCCAACACCATGAAGATGACAAACACATCTTTTCATAAAGTAAATATGTTAAAACAATCTCCAATATTAATAATATTGATTTATAATGATAATAGTAATAAATACATTATAAAGTAATTAAAAAGAAAGTGCTTGAGCACACTCATTATTCAAATGTATTCCTCCTGCATAAAGATTATTCAGAGGTCATTATACCGTATCAAAGTTGCTGACTTAGCTGCCACTAAGTGACGGACTGAGGGCAAGTGATACTGTGTGCATGGTGCCTTGAGTTTTAGTTTGAATTGTGTTTACAGTTACCAATATTTCCATTATAAATCAATAAAAACAGTAATTGTGATGCATGTATCTTTTCCTGGATCAGGCACTTTTGCGACCATATCCAGAGAAGCTTGTTTTCCAAAACTTCACCCCAGGAGAGACATACAAGTTGCCTCTGCAGTTTTTTAATAGAGACAAGGTATGTGTTTCTGTTGTATGTTTTTTTTTGTGTTTGTTTTAAGTGAATGGAATAACAATTGTTCATGTATTAAAATAAAATATTTGTGGATACTCATCAGTGTGTTTAAAGGCTGCATGCTGAACAAACGTTTAGGACATGTTGACTAAAAAGGTCAAAAGGGATTGAGGAAGATTTATCTTTGCCATTTCTACAAGACACTGTCTTGAGATGATGAATAAATTATCAGTGGTATATGTACCTGGTTGTGTGCGATTTGCTGATGCAGTCTCTGTTTTGTGAAGGTCTCGAGATATGTTAAGGTGGAGCTACAGGAGTCAGAGTACTTCCATGTAGTTGGCCCAGAGGATACGAGTGGCAAAGTTGCACCTGGATTGTCTGCAAGTTATACAGTTTTATTCACTCCACAGGACAACAAGGTATATTTACTAATTGCAGAAAAAGAAAATAATTGAAATGGGCAATTAACTGAAAATTATTAATTATTTATAAATAGACCAAAATCATTACATTTATGTTTGTTGGTTAATGTTAAGACAACATGCTTATCAAGAGTCATAATTTGAAGGGTCAAAGGCCAAGCATTAGGCTGCACCATAATATCGTTTATCCATATCTCACTGATACTGTAAGAAACTAATCTGAGAAGCAACCTCAAACTGAAATTTAGCATCTCTAATTTGGGGGTAGCCTTATGACATTATCCCAAGTGTGTTTAATGTGTACTGTAGTCAATGCACTACGTTAGACCACATAGAGTAGTAATATGCTGTCTATATGCAGGACTATCAACATCTTCTGGTCTGTGTGACTGAGAGGGAGCGCTTCAGGATCCCAGTTGTTGCCATTGGGCCCCGTGCCATCCTTGACTTTCGAGATCACTTCCTTTTACCTGTCTGCCCCGTGAAAGCAACTACAGAAAAAACTCATCTTGTGCGCAACATTGGAAACAGCAAAGCCAACTTCAAGCTACACACCAAAGAGTCAGTTACAGCTCAATTAAGAAGTCAAAATTAGTAAAGGATTTATGTGTTATTTCTAACATTATTATTTTGCAGCCCTTTCTCTGTGACACCTTCCTCTGGGAGTTTGGCTGTTGGGGAAAGCGTGCAAGTGACTGTAACATTTAGCCCCATGAGTGTCGGTGACCACAGACAGGACCTACTGCTCTATTATCACACTGGTGAGACATACTCTGCTGTCTTAAAACATTTGTGTTGTTTCAAACAGATGAGGGGCAATGACATTAGCATTCTAAAGAAGCATGTATCCAACATTCCTCCAAGGATGCACCTCTGCTGGTGTGCTGAGGAGGGAAGCAGTTGCTGGAATCATAATCAGCTGTGTAGTGGAGGCAATTTGAGTTTGTTGACGTGTGTACAAAGAGGGGTTGGGCTTTTGAACTCTTAACACTTAAAAGAATAAGACAGGACCATATAGGGCCATTACTATCATAGCAACTGTCATTACACTTACATTCTTATTGAGCAATCCCTCACAGTACATAGTAATTAACTCTCAACAAAGTCCTGGTAATTGAATATTCATTTAAATATTATTCAGTGAATGTATGCTTAAGCCTCAGTGGGAGGCACATTTCATGAAGCTGTTGCAACCCATTTTGTTGTCCAACTGGTGCTGATTGGAACTCCTCTGTAAATTTACTGTTGCACTCCACCCTTTTCAAATGACTATTGAGTATAGCTCCTTGATTATTTACATACTAGAGCCCACAATGGTGCATACTACAAACCACCAAACCATTTCTGGTTTACAGTCTCTATCCAATCTTGCATGCGTTTAAAGATTTTGCAGTAAATGTTGAAAAGAAATCAGTAATATGTGCGGTAAAGTAGAAATGGGCTATAAAATAATAGCAAAATGTATCTCAGCTTGACATTTTGTCAATAGCAATAAGAAGATGGTTTAGGGGGAGGCCATCCAGCACAATATTAACTCACATTCTATGGAGCATTCATAGGTTTGGTTGTGCAAATGTTGTAAACTCATTAGCTTGCATGTGGATTATTGGCCATGTTTTATATATATATATATATATATATATATAAAACTCTCAAGCTCCCAGGCCTCTGGTAATAGAAACTATATATATATTTACTTCAAAACAAGCCCCTGCTTAGTTCCACGTGACACTGTAAAAAGAGTGTGCTGAACAGTTGAGCAAGTTAGAACATGGTATGGCGTTAGTGTTTTTTTTTTTATTGCATCTATCAAAGACGAATCTTTCTCTTTTGCGTTTACCGTGTACAGAAGCTCATACACAAAAAATTGACTGCAACCGTAGCCCGTCCTTGCAATTACCCTTCACATCAAAGCGTAATGCTGAGACTTAAGACTTGTACGTATACTCTTGGGGATCAATTAGAGTTTAAAGAACTTGATAAAAGGGGTAGCCATTAGCAGTGGTTGCAGATTTTAGTCAAAATTTGTGTTCTTGTAGTACATGACCTAACAGTTTATGCTTGTCCATTGTCAATAAAGTGTCTTGCTGCTCTATAATACTTTGCAACATGCATCACACCTTTAGAAGTTTGTTTTGATTTCATTTGAAGTGATGTATGGTGTTTGAACAAGAGCTGCTGCTGCCACTAAATTTAGCATCAGTTAGGAAGGATTAAAGACTGATTAATTTAATGACAGGTTTTATAATCACTATAATCTAACCAACTTGTCCCACTTTCAAAGTTCTTTCTAATGCTGAATTGAACACCTCAAGAGAATCCGACTTTTATTAGCAATGCATCACCCTCTTTTAGAGAGCAGAGCAGAAGGAAGCCAGAAATGTGAAAGAATGCTGACTCGATCAGCTGTTATCAGTGCAAAGTCACCTTGCCACACTAAAGTTCTTCTTTTTGGAAAAATAATTTATTGAACTACTTTGGATTCAAATGTATTTCCTAGTTACAGTTTTATGATATTTAATACGCTCCTTGCGTTGAGCCCAAAACCAGATATAGCTTATAGCAGGTTTATGTTTTAGACTATTTCAAATGACAGGTTTTAATGTGACTCCCTGTATGCCCTGCAGTGAGGTACCTTTTTCTCTGCATGTGCGTGATCCAGGGCAGTTTGCAGTGCAGCCATGTAAACAGGAAAGCCTGCTAAAGAAGTGGGACCAGTAGCGAGCAGCCGCATTAAGCATTTATAATGGGAGGGCCAGCTTGGGTCCAGAACACCACTTACAGCCCATCAAGACACTATCATTTTTAATTTAGCACCCCGCCCTCTCTCTCACTCTGTCATGTATGTTTCAGCTTAGCTTGCTGCCAAAGTTCCACTATACTGTTTGCCCTGATGGTGACTTCAGTGGATATGAGATTTACACACCATTTTCCACTAACATGCAACTGAGTCTCAGAAATATAATTGCTGTCATTTGTTCCCTTCTATGCTTTGTTTGTCACATCTTTTTGAGTCCCCCCTCTTCTTTCTTCTGTCACTATATAGAAAGGTAGACAGCTCCACTGGAACTGCTTTGACGGATGAGCACCGTGGGGACTCTAGCACTAGCATTTAAAAACACGAAATACACATAAATAAATACAAGAGGCTACGATCAAAGACAGAAGAGGGGGTTGAAAACATAACTTTGCTGTTTACAGAGAAAACTAATTGCAAAAACACAGAGCCAAGGAAGGGCTGGGTCAGGCACACGGTCATGAGGAAAGTATTAACAATACGCTGCAGCTCTCCCTGTCTGTCAGCCACTGTCATAGCATCCGGATGTGAGCAGATAATTGCTTTTCTTTACTCCCTGTTCCCGCTCGCTCATTTCCTTTCCATCACTCATTGTCGGACTTGGCTATTCTCGCTCTCATCTGTTTGATATGGGCTTTGTAGTCGTTTTTACCAAAGTAAAATAGCAAAACATTGCACCAACCTGCTCTTTTTTTCCCCTCACTTACAATGTAAATCTCAGTGATAATTGTCCCACGGAAATGAGCACCACTGCTTGGTGAATAGTCAGATTTTTACAGTTGTGCATGGTCGGTGTGAATCTTAGAGGTTTACATTTCCTCAGAGAATAGTCTGTTGTGTTTTTTTAATCCGGGCAGGGTCAGTGTGTTGTTGTAGCGTGTTAAGGCAACAAAGCACAATGGGGGAATTTTAGCGCGACCTGAGACTTACATGTTGCCCAGTTGCTCAGTTGTCTCAGGTCCTTATTAATCCCTGGTGTTAAAGCTCAACCACATGGATTAAATGTTATTCTATTCACTTGGTACTAGCAAGGGCATTGGGAATTTGGGTTTAATATGTTGAGTGCAAGTTTTAAGAATCATTTGTATTTGCATTTTACAAGTGAAACCCAGAGATCTGAGGCATTTAGGCAAACTGTAACATTTCCATTTCTGTAATATTTCCATAAATGGGACTTTGTATGTTAAAAGAATCATTACTTATTAGCGTTTTAAAGTGTATTCCAATTGTAAAGTGAATCGGGATCTGTTAGGGTATGGTTTTGCTTCTGTTACAAAGCTCTGATAAAACCTAGACTCACCCCGGAAGCACCCGCAAAACCAGAAATGCATGACCGGATTCATGTTTTGTAAGTTAGATCTATAGTAGCCTCTATGCTATCAAGATGTGTCATAGCACACTGCACAACCTAAAGTACAGCTCCTGCGGAAGAGGCGAGTGTTTTGGCTTAATTACACTATATTTCTTTTTAAACGCTGCCTCTCACATCAGGAAAAAAGACTGTGCAGCATTTGTTCACTGTTCAGTGTTTCATCTTGGCCAAGGAAAGCAACCCCCTTTCATCAATCTGCAGGGCTACGGTCGGCTACACATTTATCACCTGATAGAGTTATTTCAGACTGGTTACAAATCTTATACAAGCTTTACTCAATGTGACCCTGTAATTGTATTATGTGTTTTAATTAAACCTTGGTGAAATATCAGTCAAACTCAACTCCAAATGGAGGGAGGAAAGCCATTGTTTGTAATCGCTTCCACCTCAGGTCCTATACAAATTCCCTGTATTGGCCCATCATCCTATACAAATAGTAATAGTAAGAGTCTTTACCCAAGATATTGCTTTCGTCCCTCTGATTTGAATTTAAACAAACATTCAGCTCATTTACATATGTCTGGCCTCATCGGAAACCTGGCTTTGCATTGCACATGTTTTCGATTAGTTGGTCTGTACCATGACCTAGATCCCCAAAAGATGACATAGTTGCATTAGTGTGTAGACCTTTGTTTGTTCATTGCGATGCAGGACAGTTGCAACGTTCTTTAGGATTGTCAAGTCCTATCTGTCTCAGGAGAATCTTTCCTAGAAGTTCATATTGAAGAATTGAGAATATGTGTCTCTTCTGCCATGATTTTTATTAATTTTTTCTGTCACTTGGTTAGACTAGGTGGCCATTTGTTTTAGATGCCACTCAGACTGGTTATGGAATGTAAATTTGACTTTGCAGCTGATGTCGTCAACATTCCGTGGGGGTGTGAAGCTAACTGAAAACACTACTCTGTTAGAAGCTCTGTTGCTCAAGTTAGACTTAATCTGAGCTTTGTAACACAATCTTAAATCAAAAATAAATAATAAAAAACAGACTTAGTTGGAAGTACAACAGATGAGCTGATTTGTGCTGTTAAACAAGTCTCTCACATTCATCACAGTTTTTCAGTAGCAATGGATTATAGAACACCCCCAGTGTGATGTCTCTGCAGAGTATCAATTCTCTTTTACTGTCTATCATTTCTATAAGCTTGGACACACTAATCACTCACACAGAACTAAACTGAGGTGTCCCGTTAGCTCAACTCATTACCGCATATTTTATTTGTTCTCTATGGATTCAATTATGAACAAACGTCAACAGAATATCAACAGAATATACTTTCTCTTATCTCTTTCTAACATACTTGACTGTCATTTTACCAAAGTGTGCATTTGCATGTGAATTAAAGCAGTTTATTTTTGACAGGTGAAGTTGTTTATATCAGTTTGTTTGGAACTTGTGAAGAATTGATCATCCATCTTGAGACTGACCTGGTTCAGCTGGACAAGACTTACATATCTTTGTCCAGTGTTCAGACAGCATCCCTCAAGAACACCAGCGACATCCCACTGCGGTACTTTTGGACTACACAGCGCAGCCACAGTGAGCAGGAGAAGGACAGGTAGACCTTCATTTATATACATGAATAACTAAGGTAATAAAATACAAACCCCAAGATTATGTCAAAACCCAGTGCAATCTTTAGTCCAAATCTCTTTAAATTTTCTTTTTTTTTAAAAATATATCCAGGTGTAAAACATACATAATTGGGATATGTTTTTCTTGTTCCAATTGGTCATTCCTTTTTTTTTTTGGAAAATCTGAAAAAAATATCAGAAAAACTATATTGCCATTGTCAAGAAATAAGATTCAGAACTAGGTATGGGGTTTGGTATATTATGGTGAACAAATAACTAAGAATAATAATATAATAGACATATGCATACATTATAAAATACAATTACAGTTAAATGACCATAGATCTAAGTTAAACTAGATTGAAAACCAAAGATACTATTTGTAGAATTGCAGTCCTGTTGAAGTCTAAATACCTAATTTAACCTAACTCTAATTCTGACAAACACTGCAACTTGTGTTTGTTTTTGTTGTCTTGTACTGTCAGTTGCTAACTTTTCTCATCTCCCTGACCTCTCTTATCCCGTGTGCTGCATTCTCAGGGGCACCCTGCTCCACCCAAGGGAACAGGAGGAGGGCTTTCAGACTGAGTTCAACCCTGCAGCCATCCATCGCTCTGGGCCTCTGTCCACCACAGCACCAGACCCTGCTGACCTTTCAAATGAAGGTGCCATTATTCTGGAACCAATGGTGTGTATATGTCTTGTTTACAGATTTACCATGTCCTCATTTGCCATCGTCACAGTATCATTACATCATTCTGCCATTTTGTGTTGTTCTTTTTACTTGAACTGACCTGTTGAACTGACCTGTGTGATAAATTTCTGAAAGCTCAAGACTTCATAATCATATTCAAAATGATATTTGTAATAAACTTTGCATTATTTGAAGTGAACAAAACCAAATTTATAAGACACAAGTAAAATAAAACAGCATTTGTCAGATTATAATATTTTCTAACTGAAATGTCTCAAGTTAAAAGACATAAAAAAGTAAATTGTGTGCTCTCTGGAAGAGTACTTCTGTAAATCCATATTTATTAGACAAAACAAGATTGTGACGGTGCCCCCTTTGAGCCCCAGGGCTGTCAGATAATTTTTCACCACTGCCACTGCTAGTGTCTCCTTAGTTCAACTCAATCAACCTCTCAGGGCGTAGAAAGATAAAAGGTGAAAGAAAGAGTCGGCCAATAACAACACAAACTTTAAAAGGACTGCTAAAAAAAGAGTTTACTATTCTGCTCATGCTCCTGTCCACCTAGCTAAGCACTTAAAAAAGGGGAGATCTTGGCCTGGGGTCAGTAGCGATTGGGGCATCTAAAGATGACGTATTATTCTACATTGAATTTCAAGATCTTTGAACATGTTATAATGATTCTTCCACATTATTATTTCACACAAAGTTGTATTTTTACTGATTCATTCAAATCAGCTGCAGTGAAATTCTATTATGAAGAGGCGGGGCCAACAGTAGGGAAACAGTTTTGAACAGGAAGGACCGTTTTCTATGATTAAGTTGTGTTAAATCAGTATTATGGTTTACAATAAAAAAAAAAAAATAAATAAGAATGTGGACATGTTATAGTTTACTACAGAATACCTTCCCAAAACATAATACGGCCTCTTAAAAAAATAACTCAAAGTTATAATAAATATAACTGTTTTTTCCATATTTTTTTAACACTGTTTCCTTAGGCGGGTGAAATATGGCCAAATGTTACAAGGAAGTTCAACATCATCTTCAGACCAACAGCAGCCACTCTTTACCAGCAGACCCTGTACTGTGATATTACAGGTCAGTGAGTGAGTTTTGAGAAGACAAACAGAAATCCTCGTACTTCGATCTTTTTCCGGAATCCCCAGCACCTCGATTTTGGCTGTTTGTTCTTCCAGACGACTCTTCCCCCCTGCTCGAAATCAATAGCGTTCTCATATCAGATCCTCACTCTGAGTTTGGTGCAGAGTCAGACAAAGGTTAACATGTCTGACTCACAAACTTTGTAGGCCTTTAATTGTCTTTTCGAGGCACAATATAAACAAATATTACTTGTAAAATCAAGCTAACTCTACTTGAAGTGTTTTGCAAAAATACGCTTTACTACACAAAACAGTCCAAATGCCTAAAATTAAGTAGTAAAAGGTTGTTGGTAAATTTGCATGTGGCCTTCACTTGTGTCTTCTTAGCCGGATGGACAAATTTACATTAATTTCCATGCTTTCTAAGGCAGACCTGACCTGACGAGTGAGGTCAAAGGCAACCTAACTGGAGAAGTGGGCACACATTTTTACTGTACCAATCTTTTTCTCTCGATGTTATACTATTATATATCTGAGCTCTGAAACATGGCTTTTTAACATGTAATCATTATATTTAAATATACTTTTCTAGGTTGTGAGTCTCCTTTATGCCTAACAATAAAAGGTGAAGGCCTGGGACCAAAGCTCAAACCCAGTTTCAATGTGTTGGACATGGAAAATATATGTATTGGTGACAAAGATTGGTATGAGGTATGCTACAACATGATGCATTTAGAATTTAATTTATTTAATTATTATTTATTAAGACAATATGTGTTGTTTTCTAGGTGACATTAACCAACAAAGGCTTAATTGATGCCCCTTTCAAGATGTCCAGCCCCAACACCACTTTTGGACAGTTTTTTTCCTTTAGTCCAGTTGAAGATGTTGTTCCTCCTGGGGCCTGTCAGACAGTTAAAGTCACCTTCTCCAGTTCAGTTCTTGGAAAATTTTCTGAGGATTTACTCCTTACAGTGAAAGGACAGCCTTATCCTCAAATCTTGAATTTCAGGTAGTATGTTGTAATCTTTGTTTTTTGACACAATGAATAATACATACAAGTTTTCAGTTTTAAAAATCCAATATCAACAAGAAAGAATACCGAAGCACAAATACAGCCCTATTCATATATGCTAGAACCATGAAGCAAGAAGCTAATCAGCTAGTCAACTAAAAACTTAGACAACTGACATTTTTTTCAGATTCACACATGCTATACATTTTGTGATTTCTTTTTCAGGGGTTGTGTCACTGGTCCAACCTTTGACTTTGATGTGACCGAACTAAATTTTGGAGATGTAGTATTTGGTAAGCCTTTTCCTATTTGTTATGATATACAAAAATAGTAAAGCACCCTTCCTCAAAGCTTTTCTGCTAATTCTGTGTTAGTTCCACTTGCATTTATCTTAACATGTTTTTTTCTTTGTTGCAGGGTTTCCTCAAAGTACTATTTGCACACTTTTTAACAGATCATTTGTGCCAATGACATTTTCCCTGCGCGTGCTGGGGGATGGATTAGGCCCTCCCAGTGTGTCTTGTGTCCAACAGGTGAATGACAGATCCAGAAGCCAGTGGCAGGGCTGTACTGCTAAAGACCGTCATGTGAGGCCCAAAGAATTCACTGTCAGTCCTGAGGCCGACTGTGTTTTGGCCATGTCACAAGTCCCCATAAAGGTACATGTACATATGCTAAAAGCCCCATTTTATTATTCATTGATCCTTGGTTAGAATCTGCTATTCACTGGTCCTTCTTTGCTTAGTACTGACATATTTGCTTTACCAAGATAACTTATGAATTATCCGTATTGTAAAGGTGACGCTATGCTCCAATACAATCAAACAATATAAGATGGCTTTGGCTGTAGACGTGGAGGGTGTTGGGAAGAAGATCAGGACTTTACCACTTTATGCAAGGTTTGTTTCACACATAATCACACATAAAGCAACAGAAATAATTATATGAATTGGATCTATTACATCACAATCACAATGTTTTGTACACTAGTCTGTCACAGCTGAACAAAAATAAACCATTGTCTAATTTCTCAGTAACTATAACAAGGCACTGTATTACATAAAGAGTTTGTTTGAAATTGTGTTTGCCTTGAATTTTGCATTGAAGTAGATGTGTGTGGGGGGGGGGGGGTCTGCATTCTTTTATTAGCATCATAAAACATTAGAATGTCATCCTACTGTAACTCTAGACTGGCAATGTTAATCTGACTTCCTCAAGCAATCACTGTCACATAGAATTTATGAATCTTCTATAATGAACAGCCTGCCATTTTGGCAGGCCCTGACTGATATACGTCATTGTGTTAAAAAATAATCTCTCTGTTTGTGTTTTTATGTTTAGGTGTGTTGTGCCTAACCTTGCGGTAGACACTCCACTTCTGGACTACAAAAGTTGTTTCCTCAATCTCCCTTATAAACAGGAAATACATTTAGTTAACACAAGTTCTCTTCCTGCCTGTTATGGTGTTTTAGAACAGGTGAGGACAATTTGTTTAGCCCCATTTAATAATAGCATCTGGTAACTTGCACAGTGCTATTATATTTTGTATGATGTTTTCTGTGTACATTCTAGGAGCTGGAAGAGAATCCATCAATATATTTTGAGAGTCTCATACCCAGAGGTGTCATTTTACCCAACAGCTCAGAGGATATTCCTGTATGTGTCACTGCAAAGGCTGTGGGAAAATTGCATTGCAATATGCGTATCGCTGTGTTTGGCAGTACCCAGCTACCTCTGGTCAGTCACAGAATCGTTTTTAAGCACATGTGCCATACGATATCATGCCATTCTCTAAAATCATATTGATTACCCAATTTCACTCTATCATCCACCTTACACTACAACCATCACATTGTATTTAAATTTGACTGCTTTGAAATGTAGGACCATCCTCTTTGGTTTCTTTTTACCACTACAACAAATACATTTCCAGAAAATACTGCTAATACTTATGCCCTATTTGTGTTTTCTGTAGGATGTTGTGTTGTCCTGTACTGGGCAAGGACCAATTGTTTGTGTTCAAAGTACACATCTTGACTTTGGCAGAATCCCAGTATTGAAAGACATCTCAAAATCATTGCACCTTCTAAACCAGTCACCAATTCCAGCACATTTCTCTGTATGCATGGTAAGTACCAAATATACAGTATATTAAGTGTTTTTTAAATTACATCACAATCAACTTGAATGGACAGATTTGCTTTTGAATTCTAAGAAATACATAGATGAAACAGCTGTCCTGATTGTTGTATAAAGGCATTTGTGTGACCCTGAGGCACATTTGAGGAGTTTCTCCTAGCACTCTCAGCAACAATCAATGCAGATTCTTCTAGAATGATATTACATTGCAATCAATAGGTTGGCAGTGCAGCACACAAATAGACCGGATGAGTAGAGATCATGGGAGCCTTGCAGTTGCTCAGAATTGCTTGCCATAATGTATATGTTTGTTTTAAATAATAATAAGTCATATTAACATAGCAACAAAATGTACTATGCATCATGTTTGACTCAGTGACTCCTGTTTGACTGATCAAACATTTCTACCATTAATGCTTTCACAGCTCAGTTAAAGTGTAGTTTACTGCGGCAGGGATTTAAATTATTTTACTTGCTGCATCAGATCAATGCAAATTAAGCTGGTGAATGAAGCAGGTGTAATGTGATTGAAAATGCTTTTTTCATTCTCCTGGAGGGGGCTACTGCTTCTTCTGTTTCACACCCATCACAATGAGCTGACTCTTATTCTTAAACACATTATGACTTTAAACACAGGGAAAGACAACATACCCATGAACTTCATTTACCAAGAGTTTATTTTCTAGTTATTCATCAGCACCACAATATATAGAGCACTGATTGTAAACATAGCTGCTGCTTGGCCAAATGCATGAAGAGTGAGCACTGTAAAGCTGATGATGAATAACTGCAGATGAATGTTTGATTTATATATTTTTCAAAATATAATCGGAACTCAAAACAGGGACCTTTTGTTACTAAAATTCAAATTCAGGTCTCTGTACTGTTGCATTAATTGCTGAAATTAAAACAATGAACAGGGTGATCTAGCAGTGGTTCCCACACTTTATGTATTTGTGTAACCACTGAGACTTTTCATTACCAGTTGCATTTCCTCTACCCCCTGTGTCTGTGGTTTCATGTTATGCAATAATCAAATAAAGACAAAACGCTCCTTGGGTGTCTCCTAGGTCATTCCATGCACTACCTGGGCTACATGTGCGACAATTTGAAAACCACTGATCTGCAGTATTGAGAGTAGATTATAGGTTTTATCTTTCTGAGAGTAGAAGAGCGGTCAGACTCATAGCACTCTAAACAGTTGATATGATTATGTAGTCATTTGATATACACATTTATCATTGTAAATCTGTCAGTGTATTCTGGCCACAGATCACAATGTGAAGAAAGTACCTCCACTATTGAAATAGTGTTAAGCATCACATTTCAGTCCTCTAAAGTCTGCCTAGACTGTTTATGCCTCTGTTTCCACTCTGTGGGCATGCTGTAGTATACCACAGACACTCTGATTATATTTGCTCCTCCGCAGAGGCAGAGAAAGTCCTTTTGGCATGTGGAGCCCAAAGAGGGGAAGGTGCCAGCCCAGGGCCGGCTGGAGCTCCAGGTCGTGGCTCATCTGAAGGACACGCTTCACTTTGAAGACCAAATGGAAGTGTCTGTCCAGGACGGTGGCTTGCTCACTGTCTCAGTGTGTGGAAGAGGCACTGGCACCACTATTGTCAGTGACAAGGCGTTTGCCCCAAGCCTCGATCTCGGGACACACATTAGGTGAGCTGTTACCGAAAGGAGACCAGTTATTTTTGCGAACATGTGTGATATATTACTCTGCAATACTGAATATTCAACAACTGTAAAAAAAACAAAAACTTTTTTCATCTGTACATCTTCATGGAGAGATACTACTACATAATACACACCATATACCAAATTTTACAGATGAATTATATGCATAAGCTATAAACTATATGCATAATCTATTATTTTAATAACTTGTGCTTTGTAGTCATGGGTTATACCAGTACCACTTCAAGCTGACGAACCTTGGTTTAAGGACCCACCGTATGTATTGGCGGACCGATGGCTTTTTGAATAAAACTCAGAGGGTGAATAAACTTGGGAGTCAAACATCACTTCCCCCCATCTATCCTCCTAAAAAAAAGAACCTCCTCCCCAAGCGGGGGTCCTCAAGGTCTTCGAGGGCCTCTCTCCCGGAGAGGCCAGTGTTTAGCCTAAACCCTGCTCGTGTGGAACTCTTCCCTGGTCATTCAGTGGACATGGTTTTAACAGGATCGTGTAATATTCCCAAGGTGAGAATGACTTTTTTTTTTCATTCAGTGCTAATATCAATGAACAATATTAATATTATGTATTTTTGGTTCTAGGTAGTGCATGAACGTCTAGTGTGCCACAGTGTTGTGGGTAACGCTGGCTCCTGTGACAGCATCATGACTGTAGATGTCACTTGCTGCTTTGTGGCCCCTATGCTCAGTATTTCTCCCAAGAAGTTACATTTCAACTTAAAAAAGGTCTGCAAGACAAAACAAAATAAACACAAAACAAATTGACATGGTACTAAATGTAAATATTTTTTGTATGTTTAAGGTCCCAGGAAAGAGCATCGTACCACAATATAAAAAGCTGCTACTGAAGAATGTTTCCAGTCTCACTTTATTTATAGATCTTCAAACTGTTGAGCCATTCTCCCTGTGTCATGTAGAGGGTTCCCAGGGCTCTGCCACTATGAAGGTACATTTGTCTCACAAATATTAAGTATAATAAGATGTTGAAATTTTTCTGTGGTTTTGGTCTTTTGAAAACTTGTTTTTGATCTTTTTTCTAGATGATGGCTCTAGATGAGGGAAATCACACGGAGCTGTGGGTATGCCTTAATCCTAGCTTTTGTGAGGATCGGGTGTCACGAGTGCTTCATGAGGTAACATTTTTCATAGTATTACTTGATGCTCATTCATTTCACCAGGCATGAGTGCACACGTCAGTACAGCAATGAGCAAGAGAATTCAAAGCTACAATATAATGTAGTTTGCATTCTTAAGATTGTTATTTTTTATTATATGCAATTTGTTTTATTTCTTTCTCTCAAGTTCCTTGAGATAAATTACCAAGGACATCCCCAGCAGGATGTTGTAGAGCTGCATGGAGAGATCCACTTCCCCAATCTGCTCCTTTCAAGCACATCAGTGGATTTTGGTTGTGTGCTTAACTCCACTGAAACTCAGAGAGAAATCACAATAACCAACTGCTCACCTCTGCCTGTGGCGTACCATTGGACATTTCTGGATCAAAAGCCCAGTGACCCTAGGTATGTAAACACAAAATAAAATGGCCTTGTAATTCAATATCAAAATACTTACTTGAGAAAGAAAGCTTCCAGGGGCATGCAAGCAAATTTTCACTTTTGTATGGTAACATCATAAATGCACAATAGACGCGCAAGTAAGGTAGTTTTACTGATATTTCAGAATTGTATGTCGATGAAATTATTTTTTTTCATATTAAGAAAAAATATTATTCAATGTGCAAACATTATATGTTTAATTAATATTGTTGAATAAATAATGACTCCTAAAGCCACCTGCTTTGCTCTTTAAAATCTATCCATGTGAAAGAGCCAGAGCTGATGCGAGTGGTACTGACTAAACAAGTTTCTGAGACAATAACAAAATGGGTCCAGGCCATATATTTAAACTGTCTGCAGGGATAAGTTAGTACAGTAGCTATAGATTTAACCCTCTGAATTGAAAGCCAAATCCATTATAAATGCTCCAGGGAGGACAAATCTACTGATTGTGTACTTTACAGTGCTCCAGTGTGCTTCTTTCAGGACTCTGATCTAGCCACTCTCCTTTGAAAATGGACAGTGGATCCTATAGTAGTTGCTCAGTCCATGGCCTTGAACCAAGTTAATGCTGCAGCTCTACAAGATTTATCACTCCAGTCCACATACCACTATCTTCTCCTTTCACCCATTAGTAGTCCTCCATTTTGCTCTTGTCACCTCTCAAAGTTTAACATTCCCTATTTACCTTTTTCTTTTCCTTTGCGCTCTCTCACTTCTGCTGCTTCTGCTCTGTACTAAGCCTTATCAACCTCCTCTCTTCCTCTCTCCCTCTGCCTGTCACTCTGATTGTGACCTCCCTTAACAGCGCATTTCAGAGGCTATCCCACTAATTAAATGGAGACCTCTCCCGCTTTCTAAAATCTGCGTTTCTTACTGACTAAACCTGTGCTATCGAGCCATGTCCAGCTAATTACATCGCTATCAGTAATTACACCAGGGCCTGTGGAGAAGAGAATTTCAATAGAGCTTACTCCAAACTCTATCCATCTGTTAGGCTGAGTGATAGTGGCAGAACAATGCACTTAAATACCATTGCCTATCGTTCTTCAAGCATCTACAAAAGCTACTCATAATCTGTCTCTTCTGGTGCTTCAGAATGACAAATCACTTCTTGCATTTAGAATTTGAGACTTCAGTCAACCATGCAGTGTGTCTTTAAATATAGTCCACATGCATGAAATATCCAACAACTGTGAGATGTAAAAGGTCCTATATTACACAAACTTGAGTCTTGTGAGCTGTAAGCCATGTTATAATGCTATTACAGCATCATAAACATACCTGAAGTGATGTTTTAGTTCATTCACACGTTTGGGTAATCCTTTATTATTAGTGTGTCTACATCTCCAAAGCTCAAAATGCTCTTTTCCAGCTTGTGATGTCATGAATCTTTTACCTTTTGTTTAGTAGAGATAAATATCAGCGCTAAAATGACCCAAATGATTTTAGTGAAGTTGGATGGAATTCAAAAACACTGTATTACATGACATCACAAGGTGGAACAGAGTGAGAACTAAGCCTAAATATGCAGGAATAGTGTGTTAAACATGTGTGAATGAAACAAAACACAATTTCTGGTATTTTTTTATTTATTTTAATTTTTTTTTTGTGAGGAGGAAACAACATAGATGAGAAAATAACGCAATATGGGTCCTTTAATAAAGCCTTAGGCGAATTAATAGACATTATCCATATTATCCATTTTCCGTGGTCAGTTTGATTGGAGTGATTAAATACACTTGTGTGGTTTGTAGAACAGATTATATTTTAAAGCAAGCAACTCCTTTCAAATTAATTAAATGTAAATCTTCTACAAACTAATTTGCATCAAGGCAAATACACTAACACACTATCTTAATGGTCCAGGTTTAGTGTAGAGTGCGTAGAAGGTGTTGCATAGCAGAAATCAGTTTATACTTATCCTATATTAAATCTTAAATCATCTTTTGCCTGTTCGATTGCACTGTAAATCTTTTAGACACTCTCATTCACACATGCACACACCTCTGTCCTGGCAGTGCAGTGGAGGGAGTTGTTTGCGCTTCAGTAGGTTTTCGATGATTTTCTTGGGAGACTCAATACCGGCGAATGGACAGAATAGATGTGTGCATACTAGAACATCAGAGCAGGCTATTTCTGTTTGGAGATGGGCTCTCGTGGAGTCATCATATGCTGTTGTGCCATCTGTTCCATTGTCGGCTTCAGTGGGTTTAAAATCTCTCTTGAAGGACCCACAATATGAAATGCTTAGTTAACGGTGAACCAACATTATTAACTTTTTCATCAAGGTTCCTAAATGGTTCATATTAATGTCTCAATTAAAAACACATCACATTACTGAAAAGTGTATGATCTGTCAGTAGGCTGGCTAGTTTCTTAACATACCTAATCCTTTGTGCAAGACTAATCGTGCAGTAGTGCCCCCTGCTGGTTGCATTGTTAATATAGATAGCTACGGTGGCTTTTAGAGGAAGTATTTTTAATGCTTTCTTACATGAATGAATGCATATAACGAAGTCAGACACAGTGTCTGTTAAGTGGACTCTCAAACTTGTTCAGGTCAGCTCTGAGATCACTCAATCTCTTTCATTCGCGTCCATGTTTATTCAGCACTTCAATGCAATCTATCCTGACCTGTTTCCTGCCTCTTGCCTATTAAAATTCCTCTTAATTATAGAACACTCTGTTTAATTAACTTGATGGATGCATCCCGTCTGATCCCACAGGGAATGTAAGAGCCAGAAGACTGAGAGAAAATTAGAGTTAGAATCTTGGGGTTGTGGATGCTAAAGATTTTCTACCCCAGTGTGGTTACCATAATGTGCAAATGATATATTCCAAATACAATAGATGGTAACTTCATTTGTAGTTGTAGTTCACTAGTTAATCTGCTCAAAGTTTGTGCCAAGTGCTGAATTGATTGCTTTTTCCTACTGATCTCTCCATTTTAATAGTCCTGGAAAAGAGACAAAAGCGTTCAGATTTTCAGATATTCAATGATGATATAGCAGATATATCAATCAGATATTCAATGAATGTTCAATGATTTGCTTTGTTTCCCATTTTATGAATTGAATTTGAATATGAATTATGAAAAAAAATATTTGGATTCTCTCATTATAGAGAGGTGGAGGAGCTGAGTCTTTCACTGGAGGATATAAAAAAGCATCCGAATGAAGACAGCGAGAACACTCTTTCTTCTGCCTCATTGCTCCAATGTAATCCTGTATCTACAGACAATGAGCAAAGAAGTATTTACTGCCCAGTCAAGGTGGAGGAGGTAGGCAAATACTTAAACAAATTGATGCTTTTCTTTGTCTCCCTCTTCATAAGGCGCACCCAAATATTTACAGGTAAAAGAAAAGGTAAAAGAATGAATGGTTATTAGTAAATTTCCCATAGTGCCCTGTGTTAAACAAGTTAAAAGCAGTCTTTGTAGCATCTACTGTTGTCACGATACTAAAATTTCAAACTTGATTTCGATACTAAGTAATATCCTCAATACTCAATACAGATACAAAACACTTTCTTTAGACAGTAGAAGACAACAGAATGTAACTGAGTGTATAATAGTCTATGGTCTTATATTTTTTGTGATACAGCCCAAGATGATTCTAAAACTCTTTAGGAAAGGTTCATTTCTGTTCTGAGAATGTGACTTTGTTTTAATGTTAATACTTGATTGACTATCTCGTTTCGATACTAGTTTTACTATTGGTTAGTATCTTATTTTCTATACTTTTGACAACCCTAGTAGCACCACTGTATGCTCCATTATTTTGGGTACGAAAAGAAAATTGTGTGTATTAATTTGCCTATTCTATTGAGTATGGTTTTTTTAATCTCTTATCTCTTACTTTCTCTTTATATTTGTTGACAGATGTTTGATGTGCTGCCAATTTATGGTCATCTGCAACCTGGAGAGCAGCAGGTGACCTCCTTCTCTTTCTATGGCCATAATAATGTGAGCAGAGAAGTGGTCGCCCAGTGCCACGTGGAGGATGGGCCTGTGTATGGAGTCACACTTAAAGGGGAAGCCTCACAAGTCTCCTTCTGTCTTGACTACACCTGTGTCAATTTTGGCCAAAAGGTACTCACTACATGAAGCCCTTCACATTGATAGCTGTTTTGGTTTCGGTCTTGTGCTTTATAGGCTACAGGTCACCAAAGAGCCTCTCTGTGTTCTTGTCACATTAATAACCTAAGATATTTGCAAGCAATTTTTGGGAGGGATTGCCACAGATAGTTGGCAGGGTTTTCTTTACATCCGTCACATTTCTCTCATTGGAGGGGGCAGTGAAGCAACTATAGTTTGTGCTTGGATGAGATACAAACTGCCAGCTCCCTGACAAATGCCAATACCACTGCATCACTGCTTCCCCAAATGCATACAGTGTATACAGCACAGATTTACATAAACTGCTTCATAGCACATTTTGTCATAACTAATTTTGATGTTTGTAACATAAACATGACATGATAACAACATAAATCAATTAGCAAATGTACAATATGAACCATACACTGCTATAATGGAAAACAGAACAGATGTGCCTAGTTTTGATTTTTTTTAAATGAAATGTTTACTTCATTATGATTTTGTATTTTCATAACACTCAGCTTTCTGCAAAAAAAAAAAAAATGAGAAAAGGCAAAATCTTCTAATCCTATTCTGAGAAAATGGGATTAACTAGTCCACATTGTTCTGTTATCTCAGTTTCTTGTCCTCACTTTTCCTCTGCCATCTGCTTGCTCATCCGTGTGCGACACACAATATCAGGCCAGACTAATTCGATCCGAATAAACTTGGGGGTCTGATGCGTTTTTGTATCGGACACTGGCCAGCCTGAGTGGGGCTTATGTGTCTGATTGTGAATGATAGAGTGTTTGGACACTCGGTGCAATGTGATTTGTCATATTCAACTTTATCATATTAGAGAAAGCACATCAGCTCTAAATGTCACTGAGCGATTTGTTACCCCTTCTCCGAGCATGTGCTACTACCCCCCCACCACACACACTTTAGGTATACAAGCAGTCTGAAGCAGTTATCATTGATATTCAAAACAGGGACATATTGATTTTTGATTTGGGTGATATCAGCGATTCAGCACAACATGTCTCAAACCTTCCTGTGGCTTCAGCACTCTTCCCTCTTCTGCATTTTTCTCACTCACTTGTTGTGATTTTGCAAAGTTTGAACCAATTTTTAATTTCGGTTTTACACAGACATTCTCTATTTTTCAGCTGTTTGATCATGTTGGAGAAGCTGAAATAATACTGAAGAATACTGGAAAAATGAGTTTTAATTTCAAGATTTGGAGTGTTGATCAAAATGAGAACAACGTTTATGATCCTTCTGAAAAAAAACTGGATATTCATTCAAGTCATAAAAACATAAAACAAAGTGATGAAGACATTGAAGTAATACCTGGTCAGCCACTGGTTCTCCCCTCTGAGGTAAAATCAATTATATAAATAACACTTATTTATTTGTATTGTCAATGTTAACCAACAACATGGTTAAGCAAAAAACAGAATTGTGTTGTTTATTTTTTGGTCTATTGAATCTTGTCAGGGGTACGTTGAAGCTGGCACAGCAACATTCCTGCGTGTACTGTACCTCCCCGGGGTCCCTGAGAAGTTTGAAAAGAGACTTCAGCTGCAGGTAGCCTATTTGCTACCGCAGCAGATCACTGTGATTGGAGAGGGAGTTTTTCCACGGGTCATTCTGAATTTGCCGCGGAACCTTTGTATGACTAATTTCTTAAAATATGATTTATGACTGTTATAGGCATTATAGGCTCTTTGATTATTTCTGGTTGTCAGCAGCACAAGACAGTTACAGCAATCTGATGGAGCAAGCTAAAGAGACTTTGAAAACTAATGGACACTTTGAGGGATTTACCACTGAGAACAGCACCGAGGATGCAACAGAAGCCAGCTATACCCCAACAGTCAGTTATCACAATCATTCATGCTGTATTTACTCATTGTCAGGTTTTTATTGCACCTGATATGATATGTTCTAATTCTTGCTGAATCTCTATGGCTTAGAATGAGGAACTGCTTCAAATGGAAATGGAAAGGATCCTAGTTAAAGAAAATGCTCTATCTGTGACTGGCAGCTTCCTGGAGTTTAAAGAACAGCGAGGGCTCTTGAGAAGGTGGAGCAGACTCACCAAGTAGGTACCAATTTAATATAAGACTGAACAAGATTGTCCAGTCATATTCATAGTACCAACCCAATTTACATAGATTATCAGCTAAAACAAAATACTGCAGTGTTTTTCTGTTTGATCATCATTAGCAAATTGCTAACTAGGATTTGGAAAAAATGCTGTAAGTTCTTTAATACAGTTGGTGTGTGTAAAAATCCTAATGATACAAAGAAGTAATAATTCATCACACATTATATACATAAAATCTTAATCACAGAAAATTGAAAATCCCAGTGCATCCATCAAAACAATTTTTTAACAAAAGCATAACCAAGGTGAATGAGAAAATGCTGTTTTCCTGGTCTGTGTTTTTACTGAATCTTTTCATAATTTTAAATTAATGCCCAAATGCAAAAATGGGCCTTCAGGGTCACTGTTGACCCTGTCACATGTTGGTGTACAAAAATATCTTATTTATTGGAAAAAGAAAGAGTACAGGTAACTCAACAAAATCGTGGCAAATCTTAGTGTTATGTCTAAGCATATATGGACAGTTATTAGAGTTGTTTATTATTGTTTATTATCAATCATTTTGTTGTAATTGCATTTTTCCAGGTGCCTGCTTCCAGAGTATAATTTGGATTTTGGCTCAGTCATCCTTGGCAGAACACCTAGTCAAACTGTGCATATCAGCAACAATGGATCAGTGACTGTCTCATTAACTGCTAATCACAAGGTTTTGGTTGGCACAGGTGAGGCCTGTTAAATTTGTATAAAGCAAAATCAAATATCATACCATCCAAGGGTAATTATTCCTTTGTGTTAAAGGTTTTAGTATTGACTTTGAAAAAGTCAAGAACCTGCCCTGTGGAGAGACACATGTCTTTACTGTTATGTTTGACCCTCAAGAAGCTAAACTTCCCCTGGGAAGTGTGGGTGTTGTCCTGCCAATACAGGTACAGTAGAGGAGGTGTAATCACCATCATCATCATCATTTACTTGTATAGTATAGTTCACCTAGATGTCTCTGTTTACATGTGGACTTCTAGGTAAAGGGTGGTCCCACTGTCCAGGTGCATCTATGTGCTGTGGTAACTAAGCCAGGCATCACAGTTTCAACAGAAAAACTTGAGTTTGAGACTATCCCATGTGGCATGTGCCAGGTAAGATATATGACAATTAAACTGTTCTGATTCTGAAATCAGACAATACAGGGGGAAAAAATCTTTGTAATAAAAAATTGCAAATGTTTCTTTTTACACATGTATTATATGATCTACATGATCCATCCATCAGTATGGACAGTATTTATGACATTAAAGTGATACACTCTAACCTTTCCTCTTAGATGAAGACAGTACAGCTCTTCAATCATGAGTCGGTGCCCTGTCAATGGAGCATAGCTGAGGAGGTGAAGCTGAAGAAGGTATGACCTTATTAGAAATATTCATGCTTAGCCCTGAATGTCACCATCATTCCTTTGTTTTAGGTAAATAAATTCCTTCCTTTCTACAAACGAAAGCAGCTACCTCCTCCAGTGGTGTATGAGATGCTTCCCAACTCTGGGTTGCTGTCTCCTGGTGAAAGGGTCAATGTTCAGGTCACGTTCACTCCATTAGCAGAGGTAGGAATCAACAAGTGTGATAACAAACACTGAAATACTGTACATCAGGGGTGTCAAACATACGGCCCGGGGGCCGTATCCGGCCCACCAAAACCTTTAATCTGGCCCTCAGATGATGTTCTACTAAAATATTTAAATTATATTTTCTATTAAAATATTGGTAATTTTCTGTGCAGCTTAGCATAGCAGCGTCTCCATCGTCTCTGTGCCTCTTTCCTCTCTTAAACGCTATTAAAGGACTATCATTTGACTGTAGACCATGACACCCTCATCAGCGAAATGTCAAAAATGAGATAAGTGGACGCCAAGTGCAGGATTTTCCAAGAAAATTTGACTTATTCCTGTTTATTTGCATACAAGTTAATGTCAAAACATTGTGTAGAAATTGCATTTTTCTTAAAGATTCTGGTTGTTTATAGTATTATTATCATCAATTAAAAAAGATTTCTGTTATAGATTTGCATTTCTCTGCACAAATATTTGAACATATTGCTATTTTTGGGGTATATATGCCATGAGTTTTCTGATCCAATCCCTTTGGGATCAAATTAGGTTGGATACGGCCCCTGAACCAAAATGAGTTTGACACCCCTGCTGTAGATGTTTATTTACATGTTCATGATTTCTATAAATTATTTCTTAGGAGGTTTACAGCAAAAACCTTGTGGTCAGTGTGGCTGAAAGCTACCAGAAAGTGTTGATCACAGCACAGGGTGAGGGTGAAGAGGCACGACTGGACTTCTGCCCACCTGTGCTGCAACTCAGACCTTGTCTGCCTTTTAGCACCGACGTGGAGGCTGAGGTCACAGTCAAAAATTCACGTTCCTTTCCCATTGAGTTTTACTGTCTGGAACTCGACACACAATACCTTGAAGAAGAAAGGGTATGTGTTTTGTAATACTGCATATATGGAGTATTGGAGATGTAATACATATTATTTGTTTGATGTTAACACCGCATTGCACTCTCAGGTTGCAGATGTCAGTAGGGTTATTAATTTTAAGAGTTGTATCTACAACCAGAGAAATCATGCTGTGTTTCAAATTGTTTTGTCCTTACATCTACACTTTTCTGGCGTGCATTACTTTATTCATAATTGGCATTATTATTTTGCAATATGGTTATATCCTCTTTATTCTTTTGTGTAGATATTGCGTTCAGTGCAGGGTTATGATGAGAACAACAGATTGCTGCTCCCTCCAAGGATCCCCGGAGAAGGACTTCCTCATGAACTGCTAGAATTCTACCAGCACTATAACACAACAGAGAATGGTATTACTGGGCAATGTATTTATTATCAATATGATCTGTAAGACAAAATAAAAAACTAAAAGTTAAACTTTGTTTTCTAGCAGACAATGTCCCAAAATGTGATATACAGATGAGGCAACAAGAAACCTTTGAAAATAAAAGACCTCCTACAGCCCTGGAGCAAGCTGAATTCTGTAAGTTCAACCAACCACAAAACTGCCTTATAATTTCCTACTTAATAATATACACTCTAGATATTCCTCTTCATTCTGAGCCTCTGACTCTGCCTGTGCTGTGTGCAGTGCTTTCAGAAATTAACAGAGAGGGCTTACGTAAAGAACTAGGCCAACTGCTCTTGGACCCAGTCTCCAGAGCCATTGCCCGTCACATGGGTATTGACCTGTCTCCAGACAGTCTGGCTGCACTCAACCGCAGGGGCATCGCCATTATTGTGTATGGAGCCCCAAAGACAGGTGAGTTAGTACTTTGTAATATTCATCTATTTTTATCTAAACATACATCCCACAAAATAAAGCATTACATTATTTGATTCCTGGAAAAGAATATACTATTCCATGTCTTCCATAGGTATAAATGGCACAGCAATGTCTCTGGCCCAGTACTATGGAGGGACATTAGTAAGTATTGATGCTGTGGTGACTGAGGCACTGTTAGAAGGGACTTCACGAGCTGCCATCACTGCCAGACAGCTCTTTGATCAGGCTGCTGCAGAGTATGCAAAAACTGTGGGAGAACCATGTAAGTCAAGTACAAACTGGTTTATTTCAGTAAACTCAAAAAGTCCCCTTTACTTATAGTTATAATTGAAAGTTATAAATTGATATGATCTGCAGTGCCTGAAGTCATGGAAAAGACTGCAAGCTCTTCTTCCAATGGAGAACCAACTGACACTGAAGCTACCCAAATCGCTCTTTCCTTGGTATAATTTCAAATACAAACTGAGCAACTCATAACCGATCTTTTAATGTATTTTAACTAACTACAGCAAAACATTATTTATTCTTTAGGGAGGGGACATGGCATCACTCAAAACTCTTCTACCTGAACCTGTGCTAATTGGTATCTTAACTGAAAGATTTCAAGTAAGTTGAAGTGACTGTAACTCTAGTTCCGTACTCATTATAAAAAAAAAAAAGTAAACAATTTTCTGTCTGATTTACTATACATCTGTTGTCCATGTTTTCTAATATCACATCACATGTTTTTTTTCTTTCCATAATTGCTCTGTCTATAGTCAAGTGACTGTCATCGTGGCATAGTGGTCAGCGGATTGAAGTCTGCTTTTGCTGCAACAGTCACACATACACTGCAAGCTGTCCTCAAAGCCCTCAACAACAGGAAACACATCTATGTTGTGAACATGTTTGATTCCTATTTTGCATTGCAGAGCAGAGAGAAAGCACAAAAAGATGCTAAGGGTAATCTTAATACTATTTATTTTAAGCAAAATTGTATTAGCCGGTCACAGTGTATTTTGAGACATTTGCCACCACTTTGTTCTCTCTGTCAGAAGCCCTGCAGCAGGAGATGGCTGAAAATGAAAAACAGTGGCTGCAAGAGTTGGATGAGGATGAGTATGAGGCTTTACCAGAGGAGAAGAAACGCATTATTGAGCAACACAGACAGAGGCTCACAAAAGAACAAATGAAACTACCCAAAGAACAAGAGCGGCAGCGGCAGCAGGAGGACCTGAAACAGCTTAAAGAGGAGGAGCTGAAGAAACATAACAAAAAAGCCCCAAAGAAGGACATCCAGAAGGAGACCCCCAAAAAGAAGTTTCTTGAAGTGAAAGTGGTATGTCTAAGCATTAATGTTAATATTTTTGGGGAGGACTGTCAAGATACCCTTGTTTTTTGATTAATTTGCAGTCCAATGAAAAACTGACTCAGAAGAACCCTAGAGAGAGTGAAGCCAGTGACCTAAACATTTCAAGAGAAGGCCAAAACAACTGTAAGTTTTTCTATGGTTATGAAATACACATTAAAACATTCAGCATGACATATTATTAGTATTATATATGTTGTATGAAATCAGTATTCAAAATCACAAGCATAATTTATTGTTTTCTGTTCTGTTTCTGTTTTTTTTTTAATATAGCACTTAGCAAAGAGGATAATGATTGTCAAATAGAAGAAGCAAAGGCATTAGGAACTGAAACTCCTGCAAATACTGAAAACCTGGACAGACATAAGGTTAAGATTACTTTATATGTAGAAAAATATCCATGCAGTCTTTTTATGTAGTCTGGTTTACCTATTCTTGGCTCTCAATCCCATTACTTTTCTCTCTTAAACTCATTGATATGCCAAAAAACTGTTCTGATCACTGTTTTGTCCCTTTAGTCTGAGGTGAATGAGTTGCAGACTGAGTTCCTTGCATATGAGCAAAGTCAGGTGCAGGTGGAGCACATTCTGCAGCACTGGGACCGTGTCCAGGGAGTCCTGCTGGTGCCAGTCCCTGGAGAAGACATGCCAGGTTCCGAAGAGATAACAACTGAAAAAATAGTAACTTACAAGTTTACTAAAAGTGCTTATAATCAGTACTATATAATATCAGACTAATATCAAAACAATATCTATATTAATTCAGAGCCCAGTTGGAAAAGGCAAGGGGAAGAAAGCCAATTACAAAGGTCCAAAATACAGTCACACTGAAACTGTTGAAGACAAGTTGAGTCCAGTTGATGTCATCCCACACCTTGTTATAAATCTGATGGAAAAAGAAGGCATTTTAACAGAGCTTCTCAGACATGCTCTGCCTTCAGTAGAAGAGGTATCCCAATGTTATGGCCCATTACATCATTTACTTTTTGAAAATACAATTTATGTTGTCTGTTTTATTTTTAGGTCTTGAATGAACTGGGCTTAGGGCCAAGTGGTCCACCTCTCCCCCCTCCTGCTACATTTTCTCTGGTTCCATTTCCCAAAAACAGAACTTTGAGTCAATTAAACAACAAGTGCTTCACATTCCTTGTTCCCTCTGACCAAGATGAGCAAAATGATGAGCGAAAAGATGAGGAGGAGGATTTACCAACTGCATTAAAGGTAAGATTTTGTAAAAGATGGTTATCATAACAACATAATCACATGTGTTCTTTCAATGTGGAAAGCCTAAGGCACCAACTAAAGGGTGGGGCAAAAGCGCCATCAAGGAGACCAGTTCACCAAAAGACAAAGACAAAAAGACCAAAGAGACGCAAGAGGGCAACGGAAAAAACTCAGCAAAAACAAAACCCGCAGCGTCATCTCTCACCTCACTGAGCAATGAAGACCAGCACCAGCTGAATGTTGAGCTGAAACGCAACCAAAGGTACATAAATAGTTAACATGCTATAATGTTAGAGATCATGTCATTCTATTTTGGCTTATTCTGTGTTTAACATTTGTTATGTCCAGTCTGACTAAGTTCCGCTGGACTGTACCTGCTAATGGAGAAATCATCTTGAGGATCTGGTTCTATTCAGAAAGCCCAGGGATTTTTGAACAGAAGTTTAACTTTGAAATGACGGGCACTCAAACTCAGTGGCAGCTTCTCTGTAAAGGAATTTGTTCATATCCTTCCATCAGCAAAGACTATAAGTCAGTGCACATCTTTAAGATTAAACCCATTGTTTTAATTGTACACTTATCAATCAATCACGTATCAGTCAAATTACATTTTACCTTTTTCTCCCAGGACTCTTTTTGTGTACAGTAAAAAGACACAATATGAAGAAACCGATGTCCACAAAACATATATTATTAATCCTGGGTACTTTGAATTTGGACCTTTGATCTGTAGCAAAACAAGAGACGGGTAAAATAGAATTGAATTCTTTCTAATATAGCTAAACCTGTCCAATATTTCATGTATGTATGTTTGTGTGTTTTTGTAGATACAAAGAAAGCAAGTATCCAGATAATACAGAAAAGCTTCTCATCCATAACACATCAGGAATAGAAGCTGAAATTCAGTTCAGCTTCCAAAATGACACCCAGGCAACTACGTATCTGTTAGAACCTCCAGCTATGACTCTGAAACCAAATGAGAAGCAGGTATCAAGAGAATCCCACTAGACTGTTTAGCAGTAAGTAAATAGCCAGGTTATCATATAAATGACATATTAAATATATGTTTTGTTGCTTAGGAATTGATGATATGGGCCTATCCAACTAAAGTGGGACAAATAAAGGATAGCATTGTGTGCCATATTAAAGATAATCCTGAACCTGTACTTATCAACGTTTCTTGTTGGGGAGTTCGGCCAGAGTTAGAGCTTGATACCAAAAGCTTGCCCTTTGACAAGACTGTAATACACAGGTAGAAATATTCTTAATATTACAGTATATATTCTGAAACCATGAGTGAGAAGAAGATTTTATGTGTGCTTGCTTTTGTAGACGTGTCAGCCGCACTGTGAACCTGCACAACAAGACAGCTGTCCCTGTGTCTTGGAAGTTGCAGGGGATAGATGACCTGGGGGATTTATTCAGTGTGCCACAAGATCAGGGCATTGTTCCACCTCGGTCAACTTTTCCTTTAACTTTGCACTTTAGAGCCAAAAAGCCGTTACACATTAAGAAGACCCTTCGCATAGAGGTGAGACTTCTGTAGCTGCTACACCACTATTTGAGTTACTCAAGATTCACTATAGTTGAAGTTCTTGATATTTCTTTTCTTGAATTTAGGTTTCAGATGTGGAGAAAATTTTGGGCATTATTCATACTGAGAATATTTCAGTCTCAGCTGAGGCCTATGATGTATCAATAAATATAGAACCGGGTAAGAAATGTTATCAGTTTCCTGAAAGGGACCATACAGAACTTTTCTTTGTACTGCATATTTAGTTTATTACATTTATACGTATGATAAAATATTTTCTCTTTGCTTTACTTTGTCTTTACCAGGTTGTTTGGATTTTGGAACTATTAAAGTCTTTGATGAAGCCAAGCCAACTCTCAGGATACGAAATCACGGGAAATATGAAATAGCTTATAAGTAAGGCTAACTGTGTGTTGTTATTGTGGTGTACAATACACGAAAATGACGGTATACTAACCTATGTTTTTACAAGGTTTACACTCGAGAAGACCCACCCAAATCAACCAAATCTAGATTCCCTTTTCAGCATTTCACCTCAAAGTGGTAAAGTTATGCCTCATGACAAGTCAGCAACTGTCCAGATAATCTGTAAGCCTAAGACTGAACTCTGCATCAGAGAGCAACCCATACTTCTCTGTCAGGTCAGTTTACACTACTTCATCACCAGTAAATACTCTGATGTTACTAGCACTAATGATTATGTACACTCTTTCTACAGGTTATTGAGCCTAATATTGGAGAAAAAGGGGAAACCATCGTCACTTTAGTAACCAAGGTTTCAGTTCAAGCAGTCTTCTCCAGGTTTGAGAGATCAATTTTGTATCTCACAAATAATTGTATTGTATATCTAGTTAAACTGTTGGATTGGTGCCTCCAGGTTCAAAATCTCACCAGCCTGTGACATTAACTTTGGTCCCCTGGTGTTTGGGAGCAAGAAAACCCAGTGTTTTCTTTTTGAGAACATTGGAGTGTTTGAGACACGCTTTTCAATCCACCGCAAAATCATAAGTTCCCTTGAGCGGTCAGGGTAAGTTGACACATACTGATGTAGTAGTTAATGATGAAAAAACAAACAAACAAACACTTCAAAGGTTTTAATTAAGTATAATGTAGTATTTTTATTATATATATTATAATAGATCTTTTTTATATGGAGATTATACTATTCTATGCTTTAATGACTGGAAATATTTGTTGTTTTTTAATTATTAAGGGTGTGTCTGTATTTTAACTCCTCAATCAGGTTCAATCCTGTTCCTGGTGGCAAAGTGAAACCTGAGGGTATACAAAAAGACATGAGCACAGTACAGGTAAGCCTTCACAGGGACCTCTATGTACTGTTAAAGTTAACAAGAAGCTCATAAGGATCTGTTGTGTACTTAGACCCGGCTGACGATAGGGGTGTTCTCCGTATACCCCTGCACTGCCGTGGTGTTGCCAGGCTGTCAGCAGGTGGTCACTGTTGAATGTAGTGGAGATCAGCTGGGCATCTGTGATCAGGATTTAGCCATAGATATATATGACCGTGATCCCTCGGACCATCCTGATGGCATACCATACAGACTACTGGCTGAAGTATACAAGACAGGTACTTTCAAGTGCAATGTTACAAGACTGAGAAACACATGGTTTAAAATTAATTGTAGTAATTGTATGTTTTTTTCTCTTTTGATTTGGTCAACTATCTGTGTACCTGACTTTTCCTGCATAACTTTTTCAGGCATTTTATTGGAACCAAGCTCTATCTTTGAAGAGCACTTTTTGTGTCAAAACAGCCATCAGCTATCTTCCGAGCAGTTTGCCAATGCTAAGAGCCTTTATGTCACGGAAGAAAACAAGTTCATTTTCAACAAAGTTTTAGTGGGACAAACTGCAAGTGCTCGCTTCAAACTTACAAATAATACCAAAGTCCCTTGCAGTCTCAACGTTGCTATTAGATATATTGGTCCAAAGATGGAGAAGGTAACTTTTTTGTTGATAATATTTGACTATTGTTTCACATTAGATGAATCAGCATGTTTTTATCTCTTAACAGATGCCACTTCATGAGGAGATCTTTCATTTATCTCCTTCAACTCTGTCTATACCTAGTCAGTCACACTGTTTTGCTGAGGTCACCTTCACTCCGCTTGTGATGACGACATACCATGCGGTGCTTGAGGCCTCAATGGATGGAGCCACACAGAGGAACAGGTATTATGTGGTGTTTACTTGTATTTTATCATACAATTAAAAACTTTTGTCATCAGCATGTATTTACTTCTAATTAAGAATGACGCCCACAAATAAAAGCAAGGTGCTGGAGTTTGATATTCTCGGTGAAGGGACTCTGCCTCGTGTGTGTGTGGTTCATCCTCCCCTTAAGAACAGCTCTGGTGACCCACTGCTGCAGTTTAGACGTTCTTTATCGGACAAAGAAAAACACGATCATTTGTGCTGCTAAATGATGGAAATGCCCCAGCTCAAGTAAGATTCAGCCTTATACAAGCAACTGCTTTTCACACAAAGTAAAATATAAACCAGTGTATTTTTAATGAATCTTATTAATGATTTAGGTTCAAATTGATATGCCTGACAAAGATGGAGTGTTTACCCTCAGTACAGCGCCAGGCAACAACTGCAGTTCCATTGGCACTGTAGTACTTAAGAACAACTCTGACCCAGGTATCTGTGCACTTTCGTTGTGTCAGAATTAAACACAATATATTTGTAACCACGTGTTGTCTTTTTAGAGCCCCAGTCTGCGTACAGAGCCATCACCCAACTAAATGTTCAGGAGAAAGCTGAGTTTGAAGTCAGCTTTTGTTCCAAAAAGGTCCAAAAATGTCATACCGAGGTGTACTTAGATGACACCCAATACAACAACATCACAATATTTGTTGCTGGAGAGGCCTACCAAGAAATTGTCTCACTGGAGAACATCAAACAACCTTTAATTGAAACAGATCACATTGTCGATGGTTAGTATGTTGAGAATATGTAAATGATGATAAATAAATAACTTTAACTTTTTTTATTTAAATATCCCCAATTGGCATATAGGAAATTATGAAATTCTGGATTTTGGTGAGTGCTATGTAGATGTGACAAACCAAGAAAGCTTTACTATGGTCAACCACAGCAAAGACAAAGTGCTGCGGTTTGAATGGCCTCCTGCGGGGCCCCAAGTCAGTTTTTCTCCACAGGTAATTTGATTTGAACAAACTAGATTTTTTTTTATTAATTAACTTAACTATTACTTTTTATTAGTTAGCATAACTTTAAAATGGTTGCATAAACATAGAAGGTAATCGTGCTTTTTTCCAGGTTGGCCATCTTCACCCTGGATGCTCAAAAGATGTGGTTGTCTCATTTCACACCAGTCAGCCCTTCAGTCTGAAAAGTAAACCAATGAAATGTAAAGTGACTCAGGTGGTGTTCGAGGAGCCTCTGGAGCAAGTGTTGGACTGGGATGACCGGCAAAAGACACTTCACTCCACGAGTGCTGATAAACCAAACGATAAAGCAGCCTCTGCCGCATCGTCGCCACAACCTGCCAACAAGAAGGTGTGAGCTCTGTTCCTCCATATTCACACAGCCCCTTTACTACAAATGACTCATACACTTTTTATTTTGCAGGGAATAAAGACAGATCCCGAGCCCAGCTGCTCTGTGGTAGATGGCTGGCATTTGGACCTAGAATTGCGCATCAATGCAATTTGTGACTATGCCAAGTTTAGCTGTAGCGCTACCACTATAAACTTTGAAGACACTATGCTTTATCAGACCAGCCTTCAAAAGTAAGTCAGACTAGCTTTATAAATATTAAATTTTGCTGACAAAACCCTTATAAGTCAATGTCAATGTTTTAACAGATTGCAACTATCTAATGAGGGCAATGTGAGCCTGGCATTTTCATGGAAAGTTCAAATGGATCATGACAAAACAGGTTCAGTGACATGATAATCTAAATTTCAAGTTTAAAGGTTTTTAGTTTGGATCTGAAGGATTAAAACTGTGTGGTTATGTATTACCTTTTAGATGAGACCTCTCGTCCGAACTCTGGGTCCTCAAATGTTGTGACGCGTCCTTCCAGTGCAGCTGACAGTATGGTGTCCTTTCTAAGCATTAACCCAGAGCTGGTCCCCTTCACTGTGGAGCCCTGCATAGGGACTATTAAGCCCAGAGCTACACAAGAGTTTAACATCCGCTTTTCTCCCTTGGAAGTGTCGCAATTTGAAGGCATGCTTAAATGCAGGTAAATCTATGTTAACTTATTGGTATTTTATTGTATGTATATATAATATTTATATATTATACTGCATTAATTTGGTTCTAACCTTCCAACATGCTGTATTTTTAACTCTGGGTGTTTTGTGTGTCTTTTCTTCAGTATCCCTAACTTGCAGAAAAAGGACCAGCCTCCCTCTGTTTCAGTGTGCGGTCTCAGCATGATGCCAAATTGCCACTTTGACCTTGAAGACTCAGACTACATCAGTGGAAGACGTCGTAATTCTGAGTTTAGAAGTCCCTTAGACCCTAAGACAAGAGTTGTTGAGTTCGTTGCTGTTGGTTTATCTGCGTCATCTACAAAGTAATTGAAAAAACTACTTTAAAGAACACTGTTTGAAAAGGATAACTGTTTTATCATGCACACTCCCTTTTCAGGCGTTTCTTTGTGTTAAACCCAACAAACAAACCATACTCATTTAAGTGGAGATGTGAGGATTCCAGTGGGTGCTCATTTCGATGTTTGACTCCAAGTGGTATTCTTGAGCCCAAGGAGAAAGCAGAGGTGAAATGAAAAAGCTGTCAATTAAACACTTGACATGTAAAATGTTTACTTGATAACAGTGTGTGTTTGCAGGTTCACTTGGAGTATGTGTCTGAGCAGATGGATGTGGTGGAATCATCATGGAGCTTTGTGATTGACACTCTGTCAGTGTCTGTTCCATTTCTGTTTGTGGGAACCACAAGAGCACCACTTATCTATCTTGATAAAGCTCTGATCAACTTTGGAGATTTACTTGTTGGTATGTGTTCATTTGGATATGCACATCAAGCTACTGGCTTCATAAACGTAATAGATAAATAAATAAACGTAAATAATATGGGCAATCTTAATATGTGGCACTCATAGGAAATAAGGCTGAGCAAACAGTACATTTAGTAAACGGAGAGGAAGAGCCTTTTCACTTCTCAGTGTTGCAGCCATCTCTTCTGTGTGAAGATCAGCTCTCCAGCCTCGTCATGCAGCCCATGAGTGGCTCACTGGGACCAAAAGAAAGGTTACATTTACATTTTCCCAAAGTTTAACTTTTCAGCCTTTTACATACAGTGTTTTACATCTCTCAAACAACTACCCAATAGTTATCTTTTATCACATAGTTTTGTTATGTTCTGTGTGTTGTTAAAATTACATATACATACACCTATGTTTGTGCTGTAGGTGTCCACTGTCTGTATCGTTTGCACCCAATCGCCAAGGCTATATGAGCTTCAGGGTGTTTCTGAAGGTGAAAAGGATGCTAGAGCCACTTGCCCTAACTGTTAAAGCTGACTGTTTTTCCATGGGCATGCTGGTTCTAGTAGAAAACCCAAATGGTGGTTTGAGAGAGCTCAGACCTGACCACATTGAGAGCATCGACTTTGAAAGGGTCAGGAAACTGCTTCACTTGCACAATAACTTCACGTCTACAGTTTCTGCTTAACATTTCTTTGTTTATCACTTTAGGTTGGGATTTCAGAACAATCTTCTTTCCGCTTCCTGGTTTCCAGCCTTGCAAAATGTGAGCTGGACATCACCTTTGACACAGCAGGCCCCAGTAACCTGCTGCAGTATTTAAGAGCTGAGCCAAAGCACGCAACTGTGGAGGTCGACAAGCAGCTGCAATTATCACTTTTCTTTTGTCCTCTGAGTATCTGTAACCTTCAAGATGTTAAACTGAGTATCAAGGTGAGCCAGGTGTATCCAGACTTGCCCTTAAAACTAGTCCAACTTAGCACAAAAAAAGAAAATGAAATAAATAATGAATAATGGTATTGTATCCTGAATCCCGGCAGGTGAAAAATGGAGCAACTTTTAATTTAGACGTTAAAGGCAAAGGCACAGCGCCAAGCTTTGACTTTTCTTTCACTAAACACAATTTTGGAAAGTGCTTCGTACAAAGTCCAGCGATGCTTTCTCCCACACAAACTCTAGTAATCAGAAATAAAGACAAAAGGGACATCAGGTGGGTCCTTGTACTATTAATACTATATTCATTCTACTGCATGGTGTTTTAACATTATTATATTTTGTGTACACAGTGTCCAATGCCAGTTTGCGAACACATCTTATCTGGAGCTTGCCTTCCAACCCACAATTCTGGCTGCAGGTGCAGACTTGAAAATTCCCATCACATTTTCTCCTCAAGAGGCGCGCCGTTACCAGGAAAACCTGGACTTTATCCTCAACAGCTGTGTCACCAAACAAGTGGAGATTCTGGGGCAGGGTATAGAGATCAAGGTGAGGATGAGTAAAGCTGAAGTAGTAGTAGTGTGTGTGTGTGTGTGTGTGTGTGTGTGTGTGTGTGTGTGTGTGGTGGGTGGGTGGGGGGGGGCCCTTATCCAAACATGTAGAGCTGGGAATAATGTGGAAAATAGAAATCTTTAATCAATTACCTTATAGTCCTATCATAATGCTCTCTGTGTATTTCTATATACTTGTACATGTTCCATTCTCTAGCTGGAAGTAAAGGATCCAAAACACAGAAAAATCAACTTTGGATCACTAACACTTGGAAAAAAAGTGAAAAAACGTGTTGTTTTGGTGAACCGCAGCTGTGTCAACCTCTCTTTTTCTCTTCATCTCAACTGTAACACTCCACTTGACCCAAAGGTAGTAAGCGCACGAAGTAATAAGCAATTTCTACACAACAGCACTACTTAAACCTTTGTGTGTTTAGGATTTGTCAGTATTGCCGACTGGACAGCTGAACCTTAAAGCTGGTGAATCATGCTCTGCAGAGATCCAGTTCGCTCCTCAACAACATGTACCAAAGTTTACTGTGGAGCTGCAGGCGGAAACACTGGGCCTGTTACACCCCCTACTGTCCATTCGAGGGTCCTGCCAGGTAGTGTTCATAAAGCAACTCTTTAAAATGTTTATACTGAGCATTTGTCATGTCACAAAGATGTTGGTCATGTTTGTGAAATAATATCGCTAATGCGCTTGTGTCAAACAAACAGGGAGTAGAGGTTCACTTGGATCAAAACCACATTGCATTTGGAGCTATAGTCCAGCATTGTAAAACCAGCAGAAAGATTGTCATGATAAACACTGGTGATATTGGTGGGAAGTAAGTTGTGTTTTCACCTTTTAGTTTCTTAGCTATACTTGTATTTCCTCGCTTTCCTTAAACATTAAAAACCATAAAAAAGTGTTTAAACCATTATTTTGTACCTCCAGTCTCATTTGATTTTCAGTTATGTCAGTGAGCTACTTTCAACATTTTATTGACATTGAAGCTAAACACTAAGCTACTTTTGTTTCCTCCTCACTAGGTTTTTCTGGAAAATGGAGAAATTTCCTCCTTCATTGTCCATTTCTCCTAAGAAAGGTTCTATTGGTCCAAACATGGAAGTTCCCTTTGAACTTGTCTTTGCCCCTGTGCATCTCAGCAGTGACAGCAGGTTTGAGAATCTGCCTTGTGTTGTGGAGGGTCGCAGCGCACCCTTAACCCTTACTGTCACTGGCTCCTGTGTAATGGCCTCTAGCAAAGAGGTAAATACTCCTGTATATAACTCAATTTTATTAAGGTGCATTGTATAACTTTTCTGGTGGGGGGTCCGTCATCTGCTTGTTTTCATGGTTATGTCATTGCTCTGCCTGGAATGTTCCACATAACAGTATGACATTAAACAGCTCTACCTTACATTTATTCAATTACGGATGGTTTTCTTGCTCAAAAATATCTAGAAAAACAAGCATTCTGACCATGAGTGGGGTTGTCTCTCCACAGATCTGATCTGTAAGTTGGTCTCATTTTGGTCCCTATGAAGATAGAAAGGTTTAATACCATACTGTCCTTCCACCAGAAAAGTTACCCGATGCATCTTTAAGCATCCTTTAATAAATATAACTCTAATCAATGTTCTTGAGGGAATGATACATCATGCTTCCTATTAAATAATTACTGGACTTTGCGTCTTGTCTCCAGGTGGTAAATTTTGTTTGCCCAGTGCGTAGCTCACACACCCAGAGCCTGTCTGTGCAGAACCCCACAAACCTGAGCTGTACCATCAGACCCGTGATCGAGGGAGAGCAGTGGACATGTGCACCAGTTATAGTGCTGGAACCTCTTCAGCATAAGATGTTTGAATCACATACAGCCCTCTTACTATGACCATTGAGGGGAACAAGCACCTGGTATATGATTTTCTTTATTCTAGTTATTAGTATGACATCTTGACAAACTTATGTTAATACTAAATCCTTTCTTTAGGGTTCAGTGTTTTTCTCCTTCCCGGATGGGACAGGCCTGCTCTACTCTCTTCAGGGTACAGCTGAGGCTCCTAAGGCTGAGGACACTATTGTGCACGAGCTGCCAGCCAAATGTCACCACACAGAGCTCCTCTCAGTGCACAACTGGCTTATGAAACAACAACGGTAAAACTATTTGTACAGTATATACCATTTCAATGAGCTCAATAGTTCATTGAAATGGTATATACTGTACATTTTGTCTAACTTAATCCATTGGTGCTAACAGTTCGCATATGGTTGAGCCTATACAAGTCTATTTTGAAGCCATTAAATGATTTTCAAAGGAATTTACAGAAGTGACAAAGAATGTTATTTTTTCTTTTCACTTTAGATTCCATGTTCTGTTGGAGTTTATTAAGCCAGAAAGGCCTGATGCTACAGTCTCTTTTAGTGGCCTACATTTCATTGATGTTCCTGCTTTGAGCAATCGTGACTATAAACTGTCCTTTTTCACCTACAAAACTGGTCAATACAACACTAAGGTTCAGTTTCAGACTCTAACTACGTACTTCTTTATGGGAATCGTACTTTTTGCAAATTAGCAATACAACTTGTTCTATGTTTCTTCAGGTGACATTTCGTAATGACATCTCAGGAGAATATCTGTTTTACCTGATCACTTTCAAGGCCACATCTTACCAGGTTCAGTCCACTATAGAGCTGGTGACTACTGTCCGCCAGCCGGTCTCAGCCACAGTGCACATAGAGAACCCCCTCCCCACGAATGTCTATCTCACTACTGAGTGCAAAAGCTCTGAGATCAGTCTGCCAGTCCAGCACACTGTCCCGGGACACTCTAAAGTATGTGTTTATTTTTCTATGTATGATGTGTCTGTGTTAAAATTATTAAAAACAGCTATGTTTTTCAGGATCCTCTAAGCTTTGAATACCTGCCCTTACAAGCTGGGAAGACTACAGCACGGCTAACTCTGAGCAATAATGAATTAGGATATTTTTACTATGATTTGCTCCTTCAAGCTTTGCCTCCACCTTTGGAGAAAACTGTCCACTTTACTGCATCTCTTGGTACCAGTCACTCCGTCAGTGTCAAGTTTACCAACTTTTCTCGCACCAGGGCTGAATACTCTTGCAAGGTATGAATAGTTCAAACCCTCAAGTGTGCATAATGTGCCTATAATAGTAATTGATGACATGCTCTTCCCAATAGACGGATTGCCCAGATTTTCTTGTTGACAAGAGTGTGACTGCAGTGGCGGGATTCCAGGCAGGCTCTGAGGCCAGTGTAGATGTGGTCTTTGAGCCTCACCAGCTGGGAGAAGTGAGAGCTCAGCTGACTCTGTTCTCTGCTGCTGGAGGTGAATACATTTTTCCTCTGCATGGAGTGTGCCAGTCCCCCAAAACACAAGGGCCATTCAGCATCAGTGCAGGACGGGTGTTGTCTATACCTTTCAAAAATGTGTTTTTGCAAAACACTGAGTTTTCTTATCAGGTATGGCACTTTTCACCTGCACAATTGTATGTTATTCATGTAGAATCCATACTGCATAGTTGCATATTATATTTTACTTAATATTTTATCAATATTTTATTTTATCTTTTTTATTCCTATTTTTAGGTAAACAACCCATTATTTACTGTTAAAGGAGCAGAGACAATAAACTCCAAGAGGACACAGAATGTGATGGTGTCCTTTGAGCTTCCTCCTAGAGGTGGTTCTGGGCCATGGTTTGGCAGACTGACCATTTCCAGTCGGCCCTCAGACCCCCACGCCAAGCCCTGCTCCTGGGTCTTCTATCTGAAAGGATACAGACCGGTTTCTTCATAGAAGACAATATGTATACAATATGTATAAGATATATGTACTTCATTTATAAATATGCGTAAACAACACATCTTGTTTTGGTGTTGTTATTGGTGAGTTTTTTATAAGCTGTAAATGCCCACAAATTATTATATCCAAGTATTTAAACTGTCAGATCGAACCTCAAAAAGTGACTTTAATTTGAGAAACATTTCAGTGAATATTATTTCCCTGAGCCTATCAATATTCAATAAAGCCATATCGCCACATGGGGGCGGTATTCTCTAGTTGTAGAAAACCCTGCCCTCGTAGGTGACAGTTGGAGACAGTTGAGTTTGTTGCAGTTTAATAATGCTATTACTTTACACAGTGCAGGAGTGCACGAGGGCATACCCACTGTGCTGTTGGACACATGGTGGCGGAAAGGGCACGGTCACGGGAGTGACTTATTACAAAAGGTTACATCTCCATCTCTCTCTCACTCTACTCTAATGAGCACTTTGACTGACAGTTCTCCTGCTCCAAAATCCTTTGATGTTCTCCTGACACTGAAGGCAACGGGGATACACCACACTGCCGCACCCACTGTCAGCTGTCTTTAGGCTACAGCTCCATTTATCCATAGTGCTTTAATTAGTCCAGACACCGTACAGTGTATCACAACGGCTCTGCCTTTATTTAATGGGAGCATACTGTTAAGCAATAGGTTTACCTCCCATAAGGGAAAAGGACAAAAAGTAGTCTGCCTCCGTAATAATGTCAGATAAATGGACAAAGTTGTTAAATGTGGTATTTAACATTTTGAGAACACCTGTCCCTGATACAGTGTCTCAGACTGGGAAGAAAGAAACCAGTGGGTGTGTTTTGGGGTTGGTGCGATGATGTAAGAAGGAGGCAGGGGCTTCTCTCTCTCCCCCATAGAGCGCAGCATGAGCGCTCCGCGGCAAAAGGATGTGTGAGCAGGCAGCGCGTTACTGTAGGGACGGTGTCCACAAACTGCTTAACAAAGAACAACCCAAACTTCGCGCTCAGGAAAGCCGGGACCAGCCTAAACCCGTAGCCGGTCAGGACAGCGAGTCCGCAACGGCAGCGCAGTCCGGAAACAGCGGCGCTCAGCCCGGTGGAATCGACGGGCTCGTCCGCTGGATAGTCACCAAAATGAGCGACAACAAGAACGCCCCCACCCGGGAGTACGCCGCCAGTAAGGAAGAGGTGGCCGTGGCTCAGGAGCAGTTCTTCGCCCCGGAGCCGCGGAGAGGCATCTCGGTGATTTTAGATGTAAGTAGAGCTGTGCGCACTGGACGGGGCAGTGCGCACTTACGCACAGACCCGGCGAACAACTGTAGACTACTGTAACATCTTTAAAGGTTTCTTCTGTCAGTTTAACACTGTATGCACATTTGTAGTTCATCTTTACGAACCATGAACATCAAAAACAGTTGTAAACACGATTGGAAGGAGTCGCCTTTATTGGCAACTGTACTGAATGCACTAAGAGACGAACTGCACTGCACAGCCCGTCGCTTCTTGTGCGCTCTTTTGGGAGTCGGTCTGTTTTTTGTTTTGTTTTTTTGTGTTTTTTTTTTTGTTTTTTTTTTTTTTTCAGTTTTAAAAATGCTTAATTATTCACGACTTAACTTTGTATCTATAGACCTAATAACTGCCTGGTAAAATGGAAACACTGATTTTTATATTGTGACTTGGTGGAATGGTTAAAGCCGTTACAAATGCGGCTGGAGACTGCCTAAAGCTGCATGGATAAAGTGAAAAGTAGTTCATTTACTTCAGAATGACCATGACCCAGATATTCTGCTTGAGTGATAAGTAAAAAGGGTGCACAAAAATCTCATTATCATTGCAAAAACACCAGAGGGCCATTAGTATCCTACTATCCTATAAAAGACATTGGAACAAACCAGCAAGCGAAAAAGTAGAGCATTTTAAATAATTTTGGTGTGGGTCAGTGTTTAATCGGGCTGTGGTCTATTTTAAACTTAATTTCCTCAGTAAAAATTGGGCTAAACACCAATAAAGAATGTTGTGGCGTTTGTATGAATCCTTCTCCATCAGTGCAGGGTTGAAGGAGCTGCAGTTCACCTCCTCAAAGCTATTCCCAGACCAGCAAGTAGACATTCTCAATTTTCCCTCAGTCTTCCACTATCCCCCTTCCACTTGACGTAAAGACGCTCAAAAGGCAGAAGAGCTGTTCAAACCGCCTCAGTTAGGTCTGTCACAATAATTACTATATCAATTCATTGTTCAAACGAAACTGGAACAAGATTTTCGGGTGTGTGCTTTTCTTTGCACTACTGGGAAGTTTTTTTTGTAAATTTTTGGCTATATGATAAGATTTGAGCAATAAAATGTTGAATTCATAACATCTATGACTCAGATAGAAACAATATAAGTACTTCATTCTGTTATTTATTTATTGTAGCTCATGATTTTTAACAATATTGTACATTTAGGATAGTTTTTTTTTTTTTTTAAATCTGCTCTTGAGTTATTGAGTCAGTAGCATAAAAAAATAAAAATCAGAATTATCTTTTAATGTCTATATTTACTTACAGCTAAATATCAAACTTAAAAATGCAGTGTGACAGGCCTAACCTTAGTTGCTTTGGAGGAGCAGTGACTCTATTCCAAGCTCTCCCCCAAGTGACTGAGCTCTGGACAGCGCTGTCTCCGTAGCCCGCACACTGTGACATAATCTGCTTTTGACTGTCAAAATCCAAGATGTGTCTTTTAAATCATGTCCCAAAGTGTACTGACATATTAATATGATCTAGTGGGACCACAGACAGTATATTATGAGGCATGTGCTTCATCATACACTCATACAGCCGCTGTATTCCTCCAGAGGACACTGTTCCTTCCTGTTCTGAATAGTTATTCTGCCTCTGTTTGGTTGAACATCTGCATAATATCTGCTTTAAATCACCAGGGATTAGACTAATTTTTGTACAGAAAAGAAACATACAGGATAGTTGGTCATGCTTTATAGTCTACCACTTACAGAAACACAACTTCAGCATGCTCTCTCTCTCTCTCTCTCTCTCTCTACTCTCTACTCTCTGTCTCTCTCTCTCTCTCACCTCTCTCTCTTCTCTCTACTCTCTCTCACACACGCTCTACTCTCTCTCTCTCTCTCTCTCTCTCTCTCTCTCTCTCTCTCTCTCTCTCTCTCTCTCTCTCTCTCTCTCTCTCTCTCTCTCTCTCTCTCTCTCTCTCTCTCTCTCTCTCTCTCTCTCTCTCTCTCTCTCTCTCTCTCTACTCTCTCTCTCTCTCTCTCTCTCTCTCTCTCTCTCTCTCTCTCTCTCTCTCTCTCTCTCTCTCTCTCTCTCTCTCTCTCTCTCTCTCTCTCTCTCTCTACTCTCTACTCTCTGTCTCTTCTCTCTCTCTCTCACCTCTCTCTCTTCTCTCTACTCTCTCTCACACACGCTACTCTCTCTCTCTCTCTCTCTCTCTCTCTCTCTCTCTCTCTCTCTACTCTCTACTCTCTCTCTCTTCTCTCTCTCTCTCGCTACTCTCGCTACTCTCTCTCTCTCTCTCTCTCTCTCTCTCTCTCTCTCTCTACTCTCTACTCTCTGTCTTCTCTCTCTCTCTCGCCTCTCTCTCTTTCTCTCTACTCTCTCTCACACACGCTCTACTCTCTCTCTCTCTCTCTCTCTCTCTCTCATGCTCTCTAGTCTCTCTCTCTTCTCTCTCTCTCCTCTCTCTCTTCTCTCTCACTCTCTCTACTCTGTCTCTCTCTCTCTCACACACACATGCTCTAGTCTCTCTCTCTCTCTCTCTCTCTACTCTCTCTCTCTCTCTATTCTCTTCTCTCTCTCGCTCTCACTCTCTCTACTCTCTCTCTCTCTCTCACACACACACACTCTAGTCTCTCTCTCTCTCTTCTCTCTCTCTCTCTCTCTCTCTCTCTCTACTCTCTCTCACACACGCTCTCTCTCTCTCTCTCTCTCTCTCTCTCTCTCTCTCATGCTCTAGTCTCTCTCTCTCTACTCTCTCTCTCTCTCTCTCTCTCTCTCTTCTCTCTTTCTCTCTCTCTCTCTCTCTCTCTCACACATGCTCTAGTCTCTCTCTCTATATATATATATTCTCTTCTCTCTCTCTACTCTCTCTCTTCTCTCTCTCTCTCTCTCTCTCTCTCTCTATTCTCTTCTCTCTCTCTCTCTATCTCTCTCTCTCTCTCTCTCTCTCTCTCTCTCTCTCTCTCTCTCCTCTCTCTCTTCTCTCTCTCTTCTCTCTCACACATGCTCTCTCTTGTCTCTCTCTCTCTCTCTCTCTCTCTCTCTCTCTCTCTCTCTCTCTCTTCTCTCTCTCTCTCTCTACTCTCTCTCTCTCACACACACATGCTCTAGTCTCTCTCTAGTCTCTCTCTCTCTCTACTCTCTTCTCTCTCTCTCTTCTCTCTCTACTCTCTCTCTCTCTCTAGTCTCTCTCTCTCTACTCTCTTCTCTCTCTCTCTTCTCTCTCTACTCTCTCTCTCTCTCTAGTCTCTCTCTCTCTACTCTCTTCTCTCTCTCTCTTTCCCCCTCTACTCTCTCTCTCTCTCTACTCTCTCTCACATGCTCTAGTCTCTCTCTCTCACATGCTCTAGTCTCTCTCTCTACTCTCTCTCTCTACTCTCTCTCTCTCTCTCTCTCTCTCTCTCTCTCTCTCTCTAGCTACTCTCTCTTCTCTCTCTCTACACTCTCTATCTACTCACTCTCTCTCTCTACTCTCTCTCTCTCTCTCTCTTCTCTCTCTCTCTGTACTCTCTCTCTCCATCCCTCTTCTCTCTCCCTCTTTATCATTTTGTGCACAGTTTCTGTTCATTCAAGGCTTTCCCATCTCTCTCTTCAGTCTCTCTTTCTCTCTCTCTCCCTCTATCTTTACCCCCTCTCCCTCCCTCCCTCTCTCTCTGTTGTATCTCCCTTTCTCTCTCTCTCTCTCTCTCTCTCTCCCTCCCTCTTTTTTGTATCTCCCCCTCTCCCTCTCCTTCCTTCTCCATGTCCCTCTACATTGTATCTCCCTCCCTCTGTTGTATCTCCCCCCTCTCCCTCTCTCTCTCTCTTCTGCCCCCCCCCCCCCCCCCCCCCCCCCCTCCCCCCCTCTCGCCCCTCTTCTCGCTCTCTTGTCTCCCTCCCTCTCTCTCTCTCTTCCTCTGTCTCCCTCCCTCTCTTGCTCTCTCTTCTCTCCCCTCTCTCTCCCTCTCTCTCTTCCTCTCACTTTGTGCACGGTCCTTGTTCATTCAAGGCTTTCTCTACATTCCCCCCCCTCTCTCTTTTCCCTCCCCCTCTTTCTCCCTCTCTCCCCCTCTCCTTCTCTCTCCCTCTCTCTACCCCTCCCCTCTCACTCATTCTCTCTCTCATTTTGTGCACGGTCCTTGTTCATTCAAGGCTTTCCCATTTCCCTCTCTCCGTCTCTCTCTCTCTCTCATTCCCTTGTTCATTTAAGGCTTTCCCTGCGTCCCCTCTCGCTCTCGGCCTCTGCTGGTTTCAGACGAGTGTGTTTTGCGTGATTGTGCCCCTGGGTGCTGTAGTGAGGCGGAACAATGTAGCGCAGCATGTCGTTTCAAACTTCTCAGCTGTTAATGATTTTCACTTTGGCCTGCTCCAAATTCACATCCCCAGTTCAAGCCCGCAGCTCTCAAGAGACCGCTGGTTCAAACTCTGTGCTCTGTTTAGTTTAGATATGTGCGCTGGGAGGGCTAGTAAGAAAATGTTGTTTTTCGGTTATAAAAATGCCTACAGGATATTACAAATGTAAACACAAACCGTCTGAATGTAGCTTGACATCAGTGTTATGCCAGATGCCCTTCCTCACACCGTCTTCATTTAACTGTGATTTGGACAAGCACCAAGATTGACTTACATATCCCCCTCATCCTGACTGCAGAATCACGACCATAAAGTTCATTTGCACCTCAAAAGTTAATTATTACTCACACAATATTCAATTACTTATAAAATGACTCATCTCCAACTTATCACCTTTAGAAGACAAAGAACGTGAACTATGGGCCTTTGGGAGGGTTTGTCACAGGGATGACAGACAGTGAGACAGACTGTCCCTCCCTCACTAGACGCTCTGCACATGCTTGTGTTTGGACAGTGAGGAGGAGGCGGATGCCCTGTAATGGGAAGGACATGTTAATTTAACTTTTAGACTCTGCTATGAAGAAAAAAAAAGAAGCAATATCTTCAAATGAAGCTTCTACTTCTGGTGTGTTGTGTTGATGCTTTAGGGATGTATGGGTAATGCTCCATCTGGTGTAGATGAAATATGTAATATTAAAAGAAGTTAAACTCACACAACATCACTTGCAGTCTCTAAAGAATGCCTTTGTAATTTAAAATTATACTAATTCACTTGTGGCATGGATTTGGCTATGGGGTCCAATTTTAGGCCTCTTAGGCATTATCTGCACAGCACTGTGACAGGGACACTGTGAAAAAAAACAAGGTCGAAGTAGGCTATGCATTGTTGCACTGCATATTTGTAAAATGCATTTACAAAATGTGGGTATCTTAAATTATACAAACAAATATAAAGTTGTATAAATAAAAAAATATTTGGATAAAGTACTATCCTTGACCACTAGGGGGCAACAACTCTGTCTATAGATCGTCACTTTGAGCTGTACTCATGGATCTGCCATATTGAAACATTACACGGAAACACTGACCTACAATTCTTTATTATTCTGAATTTATTTTGGGATTCAGTTGTTTGTTCGGTACGAGGTGAAATTCAAAATATATTTTTCCCCTTGAGCGACTTAGTTGGAGCTTTGGTGATACCACTAAATCTGAGAATAGCACTTGAGCTAACAAAACCATTTGCTGTGCTGCTGTGGCGTGTCTAAAGGTGATTAAAGTGAAGTGGAGTGACTGAGTTTGTAGATGACAGTAAACTGCTATGTTTTCATAGTAAACTTCAATGCTTGATCTCAATCTGTTCTAATCTAATTATTTGTGATTCTCTTTACAGATATTCAGAAGAGCTGACAAAGATGGTAAGTGCATTTATTATTACACATACAAGTACATATCATGCAGTATATCCTGTATCCTATGTACTGTGGTGTATAGACTGCTCTGATGGTGTTCAGGACCCTCCTCTGTTCTGTATTTTCTCTATCACTCATGTGTTGATTATAGATTATAGTTTGGATTTCTTTTGTTTTTAACCTCATTGAAACAAACTTTTTCTGTCTACTCTTCAAGATATTCAGTCTGGGCCCCAGTGTTATCTCCCTGAGTTCACAAATACAGACAAATTAGCCCTTCAGAGAAATAGTTGGTTTGTATCAAAACCAACATGACTGTTAGCAGGTAAAAACGAGCAAATCACTAGGTGATTTGAGGTGTTCTGTTTTGTTCTGTATGGCAAATGACCAGTGAGCTTCATCGTGAGCTTGTCATGTGACACTGAAATGAATGAATCTGATAGGATGGCTCTGTCTGAGTTTGGCCTTATACACAGGAGAGGCTGTGCTGACCACACTGGGAGACCTTCTTAGGAAATATAGAGAGAACCAGACTCCTGATATAGCCTCTATTTATCATGTAAAAATAGTAATGCTTATGCAATGTCATGTCCAGTGTTCAGACTACATAACTTCAGTTTTGCTTGGGTCAACAATGTTTTACTTTTTGGTCACAGTTTAAAGTTGTACTGTGTAGTTTTTCTTGTGGGGTTTGACGCTTGCTTCTCCTCATGCAGATTGCCATTGCTTTGCCTGGTGACATGTTTTGCTCCTTTATGTAACATTAATTACAGATGCCTTTGTTGCTTAAATGTGAGCAGGGTCCTCTCCACAGATCTGACTTGTAACTTGGCCTTGTCTTCATGAGTATCAATAGTTTAACGCCATATTGTGTAACATTCCAGCAGTTTAAAGCTTATTTATTATCCCATTGCTGCAACTGATAGTTTGCAGTGACTTCATGCTGTGGGTGGGTGTGACACAATGGACACTTTAGTAAACACATACAAAAAAGTTATAAGATCGTCTGAAAACTTACATTTTAAAATTTACAAAAAGGATTTAAAAAACACATTTTCAGGAGCCTGTGATCAATATGAGCATTCATGGTCCTGTTTAACTGCTTGATTTTTAACAAAAAGGTGAGAATGAGTAACTGAAAAACTCCTGGGACTGTATTTTTATATATGAGAGACTGCTCAAGTCAGCTCACCTGTTGTAGTTCCAACTATGTCAGCTCTTTCTGGTCAGACTTGAGTAACAGAGCTTCAGACAGAGCAGTGCTTTCAGGTAACTTCACACCCCCCGTGAATGTTGATGACATCTGGTGCAAAGTATCAATACCTGCACTGACTGTAGACTGAGACTGTACCTGCAAGCTTCAAACTTACAGTGCAAGTACTTTGAATTGTGATTTCATAGCACTCACTTTTGTTTCTTGATGCAAAAATCCAAGGCCATTTTCTCTCAAAATTGAATCAGATATTCTGCCTCACGTTACAGTTTAGTGCTGTGAGAGGGCTGCATTGATTCAGCTCTGAGGGAAAAAGACTCCAGTATAGTTTGCGGTATGTATTTTAGCATGTTTTTAAAGTTTACCCACAAAAACTAGAAATATTTATAGCCGTTGGCACTCACAAGCCTCCTATGTCTAGTTTCAGTTCTCTTCATATTATCTCCCCTTATTCTTGCTCACTCCTACACTGCACTGTCGACAAAAACTATTTAACTAATGAGAAGGTAGAATTAAAAGCTTTGCCTGTGCCAGATGGATGTTTGCTTCCACTCCAAAATAGAGCTTACCCTGGTTTTTTGAGACTACATAATTTGACTATCAATCAAATTCTTAAATCCGAATTGCCCAAAATCTAATCTTTATGATAGTGCTGTCACAATACTGAAATTTCAACTCTACTTTGGTGCTAAGAAATAGACACGAAACTCAAATCTGATACTCAAATACTCTTTATTTAGGCAGTAGAAAGTCATTTTTAGCATTAAATCGTAGTTCATCCTAGTCCTGCTCTGACTCTTGCTCCAATTCACTTTGTATTGAAAAAAACATCTCCCCTCTTACCCTCTTACCTTAACTGCTGCTATTAGGCTCTTTATTTTGATCTTAAAATCTTCGTATTGAAGCACTCTACATGAACCTGGAGTTTAGGGATGTAACAATAACAGAAACATCGTGATATTGTATCGTCAGAATTCTCACAGTAGTATCATGGACCATCACAATATATTGAATTACATGTCTCTTTGCTTAAATGAAGAGTTATCGTGCAGCAATAGCTAAAAAAAGACAGAGGGAACTACATAGACCATGATCCTTTGTTCCATTTAGACTAGATGTAGAAATAACAGTTCTAAGCACTTTTAAGTTTTAGTTCTTTGGATTAAGTCTTGTTAAGGCATTTAAGAGGAAAAGTAGCACATTAGCCTCCACCAAATATTGCAATAAATATCATACTGTGAAATGTATAACGTGAAAATATCGTACCGAGAGATTTGGATATCGTTACATCCCTAATCGTGAGCCTCCACACCATATTGTGAGCTTTCCCACAATATCACAATAAATATCGTACTGTGAGGTTCATACCATGACAATAAAGTATCGTGAGACTTGAATATCGTTACACCCTGACTGGTGTTTTTATTTCGCTATTTTGTCCACAGTAAATTCCTATTTCTAATATAGATCTCTGCTCCAAATTTGCTCTTATAACTGCTAAGCTTGGTGAGCTTCATTTGACTGGAGCCGAACGCTAACTAATGGTAACTGGTAACTAATGACCACAAGACCAGATCATCTTATTTAAAATCTGTTTCTGAAACTTTTAAAACCTCAAAGTTGTTAAAGCATTTCACCAAATCTTGCGTTGGATATTAGACTCTGACAAACTTTATTGATCCACAAGGAAAATTATTTGGACACAGTAGCTCACACATCACAAAATAACATAATAACAAAGAGAAAACATATATAAATGGTAATAATAAATTCTAAATAAGTAACAAAAAAGTTGGCAAGAGACCGGTGTCAAATAAGGCATAATTATGTAAATGTATATGTAGAAAATAAAATAGAAAAATAAGTAATTAAATAAAATCTCAGCTATGTACAAGAGATATGTACAATTAGTTATCAGCGCACGTAGCTGGTTTGCCTCCACGATGCTTTTGAACTCTTAATATTTGAGTTTTTCTATGGGAAAAATGAATGGAAAATTTACTCAAATGGGAGTGGGCAGGCACTGCAGAGCTTCCTAGTCTCTACACCGCATCAACAATTTCTTCTCTTCCCCATCACCTTTATCAAATATTACCAACTCTCCCTGCTCTACTTGTTCTTCATTGTTTTGCCAACTGTGGTGTAAACTATGAGCAGCCATTTCATTCACTGCTAACTGTAAATAATGACAAAGCTACATATGGGCAAACATACTCAGTCTCCTTTTATAATGCTTTGTTAATTGTAACTGAGCACTTGGACACCTGGAGAGTCTAGACACTGCGTCATTTTACCTCATTCCTCATGTGAGCAGAATTGGCACAAGTTTAGTTGGGAGTCAGTCAGTTTGGCACAACCACACAAACGTAAATCATTTGATCTACTTTAAAAGTGCATGGTGTAACTTTGCTGGTGGAAGGTTTGTCAAGCTTTACTTCATGGTGATGTTATTGCTTTGTCTGGAAAGTTTCACATTTCTACTTTCATGGAGACCAAACCAGACCAAGTTAAAAAATCAGGTCTGTGGAGAGGCAGCCCCACTCACAGTGAAAATGCCTGTTTTATAGCCAGGGGTGTAGTGGGCGTGGTATGTGGGGGTACGCCGTCCACCCATTTCTCCCAGTGTGAGATATAAAAAAATAACAAATATAAAATAGCTACAACTTAAATGTCAAATCAGAGCTATTGGCAACAGTGAAAACAACCTGCATAGGCTCATGATATCTGCAGTACTGTCCTATAGTGACCTGCCACATGAGGGACCAGGACTGAACCAGGACTAAACCAGAACTGAACCAGGTCTGAGTGCCAGGACGGGCCCGGAGCTATGCCTGCATAGACTGTTGGGTGACCACAGGTGAAAGGACCGGTGCAGAGCTCTGCGCCCCACGGGGCTAAACGCAGCCGTCACCCGATCGAACTCTGTGGTGCTCCGCGGGCTCTCTCGCTCTCAAGTCCAAGATTAGTCCTGGTTTACTCTAGGTATAATCCTGGTTTAGTCCTGGTTTAGACCTGGTTTGTCCTGGTTCAGTCTTGGTTCAGTTCTGGTTTAGTCCTGATTTAGTCCTGGTTTAGACCCGGTTTAGTTCTGGTTCAATTCTGGTTTAGTCCTGGTTCAGTTCTTGTTTAGTCCTGGTTTAGTCCTGTTTTAGTCCTGGTTCAGTTCTGGTTTAGTCCTGGTTTAGGTGGCAGGTGGGTAGGATTCATCACATCGATGACGTCACGAGTCACATATCCCCACTTAAAAAATCCCCACTACATCACTGTTTATAGGTATTTTTGAATTGTATAAAACCACCTGTAATTTAATAAATGTACAGCCGTTTAATTTCATATTGTGGAACATTCCAGGCAGAGCAATGACCAGGGTACTCACAGTCCCACAGGGGTCCCACAGAAATCCTGGAAAAGTCATGGAAAGTGAAAATTTCATTTTCCAGGCATGGGAGAGTCATGGAATTTTAGAATCTCTTTCACGTATCTACAGCTTTCTGTTAAGTTATCATTAGAGTGTTATGATTATCTCCAAATGTATGCACCTCTTGTTAAAAAGAGACGGCAATAAATGCACTGACAGTGTTTTGAATGTTAAAAAACTATAATACCAAACTATAAAGTGAGTAGAAAGAGTTAACATTTCATATTTAGCCCTAAAATTATAATCAATTCTACACATGTAGGGTGCCATAAAGTCATGGAAACCTGTGGGAACCCTGAAAGACATTTTCATAGAAACAAGCAGGTGACCCCCAACCAGAAAGTTGCACCTTTAACTAAAGATATTTGTATTTGT